CCGATAGAATAGTGCGTAATAGTGATTAATCATGGCATTGTACCTAGTTTAGACTCGTCACTGTAACCACCAGGCTACTGGGCCAAGCTGTGAGGTGTTATGTTTTTTTTAACTCGTATTTCACGAGCTGTTTTCTCAAACTGAATTTAATATACAGTATCTTTTTAATACTGGTAGATCTCTATGATTATTAGATGCTCTTTTTCCTTGACCTTATTATGTCTTAGTAGTTCTCTCTTATCTACCATCAGAGCTTTTGTTACTTCCCAGATAAAAAACAAAATTCACCTGTTTAGGTTAATGTAATTTTTACTTTTGATTTATTTTCAATTTGGAAACAACTTTTACTTCCATGTTTACTGCATTAACTCCAAACCTATACACCTATATAATGATCATCATGTAAATTATAAATATACCAAGCCAAAAGCACATAAACAGAACCTACTGGAGTAAGTCTCTTTAGGGAAATACTGTACTAATGCTTCTCCCGTACCTTACAAGTGTCGTAATTCAAGATTTTGGAGCATAGGGTATCGCTATAGACAATGTCTATGGTTGGTATTCAAGAAGCATAGTGAAAGCCCATGGGGTGTTGACTACCTACGGATATTTATAAGGATTCCTATGGATTATAAGAATGTTCAAGGGGAGGCCACCTTAAGAGCAAGCCAACTGAAAAATTCATTCATAATTTATACATTTATCAACATCTACAGTATATTGTAGTACATGCTTGAATATACTGTACTGTAATGAGAGGGTGGCATGGATCTCATGACACAGATCGCCCTCTCGAGTGATGCCCCCCACCACGCGACCTGTTACCTCGACAGATGTGGCAGCTGGGGGGGGGGGTTGTTTACCGCTGGGAGTGTCATCGCCACTGGCTTAAGTGCTGGCATCGCTGGGAGTGTTTTCACCGCTGGCGTCAACACTAGTGTCAGTGCTGACGTTTATGCTGCTTTACCCGAACAAAGATTAGGGAGTGGGCGGTGTTTACGAAGAAGAGGTCCTGACTTTGCTAATGTATGGTTTAAAAGGCGGCGTGGCCACCTGGACTCGAGGAGACTGCCCCCTCAAGTGATGCTGTGAGGATCAATACTCTGCTAGCAGTGGTGAACAACAACATCCCAATCCTGGCCGAGTTTTGTACTGGAACAATTTACACAGAAGTATCTTCCCTTGGAACACCATACTGGTTCGCATTGATCCGCACTTGTTTTGACTGTAAATGCCTTAGTTAAGGACGTTCAGGTGACGGGCAAGTCGAAGGGAATGATTGAAACCCGTCTTTTGACGCATTCAATATTTATTGATGTGGTCAAAAGCTGCAGACAACAAGGCGTTCATTAGTATTACATGGTGATCTATCTGATACATAATTAGTTAGTCTCACACAATTTATCTTAATTATAATTGATTATTGAGCATAATGACATGATACAAAGTTCATAACTCTATTAATCTTAGCTACACTTCAATCCGCATTGTCTTATTGCTCAACATAAGGCAGGAACGAGTGGGCATAATTAGTCCATAATATTTCAGTACTGGGGGTATGTCATCACTTTGGCTGTAATTATAAGTTCGGGAGTGGGCAAAGTGGGCAGCTGCCCAGGGGCCTCCACATATTATATGTGCGGTAGTAGGTATATCAGGGCTGGTCGACTTGAAACCACATGAATGACTCCAGTCATGTCTCATTTTTTGTGTGTGTGTGTGTGTTGGGAATTTGTACACTATCAATAAATATACAGTTAATTAAAAATTTCTCAATGTTCTAATTTCCTCGATATAACTACATATGGCTTCAAAATTCTCCAAAGAAGTGTTCAAATTTCAAAATTTTCCCGGGGGCTTCCAACGCCCCCCGGAACACCCAGATGTTTAGGCTCGCTTCACTCGCCACCCCACCCTCTTGGGTAGTTATAATGAGGGGGAGCCTCCACGAAGAGGCTGCCCATGGGCCTCCACAGGTCTAAATCCGGCACTGGTACTGACCACGGCACTACGCAACTCCGTCTGCATGGCATGACAAGTATAATTAGAATGATGACGTCACAAACAACATGCCCTCTTTGATGACCTCCCTGTACCCTGTAGGCCTTTATGGACGACCAACCAGCGCGGGCCAGCCTACCTGTGCCTTAACCATTGAGCCGCGGCTCAAAGTGGATTTTTAGGGTTTTATGGTTTTAAAAATAATCTAAATTTTATTGTTACGTAAGAATATTTATTCGTGTAACATTGCCCGTCCTATTGAGCTTTATTTTTTTATCAGTTATCCATTTATTAATTTTTGAAACTTATAAAGGCGTGAGAGAATATGAACGTGTGAACAATCTTTTATATAATTCTGAAGATCGATAAATATTCACCTTCATTACTTGTTTAATATTAAAATATGCACCTCGGGCAAAGCGCCAACGTGCGTGCTAATATTGGCTCTGCAAACAACGCATCACGATCACGGGTCTGCGAGAGTTGCCACATCCGGTGAGCCACAAGTGCCTGCTTCCTAGCAAAAATACTGTATATGGCCGCAACTGTACGTTAATGCTATTTACAAAATATCAAACAAAATCTTTAACAAAGTATTAGCAAAATTGTGGTACAGACAAAAATTAAATGTTCCCTATTGCTCATATAACCATCCAACCTATGTTTGAAGCTTGTAGCGTACTGTTGTGGCAGGTTGTCAAATTCTCTTTATATGGCCTCACAACGTACGTACATGTAATATATCTCACACTCAGGATTGAGTTAGAATAGAAACTCACAATGCGTTTTCTGTATATATATTGTTGTACAGTGCAGTGCCAAGGAGTTACTAGGTCAGGAGAAGCTTGCTCAGAGTTCCTGTTGGGCGAGGAGCTTTCTGAGGGAGCGGGTGGTGTGGAGCTGTTGAGAGATCTTGCTGGTCCAGTCGCCAACCGTAGAATGACTTCCCGATCCGATGGGATGGAGAGAAGAGAGCCTATTGGCTCAGGAAGGTGGATGATGGTGTAGGAGGAAGGTAAAGGTTAGGAAGTGGGAAATAAAGAGGGAGATTGATAGCAGGTGGTCTGTCCACCTTGCGGGGACGAGGTTAAGTCTGCCATGCCAGCAGTTCATGTCCACTGCAGCAAGGGAAGGGAAGCCAAGCTAATCTAAGCTAAGGTAGATTGTGATGTTTGGGGAGGGGGGCCCTCCGTGTCCTTTAAGTATTCTTAGTTTTTATTTCGTATATATTGGCTCTGGTTCTGTGTTGTCAAATGTTATGCTCTTTGGCCACCAGTTGTGTGTTCTGGTAATGTCTTCTTGCATTAATTGTTGGAATATGGGGTCTTGTAGTTCTTGTAGTTTTTCCCATATTGTCATTATCATTGTATTGTGTTACGCATAGCCATTATTATTCACTATCATTATCACAATCAATTAACAACGATCAGCATAGTAATCTTTACCTGTTTAAGTTACCTATCGTCATTCCGAAGCATGCCCATTTAATACTCATTATTATTAGGTATATTGCAACTTATATACATTTTTTTTGAGCCACCGACGTAAAACTAAACAGAACTACTCATCAGTTGGAACCGATACGCACTTCACTGTTCAACTGTATACCACAAATAAACACAAAGAAATTGGAAGAATTTCAACACATAGGCGGCAGACCTCTTACGACTCTGCATCTGTGAGTGACGTTGAGTCATGTGACGTGTCTGCTCTGCTCTGCAGAGACTGTACAAGAACTGTTCATGTCAAGAGACTCAAGAGTAGAGTGAAACAGCGTTAGCAAACCGATCGATAAAGTTTCGACATCCTGTAAAGCTTCTGTTCCTAATCGTCTCTTCAAATATCAATATTTGTATCCGTCTATCTATGGCATCTAAACAACTTTTTAATAGCATTCATGGATACCTGAATATGTAACAGATACAGTATTCGCTTTCGGACACAAGGAGAGTTGTCGCTTCTAAAAATCACGAACATATGAAATGACGCATAAAATTAACCCTAATGTAAACGCATCTGAAGACTAAAATTCTCTCGCACTAACCATTGTTACTGGGCAAGTCTGTCTGACTAACTAATGGCTATATATATTGTACATTGTGGCCGAGCACCATAAGAACATAAGAATGGAGGAAACTGCAGCGGGCCAATTGGCCCATACTGGGCAGTCTCATTTACACCCAACCCCTATTGCTCATATATCCATCCATCCTATATTTGAAGCTATCCAGTGTATTCAAGTTAATGATGATATTTGATAACTTGTTCCACTCATCCACTACTCTATTTCCAAATCAATGTTTGCTTATTTCCCGCCTAAATCTAAATTTGTCTAATTTAAAACCATTGTTACGAGTTCGCTCCTGGTTGGATAGTTGAGTACCTTTGTAATGTCCCCTTTGTTCAGCCCTGACTTCCATTTATACTGTACACCTCGATCATATTGCCTCTCACTCTACGTCTCTCGAGGGAGTGCAAATTAAGAAGCTTTATCCTGTCTCTATACTCAAAGTTCCTAATGCCCTGGATTAGTCTTGTCATTCTCCTCTGAATTCTTTCCAAGGATTCTATATCCATTCTGTAATACGGTGACCAGAATTGAACTGCGTAATCCAAGTGAGGTCTCACAAGCGCAAGATATAGTTTTAAGATGACCTCGCTAGTCTTGTAACTAACACTCCTTTGTATGAACCCAAGTACTCTATTTGCCTTGTTTCGAGCAAATACACACTGTTTACTTGGCTTAAGATTCCTACTTATCATTACTCCTAAATCTTTCTCGCAGTCGGATTTCTCAATAACATCGTTGTTCATCTGGTATCTGGTTTCCCTGTTTACATCTCCTATACTGAGTACTTTACCTTTGTCCACATTGAATCTCATCTGCCATTTTTCAGACCATTCGATTTTTTTTTTTAGATCTTCCTGTGGTTTTGCGGATTCATCGTCAGATTTAATTACACGCCCTATTTTAGTGTCATCAGCAAATTTACTTATGTTGCTGTCAACGCCGATATCTATGTCGTTTATGTATATAATAAATAATGTTGGTCCGAGTATTGAGCCTTGGGGAACTCCACTTGTGACGTTTCTCCAGAATTATAATCTTAACTGGTTTCCATAAGTCTCGAATGGAATTGGGAATAAAGTTTCAAAACGTACTAAACTGGTATAAAAAAGGGAAAGGAGTATCCCAAATGTAAAAGTTTGCTAATTTCGTATCCACGCATAAGTACCTGGCCAACGCTGTAATACTATCATATTGCACAGAACCAGGACTTGGGTGTAAAGGTTTTATGATATAACTTCACACACAAAAATACTACTAATAAAAGGGGACTGCTGTTCACAATTTGAATATCGAAGTATTCTAATGTGAGCGTTCCACTTGTTAATTTTCTACAACTTCAACCCTGCATAATGTCACTCATAATTGTTCAAAAGTGGGCAGAAAAAAAGTATGAAATAACATTTAGAAATTGTCACAGGAAAATCTTCGTGTCACACTATTACCTGAAAATAAATTAACGTGTAATTATTTCGTATTAAGATGGACAATTTTAAAATCAGGTACCAGTTTTCGGGTCTTTGTGTTTATTTATTTATTTATGGGTTTTTTTGGTGGTGGTTGTCTTTTTTGCTTTACCTACATTTTTTTTAAGTTTCCCTGACTCCTTTTCCTTCGCCAATTTATCTAGAGCAGCTTCAGCTTCTCGCAGTTGTAGCCTGACATTTTGTTCCTTCGTCTGTGCCTCCTCAAGTTCGTGCTGCATTTGCTGCATTGTCTTGTCCCTGTTCTGAAAAGTGGGAGTATTTCTTGTCAGTATAAATTGGGGACCTGGACGGTAATCGATTTGCGGATCGTGTTCCAGGGTAATGGTTAGCCAGTGCAGTTGGCGAGTTGTCCGGTCTTCTCTGACTATTCTTTGACACTGGATTATGCAACTCGTTAACTCAGGGTGTGGTTGTTGTGCTGGCGACAGCTTCTATTCCTTAAACAAATTCACACCTAGGTGACCCTTGGACCGGCCATCTTCGTTACACGAGGGGCAACCATTATATTATATTATTATTAGTGTTTATTTTTTAATTTAAATTTGGAAGAAGATGCTCATCCAAGTTTGGTAGATCTCTCTGGTAAACAACCTTCTCTGTTTCTGTGGGTTATAACGCCTGTTTCTGTGAGTTATATTAGGAAATTTTAATTATCTTTAGGAAAAACTTTATATCGCAGGAAAATAACTTTATATCTTAAAAAAAATATGTGCAGAAAACTTACATAAGAAAATTATATAAAAGAAAGGTAAGATACAGAAAGGCTTTAAATTTCGAATATTTTGCCTCTCACAGCTGTGTCCTGGGTAAAATCCCAAGGTCAATATATGAAAAGAGACAGTGTTGTAACTCTACTGGACTTTGCACTGGCTTTCTCTGGGTACTCCTGCACTAACACTGAACTAGGAAATTTAGCACAGAGACTAGATTGACAGGCCAAACGGTTAGTAAAGAGACATTGGTATACACGGAGAATGATTGTTCAACACAACACCTTAAGAGAACAATACCAGGTAAAACTGTAAATTATTTAGCATAAGAAGCAAAACACAATGGTAGTAAAAATAGTGATGACAATTGTATGTATATTATGTATGCTGTATATATATTATGCATGTGCTCCATTTATATACACTATTTATTCAGCCTAGTTAGCAGCGTGTGGCAATGTATTTACCATGTCCCACACGCTTAATTAATGTGCCTGGCGACATATGGAATCTGCTAATGTATCACTTACCACATGTCGCCCGAAAGGCTAGTTGACCCCCCAGACAGAGTAAGGAGTGCCAGCTCCCTTGTGTATCTGTTTATCCAGGAAATAGAACCTACGAAAACTCTACAGGTGTTTGTGTTCGCTCCTGTAGATAGAACTTGATACCCAGAACACATGCAATACTGATGGCGGATACAAAGACAACGATGGTCTAGATAGAGGAGGGTGAAGTTGGAAATGTTATTTATATCTTACATTGTGTGTGTGTGTGTCGAGGTCACTTTACAGGGTTTAACAACAGTAATAGTGGGTAACGTACCATCATCTTCCCCATCTGTATTTTCATTTCCTCCAGGTTCTTCTTTATCTCAACAACCTTCTGGGTCTCCTGGTAGGAAAGAGATATTCTTCAGTCTTATTAATATGGCTCTAGAGTCTAGAGTCTAGTGTCTAGAGTCAAGACGCTACACTGTTACAGTTTATAAGATTCCATTATTGATATATCAATATCACATGAATATTTATTACATGAAAATATCAATATGCTGTCATTACGTTCACACGACAGCATAACATGATTCTTGTTTTTACCACTGAAATAAAACCTCGCGTGTCGGTCAGTCTCTCTGTCACACACACACACACACACACACACACACACACACTACTACTACTACTACTACTACTACTACTTTTACTACTACTACTACTACTACTTTTTTTTTTAAAATGGCCTCCAGCCTCCCCCAATAGCCACACCTTCGCCACCATTTATTACTACTACTACTACTACTATACTACTACTACTACTACTACTACTACTACTACTACTACTACTAATACTAATACTAATACTACTACTACTACTACTACTATTTTTTTTTTATAAAACGTGGCCTCCAGCCTCCCCCAATAGCCACACCTTCGCCACCATTTATTTACCTTAATATTAAATATCCTAATACATAAGAAACTATCCTATCTGTGTTAAATTAGTTGAGCCGCAGATCCATGCGGCATTCAGTGACTGTAGCCTCATAGTCGATATCTGCAGCAGTTGTCGGAGTAGGGGCAGAAGCTCTCGTTCCCCTGAGGCAGAGCAAAGCCGACCGAAGGAGAGAGAAGGACAGTCGACATCTCATCCAGGCTGTGACATAACTTCTGGGCTGCTGCTTCTGTTCGGAGATCAGCTCCGCGAGTCTGGCGTAGAAACATCTTGCACTTGGGCCCATCCCACCAGAGGTTGTGAACACTAGAGGAGTGAAGCTGCCTTGATCAACATTTTGAATTCTCTCCCCATATGCCCTTCTCTTGTCGTTCTCGTTCCTCCTATGCGAGCATCGAGAGCTAGGTTACGATGACCAAACTACTACTACTACTACTACTACTACTACTACTACTACTAATACTACTACTACTACTACTACTACTACTACTACTACTACTACTACTACTACTACTACTATTACTTTGCTGTCACTCGGAATCGAGTATGACGATCATCCAGCTATGATACAAATATATGAGTGATTAAGGATGTCATCTAGGTTGGTTAGTTCTGGGGTGATTAAGGAGGCCGATACGGGACCGGCAGGGTCGATCACAGATGTTGCACATGTGGAGGGCTACATCTAGTGCAGGAGGGGCGGCGGCAGCGTCTTTCCGGCGTTGGCGCTTGTCTGCCTCATTATGCAGTCGGGCTAATTCGAAAGTATTGACATCATCTTGTGTGGTGCTCCTCCAAACTTTACGGTGTGGAGTAATCGACTCCCAGGTGAGGGGGTCGATTTGGCACCTTTTCGGGTTTGTTTTAAGACTATCCTCATACCTTTTCAGTTGCCCGCCAGCATTACTTTACTATTCTTTAGGTGACTGTAAATAGCTGCTTTGGCAGTCTACTGTCGTCCATGCGTATAACATGGCCAGTCCAGCGTTGTTGTTCATGGATAATGGTAGCCTCGATGCTTCTACAGTTGGTGTCAGCAAGAATACTGGCATTTGTTCTCTTGTCTTCCCAGCGAACTTGGAGGATGGAACATAGACTACGTTGATGAAAGCTTTCAAGTGCCTTAAGTTGCCTCCTGTATGTGACCCATGTCTCACTGCCGTATAGCAGGGTGGGGAGGACCACTGCTCGATATACGTGTAACTTTGTAGATAATGTCAGCTCCCTACAGCTGAAGACACGATTTCGGAGTCTGCCAAAAAGGCTTGAGATGCACATCTGATCCGACGCTGAATCTCTTCATCGATGTCCGCGGTGGTGGACAGGTGGGAGCCGAGATACCGAAAGTGGGTAACATTAGAGAAGGTATTACTGTTAAGCTGGATGGATGGTGGAGGTGTGGCTAAAATCGGGGCAGGCTGAAAGAGAATCTGAGCATCAAGTACATTCACCTCAAGGCCGAAGTGTGCATGCGCTTCTGTGTACAGTAGGTGTTCAGGGTCTCCTGTAGGTCGCATTCAGTGTGAGCAACAAGGGTAAGGTCGTCTGCATACTGAAACTCAGTAATGGAAGCTGCCGACACCTTTGTTCCTTCTTAGAGTCGTCTTATGTTGAAAACGCCCTTCATCCGGTACTCGATGTCAACCCCACCGGGTAAATTTGCACAGGCACGAGTAAGGAAAACAGCCAAGAAAATGGAAAAAAAAAGTTGGTGCCAGTACACACCCTTGTTTAACCCCTGTTTGGATGGGAAAGAACTCAGACTGGGTGCTATTGTGCAGGACACTGCTGTTCATGCCATCGTGGAGTTGCCTCAGATGGCGATGAAATTTGGTGGGCAGCCAAAATGGCTGAGGGTCCACCAGAAGGCTTCCCTGTTGACCGAGTCGAAGGCCTTGGTTAGGTCGATGAAACCCATGTACAGGTCACCACGCTGTTCTCTGCACTTTTCTTGTAGTTGGCGGGCAGCAAAGATCATGTCAGTGGTGCCACGTGATGGTCTAAAGCCACATTGAGATTCTGGGAGGAAATGTTCCACCTCAGGAAGACGTCTGTTTAGGAGGACTCAGGCGATAATCTTGCCAGCTGCGGACAGCAGCGAGATCCCACGGTAGTTGCCACAGTCTGACCAGTCTTCCTTGTTCTTATAAATATTGACGATGGAGGCGTATTAAGGAGCTTGGGGGATTTCCTGCTTTTCCCATAAATTCTCCAGGAGAGAGTGGAGACGGCTGGTAAGCAGAGGTCCTACTGCTTTATACACCTCGGGTGGGATAACATCAGGCCCTGAGACTTTGTTATTTTTCATCTGTTTGATGGCAGTAGCTACCTCATCCAGGGATGGAGGATAGCTGAGGTGGGTCAGCTCTGGATGCTGAGGCACATGCTGGATAGTTAGGACATCCACATCGGTGTTTCGGTTGAGCAGTGATTTGCCCATAAAATGTTTTAGTGGAATTGAAAAATTCGCACATCTTGTGCTGATTTGCAAATTTTTGTATTCCACATACTTTATTTTTAAACCAGTCGTTCTTTAGATTGCGAAGTTCGCGTTGGGCCACTGCTTTCTTCTTGCAGAAGGTGTCAACTTTGGTCCTAGACTGAGGGTTGTTCTGCCAGTCAGTTAAAGCAGCACGTTTATCATTGATGAGTTCATTGATTGCCGGGTCATTTTCATCAAACCAGTCCTGGTGTATTCTTTCAATCTGGCCGAGGGTCTCTCTGCAGGTTTTTGTCATGACAGCATCGAGAATACCCCATTCGGCACTGGGATTTGGGTTGTTTGTTGTCGGGTTGTTTATCAGCCCATGTTAGAGCTGCTCTCTAAAAGCATGTGCTGCTGCTGGATCCTCCAGACGTTTAGTGTTAAAACCTCTTCTGGAGACTTGCTGCCTTAGCCATTTTGGGGCGACGTGAAGTGAGAGCTTGGTTCTGACGAGCCGATGATCAGTGTCTCGCAGTGGTCTCAGCCACGCATGGCTTGGGTGATAAGGACATCTCGGTAATCTCTTTCTCTGACAATGATGTAGTCAATAAGATGCCAGTGTTTGGATCGTGGGTGTTGCCACGAACCCTTGAATTGGTCTACCTGCCTAAACAAGGTATTGGTGATAGTGAGGTTGTGTGCAGCACACTTGTTGAGGAGGAGTAGCCGTTGGGATTACAACTTGCCTAGTCCATTTCTCCCTATGGTTCCCTGCCAAATGTCAGCATCTCTGCCAATTCTGGCATTGAAGTCACCAAGGAGCACAACCTTTTCTTCTCTCGGGATAGAGGTTATCACTCTGTCGAGGTCGGCGTAAAAGGCCTCCTTGATGTCATCCTCTGCACCGATGAAAAAAGACATGACGTGAGTAATTCAGTGGGACTCGGAGCGTCATGAGGCGCTCGTTGATCCCAGTAGGCATTTCAGTTAGCCTGTGTAGGATGCGTTGGCGGATGGCAAAACCAACTCCATAAATGTGGTTTCTCTCCGCAACAGGCTTACCCTTCCAGAAGAAGGTATAGCCAGACCTTCGTTCCGTGAGTTGACCCTCGTCTGGGAGCCGCGACTCACTGATGGCTGCTATGTCGAAGTTATACCTAACCAGCTGCTGTGCCACAAGGGCGGTTCTTCTTTCAGGACGCTCATTTGTGCCAGTATCCAGAAGGGTCCTGACTTTCCATGCAGCGACCATAAGAGGTTTTTTAGTTTGTTTTTGTTTGGATCTGTGATTCACACACACACACACACACACACACACATCTCTCTCTCTCTCTCTCTCTCTAGGAAAAATAACTTCGTTAATTAACGACCTGGACGAGGGAAATATGACCAAAAAGTAGCCAAACAGGAATAATCACTACCTCTCTCAAGTTGATAGAATATACACATTGTGGTGCACTTACCGTCTGCATGGCTAGTTCCACTTCAGCTATGTGGGCATTGGATTTGTCCAGTGATTCCTTGCACATTTTTAACTTCTTATCTCTGTAATGTTTAATACTTTTCAGTTTCAAACTTTGTAATTGAGTGCTGAGTGATAGTTTTTGTGTTATTATTTACCACAATAGAAATTATTATTTTTTTTACTTTTTGTATTACACTCAGTCGTGTTATATTAACTGTTTGGTATTTTTTTAGTGTGTGGTGTGTTGTTCTTGCCCATATTATGTTATTGTACAGGTAATGAATTTCAATCAAATCAGTCATTTAATCAATCAAGTCCTGTACTAACGAAGCTAAAACAAAAAGAAAAACATCCTTATAAATATTTTTTATATTATAATCTTTGGAAATTCACCAAGAGCTTTTATTTATGGTTCTCTAGACATCAAAGTAGTGTTCCGTTTCCCTCCATACATTTTCTATCATATCATCTGAACTTTTCTAACAGCTTCGCGTATCATAACCTTAAAATTTTCCAAAATTGTTGGAAGTGGTTGAAGAACAACTGATTTTTTTTACAGCAATTGCCTGATTATTGTATCAAGTGACCATTCCTTGGCCAGCTCTCTTGCTCGATCTAATCCCAAAACTTTTTCTCTGGGACTTTGGTTTTTGTTTCACCAGTATCAACAACTTTAGAAAATTTGAAGGAAACGATACGAGAAGACTGTTAGAAAAAAATCACTGTGATACATTACAACACCGTTGTAATCTCTGCCGACCCACAAAAGGAGCTTTTATAGCAAGAAATAAAGCTTTTGTGGTTCTTCTTTATAAATTTGTCTTGCTTTTCACTGTAGCTTTGTTATTTTTTTTTCATAATAAATGTTTAAAATTGGGAAGATCATTTGTAATTATCCGGCATGTCAACATTTAACAGCTGGAGCAATAATTGAAAGTTGGGTGGTATAAACTCACTTGTCGTCCATCCTGGTATGTATGTGGTTCTCTTGTTCCTCTGTTAGTTTCCTGAGGTTCTGGTTGTTGATGATCAGCATTAGGGCCGCCACCCCTAGGACTACCGAACACAGAACAGAGAGCGATAGTGCCATCTCAACCACACCTGCTGAGTTCCCTCAGTTCCTCGACACAGGTAACCCTTCTTCAGCACACACAATAAGTCTGTTACGACGCCTCACTCTACTACACCCCAACCTGTGGATGGAATTTTAAGATGATACATGGTGGTGGTAGAAAGGTGTGTGTGTGTGTGTGTGGTAAGCACTAAGTCAGTTCGACCAAGGACCAATGTCATCATATGTTTATATACAGTAGGGTCCTTTGCTTAGGCTTGAGTACTATTCAGTAATAGTAAATCTACAAAGATTAAACGTGAAAATGTGTGTTTATACAGAAGGGCGGATCCAGGACTATCAAAAGGGGGGACCCAAGAAGTTGCGGGTGGGGGAACATAGCGAGTCAACAGTAAATATTTTTTACTATACAGAAATGCCTGAGTACAATACTGCATTAAAGAAAAAGTATGGGAATTTTCTGGTAAAAAGGGGATCCGGATCCCCAGAACCTCCCTGGATCCGGCCTTGTTATAAGAAGAATGGCATTGCGCGTAGACTACCCCAGGCAGATGGATCACTTTGGATCACTTTCAACACATTCTGTGGTTAATAATAAACTCACTCTCCTCCCTTGTTAGAGCTTTATCTGTTATATATTTATTTTAGTTTTATATTGTAATTGTTTGATAAAATTGTTCTAATCATTTATAGCTGTAAAGAAGGTAGTATTTTTCGCCAGTTACTATAAAATTATGTTTCCTCCCTCTAGCGCCCTGCCGTGAGACTCGTGAGACGTGAGGTTCCCCCTGATTGTTAGAGGAACACTTGTATACCGACTCTGTTGTGTTGCTAGTCAGACTATCAAAATCCCGGGAACAGGATGTTCGGGGACATCCTGTGATAAAATATCTTCTTTTGTCGTATATAACTGTGGATAAGAGAAGGTATAACTTTACAATAAAATGATGTGCAATCTGAACACCATTTTGGCCGCCACCTTACTTTAGGCAACTTCCACCTCTAGATACGGTCTGTTGTTTTACATAAGAAACTTTTGAGAATTGAAGCCCCGTGACTTACCTTTGAATCTGCACAATGCTTAAGATTTTAGTGAAACCGAACCTGATGTTGTGAACAGTGTGGCCATAAGTCAACTAAAAGGCAAACACTTGTTCTCGGAGTGGCAAGCTAGACCAGGTGTTACTCTCACCTGTCATCTGCTACTGGTGCCGCAGGTGTCTAGCCTGATAATCCACGAGTTATCTCGCTTTTGTAAAGGTAGAAATTATCGGATGATGAAAGTTTCAATCCCGGGTTGACTGTTCTAGTTATATGATGAAGAGAAGACATCACAAACCTTGTCTTAATAAATTATTCACTGTATATTATGTAGAAACTTGCAAGCCACAAGTACAGTGACGGCAACTCTGGTTGCTATTTATAAACATATCCAATTACAGTTGTATATATTTTGACAAAACCAACACGCCAGCACAGCACATGTGTGACATTGATCGTCCCATGAGCCAACACGCCAAGTAATAATCAGTTACAGTTGACGTGGCCGGGACCATTCTCACTACTAGACTGATAACATCATTCATCATCTCTTTAGTTACTGTACGCGGTTCTAATTACATTCATTCTGACACAATTAACCTCTTTGGTGATCACACACACACACACACACACACACACACACACACACACACACACACACACACACACCTCCCCTACCACCCTGTGTCACTCCTGCACACCTGCCGAATATAAGCACTTGTTGTCTCCAGGCATCGCTAGCGTAAACAACACCCAGTACCTCGTTCTTTCAGTGGAAGGTAAGCAGTGGTAAATATGGCCTGTTGATTGAAATTTCCACTGTCTAGCGTTCAATATTATCCCTGGTGTTCACTGTACCCTGCCAAGTGTTCAGTGTTTCCCATGTACAGTAGTTGTGATGGACACGTCTCTCACACCTGTTCAGATTAATCACCAAACACGTCTACACGTATCCCCTGCCACGTTCATGTCATCGAGCTTCTTCTGCATCAACTTGTAAATTTATTTACAAAATCATTAGACACCGGAGTTGTGCCAGACTTGTGGAGACAGGCAAATGTAGTACTCATATTCAAAAAGGGAGACAGAGCATCAGCGTCAAATTACCGGCCGATCAGTTTGAAGTCAGTAGTGGGGACATTTCTTGAATCAATTATAGCAGATAGCATCCGATCGCATCTAGAGAAAAACAAATTAATCTACGACTCGCAACGTGGGTTTACAAAGGGAAAATCTTGTCTAACAAATCTGCTGCCGTTTTTTAGGAAAGTCTTCGAGGTAGTAGATAATGACGAAAATTACGATGTTATTTACTTAGACTTTAGCAAAGCATTTGACAGAGTACCGCATCAGAGGCTTCTGAGAAAAATTAAGGCTCATGGTATCGAGGGGAAAGTTTTAAATTGGATAAAATCATGGCTCACCGATAGAACGCAGAGGGTCAGCGTAGATGGTGTTAAGTCTGAGTGGGGCCGTGTAACCAGTGGGGTTCCCCAGGGGTCAGTACTAGACCCACTCTTGTTCATAATCTACATAAACGATCTAGATACTGGGATCAGCAGTGACATAGGCAAGTTTGCGGATGACACCAAAATAGGGTGGCAGATTAATTCAGGGCAGGATGCAAATGCATTACAGGAGGATCTAAAACTGCAGGGGTGGTCTGAAAAATGGCAAATGAAATTCAACACCAGCAAGTGCAGCGTACTTAATATTGGAAGAACAAATACTGACAATGTATACAGCCTTAACAACATCAACCAAGAGAAGTCGAATTGTGAAAGAGACCTAGGGGTACTTGTAAGCCCGGACCTACGGCCTAGAAAACAGTGCGTTAATGTTCGAAATAAGGCAAACAGAGTATTGGGTTTTATATCTAGAAGTGTTAGTAATAAGAGGGCAGAGGTCTTATTGCAGCTATATCTTGCGCTAGTCAGGCCGCACCTCGATTATGCGGTTCAGTTCTGGTGCCCTTATTATAGAATGGATATCAATTCACTAGAGTCGGTGCAGCGAAGAATGACGAAAATGATTCCGGGACTTAGAAACCTTCCATATCAGGATAGGTTAAAGAAACTTAACTTGCATTCCCTAGAAAGACGGAGAGTGCGGGGAGATATGATAGAAGTATTTAAGTGGGTGAAAGGAATCAATAAAGGGGATATAGATAAAGTTCTTATAATATCCGAGCAGGATAGGACTCGGAGCAACGGATTTAAGTTGGATAAGTTTAGGTTTAGGAGGGAGATAGGAAGAAACTGGTTCACAAATAGGGTGGTGGACGAGTGGAACAAGCTTAGCAACTTTGTAGTAAGTGCTAGAACTCTGGAAAGTTTCGAAAGGAGGCTAGATAGATTCATGGATGATAGAGAGTGGTAGTAACTCTCGACAGGAGCTGCCATGCACAGGCCAACCAGCCTATTGCAGACTCCTTATTTTCTTATGTTCTTGTGTTCTTATGTTCTTATGAAATAGGTGTTTTTTTCCTTCAAATTTAATGTTTGTTATTGAGTGCGTTAGGTTATTGCGCGTTTTGTTATTAAGTGTGTTAGGTTATTGCGCGTTTTGTTATTGAGTGTGTTTTGTTATTGAGTGAGTATTTATTGCGTGTTTTGTTATTGAGTGTGTTTTAATATCTTGAGTATAGAAACAACAACTGGTAGCTCCTCAACGCCGACTTGTGATTGGTTGTGTTTTAGCCTTGACAAAATACATCTTGCATCTAATTGGTTGTCCCGTGACGTGTAGAACCCCCCGCCCCCCTCCTCCATGTAATATCAGAACCTCACTTTATGGTTCCATTTTTAACTAGTTCCTCATTCCAACAGAACTAGCAGAAGCAGCTAAATGGCCAACCCGTCGACATCCTTAGTAGTGGCGCTGGTAGTAGTTGTGGCTGTGTTGGGGTACCGTAATTTACAGCTGCGTCGTGTTTTGCCGCATGTTGGAGACCAGATGAAGAAGAAAATGGACCTCATGTGAGCATCTTTTTTTTTTTCTTAATTACGTCCTCTTTTGGTTTTATGAGGCAAAATTATTGTCACTACATTTGCTAGATTTGTTATTTCTTCTTCTTCTTCTTCTTCTTCTTCTTCTTCTTCTTCTTCTTCTTCGTATTGCTATTATTATCAATTATCCTGCCCATAAATGCTCGACAGGGTAATGTTGTCGGTCCTGTCTGGTTGTCTGTCTTCAAAATAACACAAGAACGGATGAGTTGTACATAATTATAAGATTATCAGTATGTAACAAAGTCCACAAGATAATTATTTATTTATATATCTATTTTTTTGTGGGGGGGGGGGGCAAATAGCGCCAAAACTGATCAAATATTTGTCATGGTGACGGTTGGTGTAATGATACCTTACAGTGACGTTAAGGAAAACTATGAGCAGGGCCGTCCTTAGGAGGGTGCGGGGCCCGGGGCAACTCAGCCACTGTGGGGGGCCCCAGATTATGCGGTCAGAGGAACCCACCCCCACCAACCCCCATGGGACTGTCGCTATGGATGGTATGGTCACGGTTGCGATGGTGGCGTAAGCCGTCAGGTCAGATTAACCAGTCAACAGGTAATGTGTCCGAGGTCACTGGGTCTAGTGCTGGGCCCCGGGCGATCGCCCCTGTTCACCCCCCCCCTACCCCTAAAGGACTGGCCTGACTATGAGATTTTTTATTTACACCAACACCGTCAATATTATTCTGCTGTCCACCCACACTGCATCATGAAAGGGAAACGCTGATGTGTACAAAAAGTGTATACATATAAATGAATATAACTACATGTATATACTGTATAACAACAACAACAACAACAATAATAATAATAATAATAATAATAATAATAATAATAATAAACATGAATAATAATAAGTTGGTAGACTGTTTCATAGGTCTTATGGCCTCTGTGTGAAGAAGAGATTAGCAATCTCTTTGTGTGTGTGAGTTGGTCGCTGGTGAGGCTGATGCTAAGGTCAGCATTGACCTTCTTAACCCTGACCTGAGTTGGGTTAGACAATATCCAATTGTCAGACTCCTGAGGTCTATGAAACACTTTTTTTTTTATGGAAAGGAGGAATGAAGGAAGATTGGAGGTGGGGGAAGGAAGTTATAGTTCGGAAATTGAAGAAATTCAGGAGGAGGTAAGAGAGGGCGGGCTGACCGCCTAGCTAAGCTAATGGTGTGTTAGGGTTGTGTCATGGATTAGTTATTGTCTGCCGGTACAGGCACTAGACAGCCTACCCTGTCCCATTTATGGGTGTTTTAAGGGCCTTATTTCATATTCCGCCGACCCTACTGGCGGATGCTGGTCTTGGGAGGTTGTCTATTGCCTGACCGTGTAGATCGGGGGTGGTAATGGACCTTTTCAGATTTCGTAGCTTTATGGGAACCATGTATGGTTGTTGTCGTTATCTGGTGGGAGTCTTTGAAGGAGTTCTTGCTCTGATCGTTCTATCTTTTGCCAGATTCTGCTGGCCAGGGTGTGCAGCTGCTGGTTGATGGGTTTCATTCTCAGGTCTCTATGTATCTCGGCTGTGGTTCTGGTGAAGGGGTATCTTTCACATGTGACGAATCTTAGGGCTTCATTTTGGACCACCTGTAATTTTAATATTTGAGTGGTGCTCATAGTATGAAGAGGTATTGCTGGGTAAGTTAATATCGGTGTGATAAATGATGTCACCAGGCGGAGTTTTATTTTCTCAGGAAGCGCTTTAAAGCAGTATAGTTTTCTCAGCTCTCTTCTTGCTTTTTCCTTCCTGCTGTGGACATGATGGGAGTAACCTGTCGTGGATATATGTAGGCCCAGGAGGGTGCCTCTGCTTTTGTATTCTATCTGGGCATTATTGGTTACTAATGGATGGGTTTTCTTTCTGCATAAGGGTATCACTGTGAATTTCGGGAGACTGGTTTGGATTTTCCATTGTTTTTCGTAATTATTTACCCTTTCTAATTCCCGCCTGGTGTTGTCGACCTGTAACGCTCGCGATTTTCCTTGATGTGTTGTTATTTGAGTGATGTCGGCTGCATACATAATATCTTCGTTGCCTATTCTTGTGGGAGGCTGGGTGTCACTTGTGTAGATAATATATAGGGTGGGGGAGAGGACGCTTCCCTGAGGGACTCCACTCATGAGTGGGAAGGTCTCTCCTGTGTGTTGTCCTACCCTCAGTCTAGCATTTCTGCCGTCAAGAAAGTTGCAAAGCAATTTTTCAATGTTGGTGGGAAGTCCGAGTTGGAGGATCTTATATTTTAGACCGTCGTGCCAGACTTTGTCAAATGCCTTCGCTACATCCCGGAGAGTTAGATTACATTGTCTACCACTCGCCGCGGCTCTGGCTATGTTCTCACATGCCAGGGCTATCGCTGTTGTGGTGGACTTCCCTTTCCTGAACCCGAATTGTCTGCAGTTAACTCCGTTTGTTGTTTCCAGGTGATTTCTCAGACGCTAATTGATGATTTTTCTAGGATTTTTCCAGGTACTTCAAGGAGGGAGATCGGTCTGTAGTTTAGTGGGACGGCGGGGTTCTTTCCTTGTTTTGGTGTTAGGGTAATAATGGCCTCTTTGAATTTAGTTGGGAAGTAGCCCGAGGCCAGGCAAGCGTTCATTGTGGTTCTCAGTCTCTCCATGGCCGGGTTATTTATGTGGCTGAGGATCTCCTTGGTGATGCCTGAATAACCAGGGGCTTTATTTTTGGTATTGGAGATGGCTCTGTTGAGTTCTTCCGAGGTGATTGGTTTGGACAATGGGCTGTCCGCTCTCAGATCCTCCCATATGATTTCAGGGGAAGGCTGAGTGCGGTGTGTCTGGCCCTGGAGTTCATCAAGGACGAGCTCCTCGTGGGTACCATCGAATCCCCTATTCTCTTCATTTGTGATTCGGAAGATGTTCTTCCATATGTCCCTGAATATGGGTTCTTTGTCTTGGTCGTCATATATTTTACTTCCTGCGTGGTCAGTTATATATGATGACTCGTTATGGCTGCAACCTTTCAATCTCTTAACCCGACGCCAGAACTCTCCTGGATCGTTGTATGTATGTGGGAGTTGTTCAACTATTTCAGCCCATTTAAGGTTGCTTTGTTCCAGAGATCTTGTTTTTATTTCCTCCCGGATTCTTCTATATGTATTGTAGCTAACGATGTCCCAACCATGGGTCTCGGCTCTCTGTTGTAGCAGTTGGAACTGGTTTGTGAGGGCTATGAGTTCTGGAGTCTGTTGTGGGTGTGGGAGAGTTCTGTTGCGTTTGAGAGGCGTGGCCTCCTGGTAGGCTGTTCCTATGGCTTCACACCATGTGTTGATTTCATCGTCTATTATGTTCACCGGCTGACTGTCTATGGTCTGCAGGATTGTCATGTCCTTGGCCTCAAGTTCGGCTGTAGCTTTTTCGTTGAATAAGTCTCAGTCGGTCTGCTTAGCGATTCTCCGTGGTGGAGCTGGTATAGTTATTGGTGTTGCTGAGATGGTCATGATTATAGGTAGGTGGTCGCTGGAGGTTACAGGGCCTTGTTCAAAGAGATAGTTGTGGAAGCATCTGCCGTTTGTTATTGCTATATCTGGAGTAGTGGCTGAGTTCCTACTGTAGAACGTGGGGAAGTCTGGGCCTATTAGTTTGTTATGAAGCCAGCGAGGCCTCTTCCAACATTGTTAGTTGTCCTCTTACCATCTAGTAGAGGATGTCTGGCGTTCATGTCTCCAATGATGTAGGTTGGGTGGTGGTATGATAGGAGTCTGTGGAAGTCCCCGTAAGGCAGGTAGTGGTGGGAGGTAGGTTGTGGCGATTATGATTGGCCCTGTGGTCAAGTTGATTTGAACAGCGAGAGTTTCAGAGGTGAAGTCGTCAATGATTCTGTGGTGGACATCTCTTTTTACGGCGATGGCCACCCCGTCATTTGGCTCCTCTGATAGATTGGATTTATGGATCGTGTAACCAAATATTTTCAGTTCCTCAGCCGCCTTTTGGCCGTGTGAGTTTATGAGTATAACATCTGCGTCGATTTGGTTGTATTGGCTGGACATACTGAATTTATTAGTTCTCCAGTGGAGGACGTTATGTTGCATTATTTTCACTGCCTTACGAAGCGAGCCCATTGTATCTTGTATTTGGTTTTGGGGGGATGCCTCGGGTTCGTGGTTTGTTCACTGTGCGTCCATTCCTCATTTTTTTTATCACCCCATCGGATGTGTTGTGGATGCAGCCTGTTAAATCGACCCGTTTTTGTTTAATTGCTTCGTGGATGTACTCCTCGGAACTGGGGTGGTCGTACTTCCATTTCATCTTGTACTCCAATACTCCTTTAGCGACTTCATCACGTGTACAGTCCTCGTTTATGTGGTCTGGTACGTAGATGCTTAGATGCAGAACTTTTCCTGATAGATCGCTTGGAGTCCGAGAGACAGGTGTCATCTCCGGTGTAGGTACGAGTGCATCCACACCAGAGGTCACTGTTGTCTCGTCTGTGAATGTTGGAGATTGGGGGACAAGTGTTATCTCCGCTGTGGGTACTTGTGCACCCCCACCAAAGGCTACTGTTGTCTCCTCCGAGGCTGAGGATGTTGCCCTGAACAGTTTTGGGATGGGTAGATTGTGGTGGCGTAAGCATTTTTCGAGTATTGTTTGAAAGCAGCCTGGGTGCCGAACATCCTCCTCATGGGCGTGTTTGACAATCATGTTGGCTAGTATGTCGCGGTCATGGAGGTATCTGTCTCTGGTATTCAACAAGACTGTAGAGTCTGTAGTGGCTGCAGGGACCATAGTGACCGCAGAAGTCGGGGTCCCTACCATCACTGCACTTCTGTATGACCGTGCAGTGACTGCAGGAGTCGGGGTCCCTATCGGCAGCACAGCCTTGTATGGTGATACTGATGTATTTGTGGCTATTTGCTGTCCTTCCTTGATTTTTTCCTTTCTTTTAACACTACTGTTGGCTTTGACGGGGTTGTCCTGGTGCCCCAGTAGACGCTGATAAATGTTGCCACATCCTAGTGAAACAATTCCCCCTATACACTGACATCGAAGATGCGCGTGACTTTAATTCTAGTATACTCAGTATACATCGACATTGGACATTACCGGGGGAACACCCCACAAGCTGCTGTCATTGTCAAGTGGTAGGGAAGGGAATGCCCACCCAATCCTCCCTCCACTTTATGCAGAACCATATTACCCTGGGCCTGCATTTTGTGTTATCTGTTCTCATTGGGGTCACACCTTCACTGCCTGCTGCCAACGTGATCGCCCCAGATGTTGCTTCTGTTCACGTAACCATAATTCCGCCGTCTGTGCCCAGAAAATCAAAGACCACCTTAATATGGGTGGTGTGGGCTATGTAGTTGATCCCAGGTGTTGTAACTGTGGCGGCTGGCACAATGCTGACTCACGGCAATGCCCCAACCGCCCGTCTGTCCCAGGGGAAAAGCCTCCCCAAAGGCTGCTGCGTCTACCAACGCCCCCCACAGTCTACCGGGCCGCCTCCCTCTGCGTCCCCTCTGTCTCCAGCAACTCTTTCTTCAACAACACCTGCCCCTGCCTGGCCTCACCTGGCTGCAACACAGCAGTCCCGGCCGTCTCCTAACTCAACTACTACTGGGCCTCCTCCCCGTCTCTACTCTGAGGCTGTCAGGCCTTGTGCTCCCACCGGTGCCCCCCCCCCACAACCCCCCTCCAGTGACATGCCACCGATCATATCACTCTTCCAAGAATTTACCAACCGTATTGAAAAACTCTTCGTTACACTGTCCCACCATCTCCCACCTACTCTTGCCACCCAGTCACTCCTCTCTTCTGGTTTGACACAAGCTGGTAGTCCCCCTATGAGCCCCCCTGCTCACGGCCTACTCCACCGCTGGCGGCCTTCACTACTGGTTTAGCGCCTACCAGCCCTGGTGTGTCCTGCTGCCCCCTAGCGAAGTCCTGCCTCATCTTCACAACACGTGGTGCCTCAACCTATCCTCCACCCACCGCAAGTCGCGCCAGCTACCGTGTCTGTGCTGTCTCCACCAGAGCTACCTATTGGACCTGAGGACACCACCCCTGGCTACCCGTACCCCACCGGCATATCGACTCACACGCCATCACAATCACACTAAAAGGTATGTCCCTCAATATTGTCAATGCCTATGTGCCTCCCTCCACCCTTACTGTACCTGTCCCACCACACCATATCACCTCCACCCCCACAGTACTTCGCCATGCCTAGTGCATTGTCAACCCCGAGCCTGGCCGCACTGTTTGCAAACTTTGTGGTCAACCCGACTCTCACACCCTCTCTCACTACATCCTCACTTGCCATATGACTTCCTTCTACAGGTCCCCAGGCGTTACCAACACCTCTTCCCTCCCTGACCAGATATCCCTCCTCCTAGAGACAGGCCTGGCACTTGACATTATTAGGGACCTGCAACACTTTGCCATAAACAGATAAAATGTACCAGGAATTTCCCCCCACACACTCATCATTCTGTCACTTTATGTAACTTGCTGACAAAACCCACGACCCTTCAGGCCCTTAATACATGAGTCATAAAGGAAAGCATGAACTGCGCATGCTTCCCAGATGGGCGCTGTAAACTTTCACCTTGCACAGGATGTAAGGGGGTGCCCAATAAACTAGCCTCCTCGGGGGCAATCTAAAAAAAAATACTCTTTGCTATAACATTTCGTTCTCTATCCCTTGCAAGATTTAAATTTTTTATGAGATCTGTCCTATTGTGTATGTTTATGTGTGTATATGCATGAAATCGTGTGTGTGTGTGTAATTCCACTTACTTCACTCACACCCACTTGCAGGGACCTGGAGCTTGGACCATGTAAGGAATCCCAGGAGATATTGCTCAAGCGACAGAGAGAGAGACAAAGTGATCTGGAGAAGGTAAACTGATTTTGTGTTTTGTCGACAAGAGCACCAGTATGTAGGGGGAGGGGGGGCAAAGGGTCACCTGACGTTGTTAGTGCTGTACTCTGGGCACCAAGGTCGACCATACGGGCCCCGGGGAAGGCCTGGTATCTTGCCTCAGGTATTAGATATGCTGTACTTGTGTGCAATCAGTGTCAACAACTGAAAATTTTTATAAGTTCACAGAAAAACTTGCCCCAAGGTCCCGGGAGAGTTTGGGGGCGGAACCATGGCAATGAAACACATTATATTATAACCAATATATACTTCGTTTTATTGTTTATTTTTATTTTTTTGTTATTTCATCAAGTACTTTATTAATGACTCGTGGATTAAATATTCTTATTATAAATTCGGTGATTAATTCATGTTTGTTTTAGCCGTCATTATTATGTATTTCCTGATATAATGCAGTCTTAGAGACACTTCAACGCCTTACTTACCAATATGAAAGGCAGGTTTTCCCCCGAAGAGATCAGCTCCTTGTCTCACCTCAGTTTCTCTCTCCTCACAGGTACAAGGCTCACAGATAGCTTACAGATGGAAGATGCACGCAGTGAGGCAGACACCAAAGGTAAGATATACTATATACTTTTATATGTGACACTAATTACAGATAATTGCCTTATACCTAACCTAACCTAAAGCATCAGAGAGAAAGGTAATATTTTTATATGACTCAATGTTTTCGATTTATCAAGTTGGATTCAATAAAAGCTTAGGTGACCAATGTTCACTATGATATAGATGTATAATTAATCTTCAAGTCAATTTGTTTGAGCAATTCTTATTAATTACATTTAAATATATAAGAGTAACTATGAAATTAGGTAATGCATATTTTAATATATTAATTTTTATAAGTAACTATTTGTTTAGGTAAGATTATATATAACCCCCAAACACACACACACACACACACACGCAAACTATGCTGGAGACTGGTTACCGTGTATGGATTTTGCGTTCGAAATGTATGACACACATTAATGCACTCGCTACGACTCTCCAATGTAAACGCATATACAAACAAGAAATTCACACACACAGTGCCTCCCGAATTATCTTATAATTAACATTGTATTGCCCCATTGATCTCATTCTTCCTCTGTTTGCCCTTTAGGAAACATTCGTTCATTTGAGAAGAGATATAAAGAACGTGAAGGAGAAAACAAAACTCCTAGAGGATAAACTAAACCAAATTATGCTTAAACTTCTGACAAAACCAACAAGTAAGATGCCAGTTAAACCTGAAGCCTCAAGTAAGATACCAGTTAAACCTGAAGCCTCAAGTAAGATACCAATTAAACCTGAAGCTTTAAGCAAGATACCAGTTAAACCTGAAGTCTCAAGTAAGATACCAGTCAAACCTGAAGCCTCAAGTAAGATACCAGTTAAACCTGAAGCTTTAAGCAAGATACCAGTTAAACCTGAAGCTTCAAGTAAGATACCAGTTAAACCTGAAGCCTTAAGTAAGATACCAGTTAAACCTTAAACCTCAACTTAATATTATTCCTAAAAAAATGCAGTAAGGCTACTCTCACTCATTGTTCTCATACGTTGTAGATTTTTTTCTTCAGGAGCAACACCACTTCTAAGAACATAAGTCTACACGCACTCTTAATACAACGCCTGCCTCTATTTTACATTGTTGATAGTGTAGTGGTATTACGTGGTGGGAGTAGCGGCGATAAGTAACGGTAGTGGCCACTATTTTGAGGAAATGTAACGAAACAATTAACGGAGGAGTTAAATGTTCGAGGAAATGCGAGTGCTGACACGCTTAACTTGTCCACTTCTGCTAGTTTATGGTCATGCGATCGCCTGTGTGTCTGTGTCCTTGTATTGATCGCCTGTGTGTCTGTGTCCTTGTATTGATCGCCTGTGTGTCTGTGTCCTTGTATTGATCGCCTGTGTGTCTGTGTCCTTGTATTGATCGCCTGTGTGTCTGTGTCCTTGTATTGATCGCCTGTGTGTCTGTGTCCTTGTATTGATCGCCTGTGTGTCTGTGTCCTTGTATTGATCGCCTGTGTGTCTGTGTCCTTGTATTGATCGCCTGTGTGTCTGTGTCCTTGTATTGATCGCCTGTGTGTCTGTGTCCTTGTATTGATCGCCAATAGCCCCCTGTTGGCAGGTGAGTTGCCACTCCTTGTTATTTTTTTTTACCTTTTTTGCTCTGTATTAGTTTGATTATTCAACTTTTTGTGCTTGTGTCATAGAGTAGCTTTTTATAATAATTTGGACTACAACAGAGCACTAACAGTAAATTATAAATATTCTATTGTGAACGATACTTCACTAAAAGCCATAACTATTAAAAAGTGTTTGTTTGGCTGAGGAAGATGATCTTAGGGACACGTTAGGTGGAGTCTCCCTGTGTTTGTTTTCTACATTTGAATAATTCTCAAGAATTAATGCAGTAATACGTCTACTTTCACCGTATTACTTACACTTCACTCCCTAATCCACCACAGAAACGTTGCTACTCACCTTGCGCTGTATACAACCAGTTACCTAGAAGTTCGTCACATACTCACATTACTTAGCATTCATGTTATTAAGAAATAGATACTTTTTATTCCATGAGCACAATTCATTGGAAATCCTGTAAGCGTGGTTGAGCTTCAGTTATTTCACGCTATCCGCCACACTTTACATGTTCGGTGAGTGAAAGGACTCTGTGACCAGCGTGAACCTCATCACCATGTCCTGAACAATTTGTAGCCTGAATTTTAAGTTATGTATTAGGGTAGAGTACCATGACGAGCAGGAATTGTCCAAGTGATATTGGATGAGCGCCAAGCAAAGGGTCCTGTACAGGCAGCAGCTGACAGGCATTTGGCTCCCAAGAGGTAGAACATGAGACCTGCAGGTGATTATAAATTTATATTATTTTCTTAAACTTGCGTAAATTACACATACATACTGCATGTTAGGGATGTACTCTACCAATTTTTAATAATTTTTCTTTAAAAGTACCTCTTTCAAGGAGTTGACACACACGTTTAGTGTGAGTAGGATTCGTTTAGGCAAATAGTATATGGTAGGAAAGGAAGTACAGTACAGGATCAGAGACAATTTATGACTGATGTCTCACCACGAAGGAATTTATCAAAGATATGAACATAAACAACAATGGCTGGAGTAAAGTTGGAAAAACTCTTGGTCCGCTGAGGCAGGAACTGGTGGCGTGGCTGGAAGGGCTCTGTTCTGTCAAGAGAACTTTGTTCACGTATCACTAACATGAAATAAACATAAGAACATAAGAAAATAAGGAGTCTGCAATAGGCCGGTTGGCCTGTGCAATGTGCGTGGCAGCTCCTGTCGAGAGTTACTACCACTCTCTATCATCCATGAATCTATCCAGCCTCCCTTTGAAACTTTCCAGCGTTCCAGCACTTACTACAAAGTTGCTAAGCTTGTTCCACTCGTCCACCACCCTATTTGTAAACCAGTTCCTTCCTATCTCCCTCCTAAACTTATCCAACTTGAATCCGTTGTTCCGAGTCCTATCCTGCTCGGATATTATAAGAACTTTATCTATATCACCTTTATTGATTCTTTTCACCCACTTGAATACTTCTATCATATCTCCCCGCACTCTTCGTCTTTCTAGGGAATGCAAGTTTAGTTTCTTTAACCTATCCTCATATGGAAGGTCACCACGGGGTATCGGTTTTTAATGTCTTTTAGTTAATCATTTCGGTTGTCAGCTATTTTTAATGATCGTGCCGGATTTTATATATCTAATGATACTGGTAATACTGCATCTTCAACCTTGGAACATATCCTAATGTAGAAGTGAAGGAAACACGACTAAGAGATGGAACTTTATTCCAGACGTTTCGTCAAAACTTTTTCAAAGGAATGATACATACATACATACATACATACATACATACATACATCCCAAGTGACAGAAGTGAAAAAGGTTCAGTGGAATGACAAGTGGACGTAACTTGGAAGTGAGTAGTAGAGGTAGAAATAGGTGCAGTGCACTTAACACAGTATGCCCGATTGTTATAGGATTGTAGTACAGACCAAGGATTCCGGGGCCACCAGGCGTGAACCGGCTGGTTAATTCCAATGTTAACCAGGTTGGTTCATGTATATTATATTGGGCTTTAGTAACGAAACCCAATTGAAGTTTCCTTTTTATTAAAAAGTATTATTTGTATAATTCCATAATTCCTGAGTGTAGATCAACAGTAAGTTCCACTATTTATGAGTGTGATGAGAAAGGGACGGCGTCTACGTAACTAGACGTGAATCAACGTCCGTTTGATATTAGTTTGTGAGTGAGACTTTGAGTAGTGACCCATCGGAGGAGAATGGAATAGACGCGTCGCCCTCTTTCGAGGGAAGACGGAGCCATCCACTGCGGCTCTCAAATGTCTTCCTCTAGTCAAGGATAATAATAATAAATAATAATAATTAATGGTTTATTGAAAGAGCTTGGCAGCCAGAAGGCTGAAAATATACAGTTACATATTTGGGGAATGGGTTTCGAATTACAAATATCAAGCGACTGCCCACTTTGGGTGGCCAGGAGCCGGCTACTTTATGCCTTTACTCAGCATAGTATGACGCAGCTTCCCGTGGGCACACCTTATCACGTGCATTGAACATGTCACCTCATAGCCAGTGGAAAGTCACAGGGGATGACTCAGTATATAAATCAAATGTAATTAACCCATTTATATAATTCTTATGTTTATGAAACAAGGGCCATTACAGGCGTGGGGATACAGATTTCACTGACTTAGTCTTGAGTGGGAAGCATTTATCAAAGCAAGCATTGAAGATGCAAGAGAAGTTGCAGCTGTTCACGTTAGGGTTGTCGGAGGCATAGACAAGATCCCAGTTAGCATTCATAAGGTTGTTTTAAAAAGGGAGCATGTTGTCGGTGCAGTAGTCTCTGTATTGTATTGAGACTCTACCTGACCTATAAAAAGAAGCTGAGAATAGAAACTAAAAGTGATGAGGAAAGCAGTGGCAGGATCGAGGAATACAGCACTGCTTCGTTGGTCATCTCGGCACAGTCCCCCAGTAGTGTCGCGTTGAGGAATTTAGGAAGGATAAAGATGTCAGTTTTCAATTTTTTTATATATTTAGCCCAGTGTTGACACTCACAGCTGGCATGTTCCATGAAGCGTAAGTAAAGTCTCTTTTTCTTCCCAGGTTCATCTTCATTGAACACACACATATTTATTTCCTCCTCCTCCTCAGTTTTCATACCCCAGAATTTCTTTGAGGGACAGGGGGAGAGGTCGTGGCGACATTTACGCACAGGCAAGGGAGGGCCCACTTCCTGCAACTGGATATTTAAATTATAGAGTGGATTCAGACCCTCCTTGAGTTTAAGCCAAGGCACGTATGTGACAATAGGTTCAGTGGCCTCTGTCTCTGGCTGCTCGATCCATTTATCTGTAAAAAAAAAAAATCTTTCCTAACAGGAATCCAGTCTCAAGCAATGACCTAGACTGGCTTTCTACCAGTGCTGAGACATGGATATTTCAGTTGTCAGCCAGTGACAAGAACCCCCTAGGGTGGCTGATATACTCTTAGCACTCACACAACATCAAACATACCAGTTGAATGACTGTGATAGAACTAGCCCTCAAACTACAGCTTAAAGTACATACCAGCTAGGACGAGGCCTGCCAGAAGTTCTTGATACAAAATAATTGCCAGAAGCAGAGACCTCATCATGGCTGGCTGTAAACAACAAACAGAGTTAACGTGTGCAGGGAAGTAAATATGAGCACAACACATCTACAGTATATTGCAATGTTATTCCAAAGTTTGCTAAACGAAGTTACATTAATAAATATATAATTTTGAAAATAATTCATAGGACTGATTTTTTTTATTAGAGAGAGGTGTGTCTGCAACTTACACTTCGTGAATGGAAGAACAAAAAGTTATTTTGGCAACAGCAATAAACCATTGATAATTATCAATGGTTTATTGCTGTTGCCAAAATAACTTTTTGTTCTGATTATAATCAGTATGCAAAATAATATTATAATTTTGATTTCGAATAAACCTCGGTGACAGTGTCTTTAGTAACAAGAAATGTGTGTGGGTTTTTTTTAAGATAATGCCTAGGGCCCGTATACACAAAACGTTTATGCTAATGACATAGTAATACTGTTAGCTAGCAGTAAAATTTAAGTTATACACAGGGCTTAACTAGCAAACTTTTACCGCACAACTAGTGTTTAAGTACCGCTAAACGAGTTCATCATATAAAATGGTCTTATGGCTGAATAACCTCAATACAATTTTGAAGATTAATTTCAATGTTTACATTATATACATTGTGATAATTAAAATAAAAAATAAATAATCTATGCGGTTTAAAGATGTCTTGAATAAAGACGAAAGCTAAGGTGCTCCGTTGTTTCCCTTTTCCCCGTGTGATTTTATCAAGATTTATCTTATCCACGTTTTCACTGTGGAGCTACATGAAATATATATATATATATATATATATATATATATATATATATATATATATATATATAGAGAGAGAGAGAGAGATACTGTACCGATGCGCGAGACCTACACCAGATACACAATTGTATTACACATTATATATCTGTACATAAGAATCGTAACAAACTCGTTAGAATGTACAAAAAAAAAAATTATATTATTTATAACACAGGAAGAAGGATTGAAGAAGTAATAAAAAAGATAAATTGGCTGGCCATTGTCACCAGAACTTAACGCTCAATTATCACTCACCTACGTACTGCAATAGATACCGATGCCAGACACTTGCATCAGGTAGGGTTAAGTGGATACCGTAGGGAAGACTTAAATTCTGTGTGGATTGTAAAAATAGCCTTTTATGCTTCCCATCCAAAAAGATTTGGCCGAATTTTGGCCAAAAATGAAAAACTGTTTAGCCGTGAAGCTTTTCGCATACAGGTATCTGGCAAACCAGATGCCACGCACTGTGCTTGCAGAATTATCCTAGCTTATGTCAGCTATTTTAATCCGAGTTGTGGACTTCGTAAGTCTTTAGTGAATCACCACTGCAGGAGTTAATGAACTTTTAAGTACTTACGATGTTCGTAAGATCAGTGATGAATACAACGCACTAACCCAGCTGCAGAGTGCACACTGCCGCACTGCGCCCAGCGCTGCCATTCATTCCTCAACTCTATGACGTCATTCTTCCTCACGTTTTCGTTGGGTATTAATGGACATTAAAGAGCATGAATTTTAGGTATAACTACTGTAATGTCTTGGCAAACTATACATATGCGCATACAAAAACCCCACAACCATATAATATTATAACATAACATGGGAACATTAAACACTAATTGAACAAAAAATATCAAATAGAAGTTAGCGTCCTCTGATTTGGTGTAAAATTTATACATCCACCCTGGAATTTCACAGCCTCAGACGAGGCTATTAATGAATTAATAGAGGGAGTTTGCAGAGTTTTTCTGGATTTTTTTTCATTAAATTCAATTTAGAAAATAGTCTCTCTGCATCTGCATTGGATGTTGGAAGAGACAATACCTGCAAAGCAAATGTACAAAGGTCCTTAAATTGGGAAACACCTACACCGTCCTTAAGTTCCCCTAGTTTTGTATAAACGTCCACTATGTCACTGCTGTCCTTAATCTCGGGTGGTATAGCAATCACATCTAAGTCTCTCCATTGATCATTTAAAACTTGTATACTGCCTTCACAAAGTCGTCTAAGGATGGCATTGTGGAGGTATGAGATATTGGTTCACACTCAGGATGGGATGGAGAAAGGAAACTCACAATGTGCTCACTGTATACATATTGTATTGGATGTACAATGCAGCTTGTTGCTGTGTAGGTAGCATGGTAATAAGCGTTGAGTAGAGAGAGCTGGGTGGTGAAGGTGCCCATTGGAGGGACACACGGCTTGAGGGACGCCAAGTCGTTGGCGGGAGCGGCAGCCGCCAGGCTGGCGTGGAGGAGATGGTGTTGCTTGAAGGTGGCACTGGGTAGAAAAGAGGGTGGTCACAGCGGTGTCAGGTCTTATATGGCGGGGGTAGGCGTGGGTAGATAGTTGACCCCCGCTCCATGGGTGGCGCTGGAGGCGTAGGCTGGGGAATTCGAGAAGGTTCGGTGCTTGTAGGGGAAGAATCAACTACAGCATCTCCTTATTGGATTTATTACCAATACTCTATTTGATGACAGAAATTAACACATCCATAAAAACTTACTGCCAAACTCAAATCTTTGACGCAATTGCACACAAAGGTTTATCATGAAGATACGACATCTGAATTGTACATCCTTGACCATATTAGGGAGTTCTCTATATTGTTCACTTTAGCCGAGTATTGTTGCTCCCAAGTAAATTTGGCCAATTGGGAGGTGATTTTCTTCATTTCTGGGATCAACTGCATCAAGATTACCAGTTTGAAAAACTTCATGGCGACAAAAATATCCCAAAAGATTCCTGTAAAGCTGACATATACTATCGTGTAACAAATGTTTAGTTGGTGACTCTCTCTGAAACAGTAGATTTAACTTGTTACAATTGGGCAATATGAAATTAAGAAAATTGTAGTACAGGTAAAGGGTCCCCAAGACTCTCTGCTATTTGTTGTACGACCACCAATCTTTCCTCTGATTCTTTTAAAGTAAAAAACATTTTTAGGGCTGCCACTGCTCTAATACTCTTTCAACTGCCTGGTGGAATGATAACCAGCTGGTCTGATTAACATGCAGAACTTTGTGTGGTTTGACAGTACAGAATGATTAAATTCCTTAAATTCATGTTGTCGTTTAGCACTATGGAAAAAATAGGTATATAAGTCTGATCATGTCTTCACAACGCCGTGGTAGCGTCTTTGCAGCTTCTGAGGCGCATAAGTGAATAGAATGACAAATACATTTCAATACCAGGAATAGTGATATGTAGTCTGCTGCTTACAGAATTGTGTTCTCCCATAATGTTACTAGCGCCATCAAAGCCAATCAGGTTCTCATGTGGAATTCGGTGTGTTTCTAATGTTTTCATAATTAAATTATACAACTTTTCCCCTGTTGACCCTGTAGATGATTCATCACCATATACATTGATCATCTCTAATAACCCAGATTTAATGCTGTTTGTGGTTGAATCCCAAAATCTTACAAGAACAGAGGATGCTTTCATCGTACTAATGTCTGTTGTTTCGTCAACAATAATGGACAATTTACTTTCTCTAAGTTTATCTACTAAATCCTCGGTGACACACCATCCTAACGTCCTCACAACCTCTGTGGATTTTGTTCTTTTCTTGTTCATGCCTTGAGCAATTGCAGAATCAGGAAACATCCTCTTCATGAGGTCTACTAAATGATCTACAGTGGTAAATGGCAAGTTGTGCTCGGCTATAAAGCAAGCAAAAAGAATTGTTGCTATGGCTACTCCATTTGCTGCATAGTTCCCATGGTGGACCGGGATCCTCTCCTGCTGGACCTTCTGTTGTTCCGAGGCCTCATAAACTGAATGCATCTTTGTCGTTTAGTGACGTTTGATGGCTGTCGACTCTGCCCTCACTTCCCTCTTGCATATTTTGCAAAAGGCCCTAGATGGATTGTCTTCAACACGGGACAACCAGGGCTAGAAATCTTCATTGTTCAGCCATGCATCTCTGAAGCTCCGCTTCGCAGCCATCACCACCCGCAATAGGAGATTTGATCAACTTTTGTGTAGTCTCCCCTGCAAACCCAAGAATAACTAAATCAGTGAATAATTGCCATGATCGTTCTAGGCTACTTGCATAGTCCTTTATAAGTGAAGGAAAATAATGTATATTTGGCCCTTTGGAAAAATAAAAGCAACAAATGAACAGGGTGTAAAGATTTCATTTATCTAATCATTTCTGTTGATACACTGATAAAAGAAAACGGTTAAGGTGTAAGTAACTGCTACATAGGTGATGAAAGCTGTGATTAATTACATGCCAATTACATAAATAAATATATCCTTACCGGCTTGTAGATAGAGTTCTGTGAGTACGTCTAGCTGATGATGAGAACTCTTACCATATCCAATGACGAGAACAAGGTGGGGTTTCCACAGCAATCGAGGGTCCCATGTTGACTTTCCACGCCATTTATTACCCACAATCCATTTATACTATACATTATCTGTTGATATTTACTAAAGGAGTTGATAAAAAAGTCATATATATTACTGAAGAAAAAATTATTAAATCCTTTACATTTTATATGCATTTCTTGAACAATGAGGAATATATTCCTCATGGCATCTCTGACGTAGAATGTGGACGGCCTCTCCTCATGACGTCACCAACTGTCATATGTTTTCCTCGTTAGCAGACGATATTCCTCAAAACGGCAGCCCTGAATGCGCCGCGGGCAGTGCTCCCACACAGGGTTGCAAGACGAAAGATGTACGACAAGCTTCACGGCCAATCTCACGCCATCTCACGGCCAAAACGCTCGAAATTCGGCCGAAAGTTTTTGGATGGGAAGCATGTGGGGTACGTTGTATTTGGGTTCACACTCAGGATGGGATGGAGAAAGGAAACTCACAATGTGCTCTCTGTATACATGTTGTATTGGATGTACAATGCAGCTTGGTGCTGGGAAGTGGCAGCATGGTTACAAGCTTGATGTAGAGAGAGCTGGTTGGTGAGGGTGCTCAGAGGAGGACAGCTTGTGGGTCGCCTTGCTCGCCGGCGGGAGCGAGGGCCGCCAGGCAGCGGCTCTTGCGGGCACTAAAGCCACTGGGAGGGCCCCTGGGACGGCACCTATGGGCACCCCCGCCCCTGTGAGGGTTCGTGGAGTCGCCGTCGCCCTAGAGAGGGCCCCTGGGGTCTCCACCGACCCAGGGTGAGCCCCTGATATCGCCGCCGCCCATAGTAGCTTACCTGGGGGACCGCCGCCTCTGGAAAGGTCCCTAGGGAGTCCACCACTCCTGGCAGGGCCCCTGGGGGCGCCGCCGCCCCTGCAAGGAACCCTGGATTAACCGAGGTCCCTGGGAGGGTCCATGAGGCCACCACCGCCCATGCGAGGACCCCTAGTTGCGTCGCTTCACCTGGGAGGGCCATTGGAGTCGCCTTTGCCACAGGGAGGTCTCCTAGGGGTGTTGCAGCCCCTGGTAGGGCTCCTAAAGTCGTCACCGACCCTGAGAGAGCCCCTGGGGTCGCCACAGCCTGTGCAGTCGTGGCAGCCCTTGACCCGGCCCCTGGGGTCACTGTCTCTGTAGGGCCCTTGGAGCACATGTTTTTTTTTTTCATTATTTAGAACAATGGAAGATATGACGTTAAATAACTCTGTCCATCGCATTTCCAGTATCATCGCCTCATGAACAATGTAAAGGAGAATAAATATCCAACAGGAAAACATAAGTTGGGGTGTTGCGCTGACTGACTGCTCTGTTCTCCTACTGGCTGTAATTTGGTGGATAAACATTCTAGTCCACCAATCACAGTTAAGTGAGGGATTGCTGGACGTATGGAATACAGTATGTACACCACCACGACCAAGCAAGTTATTGGATTAAGGAAGGGGCACCCCTGTTATGGCCCCGGGGATCCCCTTATAGGGCCATTGAGGTCGTCGCTATCCCTGGGAGGGCCCCTGGGGGGCCACCGCACCTGCCAATGCCCCTGTGGTCACCTCTACCTCTTGGAGGGCTCTTGGGGGCATTAGAGCCACTGGGAGGGCCCCTGGGACGACCCCTGTGGGCACCCTCGCCCCTGTGACGGTCCGTCGAGTCGCCGTCACCCTAGAGAGGGCCCCTGGGGTCGCCACCGACACCAGGGTGAGCCCCTGATATCGCTGCCGCCCATAGTAGCTTACCTGGGGGACCGCCACCACTGGAAAGGTCCCTAGGGGGTCCACCACTCCTGGCAGGGCTGCTGGGGGCGCCGCCGCCCCTGCAAGGAACTCTGGATTAACCGAGGTCCCTGGGAGGGCCCATGAGAAAACTACCGCCCATGCGAGGGCCCCTAGGTGCATTGCTTCACCTGGGAGGCCCATTGGAGTCGCCGCTGCCACAGGGAGGGCCCCTAGGGGTGTTGCAGCCCCTGGTAGGGCTCCTGAAGTCGTCACTGCCCCTAGGAGAGCCCCTGGGGTCGCCAAAGCCCCTGCAGTCGCTACTACCCTTGACTTGGCCCCTGGGGTCACTGTCTCTGTGGTGTCCTTGGGGCAAATGTTTTCTTTTTTTTCATTATTTAGAACAATGGGACATATGACGTTAAATAAATCGCTGTCCATCACATTTCCAGTATCATCGCCTTATGAACAATGTAAAGAGAATAAATATCCAACAGGAAAACATAAGTTGGGGTGTTGTGCTGACTGACTGCTCTGTTCTCCTATTGGCTGTAATATGGTGGGTAAACATTCTAGTCCACCAATCACAGTTAAGCGAGGGATTGCTGGACAGAACAATGGGAGATATGACGTTAAATAACTCACCACCCATAGCATTTCCAGTATCATCGCCTCATGAACAGTAAAGGAGAATAAATATCCAACAGGAAAACATAAGTTGGGGTGTTGTGCTGACTGACTGCTCTGTTCTCCTATTGGCTATAATATGGTGGGTAAACATTCTAGTCCACCAATCACAGTTAAGCGAGGGATTGCTGGACAGAACAATGGGAGATATGACGTTAAATAACTCACCACCCATAGCATTTCCAGCATCATCGCCTCATGAACAGTAAAGGAGAATAAATATCCAACAGGAAAACATAAGTTGGGGTGTTGTGCTGACTGACTGCTCTGTTCCCCTATTGGCTGTAATTTGGTGGGTAAGCATTCTAGTCCACCAATCACAGTAAAGTAAGGGATTGCTGGACGTATGCAATACAGTATGTACAACACCACGACCAAGCAAGTTATTTGGCTTAAGGGAAGGGGCGCCCCTGGTAGGGCCCCGGGGGATCCCCTTCTAGGGCCCCTTGGGTCATCACTACCCCTGGGATGGCCCCTGTGGCGCAACCACACCTGCCTATACCCCTGTGGTCGCCGGTGCCTCATGGAGGGCTCTTGGGGCACTACAACCACTGGGAGGGCCCCTGGGACGACCACGGTAGGTACCCCGCCCCTGCGAGGGTCCCTGGAGTCGCCATCACCCTAGAGAGGGCCCCTGGGGTCGCCACCGACCCAGGGTGAGCCCCTGATATCGCCGCTGCCCATAGTAGCTTACCTGGTGGACCGCTGCCCCTGGAAAGGTCCCTAGGGGTTCCACCACTCCTGGCAGGGCCCCTGGTGGCGCCGCCGCCCCTGCAAGGAACCCTGGATTAACCGAGGTCCCTGGGAGGGCCCATGAGGCCACCACCGCCCATGCGAAGGCCCCTAGGTGCGTCGCTTCACCTGGGAGGGCCATTGGAGTCGCCGTTGCCACAGGGAGGTCTCCTAGGGGTGTTGCAGCCCCTGGTGCGGCTCCTCAAGTCTTCATCGCCCCTGAGAGAGCCCCTGGGGTCGGTACAGCCGCTGCAGTTGCTATTGCCCTTGACCTGCCCACTGGGGTCCCTGTCTCTGTAGGGCCCTTGAGGCAAATTTTTTTTTTTTCATTATTTAGAACAATGGGAGATATGACGTTAAATAACTCGCTGTCCATCGCATTTCCAGTATCATCATCGCCTTATGAACAATGTAAAGAGAATAAATATCCAACAGGAAAACATAAGTTGGGGTGTTGTGCTGACTGACTGCTCTGTTCTCCTATTGGCTGTAATATGGTGGGTAAACATTCTAGTCCACCAATCACAGTTAAGCAAGGGATTGCTGGACAGAACAATGGGAGATATGACGAAAAATAACTCACCACCCATCGCATTTCCAGTATCAACCCCTCATGAACAATGTAAAGGAGAATAAATATCCAACAGGAAAACATAAGTTGGGGTGTTGTGCTGACTGACTGCTCTCTTCTCCTATTGGCTGTAATATGGTGGGTAAACATTCTAGTCCACCAATCACAGTTAAGCAAGGGATTGCTGGACAGAACAATGGAGATATGACGCAACAACTCACCAGCACCACTCCCATTTCCAGTATCATTCTCAAGAACAGTAAAGTGAGAATAAATATTCAACAGAAAACAAGGTTAGTGTTGTGCCGACGACTGTTCTTGGTTCCCTTTATTGGTCGTAATTTGGTGGGTAAGTTCTAGTCCACTCAATCAAAGTTGCTTAGGATTATGGACAGAACAATGGAGATATGATTTGCAATAACTGATCGTCCATCGCGATTTCCAGTATCATCGCCATGAACAGTAAAGGAGAAAATTATCCAGTCAGAAACACATAAGTTAGTGCTTTAAAAGGACTGACTGCTCTGTTCTATTGGCTGTAATTTGGTGGTAATATTCTAGTCCACTAATCATGCTGTTGGTGGGATTGCTGGACAGAACAATGGGAGATATGACGTTAAATAACTCACTGTCCATCGCATTTCCAGTATCATCGCCTCATGAACAGTAAAGGAGAAAAATTATCCAACAGGAAAACATAAGTTGGGGTGTTGTGCTGACTGACTGCTCTGTTCCCCTATTGGCTGTAATTTGGTGGGTAAACATTCTAGTCCACCAATCACAGTTAAGCGAGGGATTGCTGGACAGAACAATGGGAGATATGACGTTATATAACTCGCTGTCCATCGCATTTCCAGTATCATCGCCTCATGAACAGTAAAGGAGAATAAATATCCAACAGGAAAACATAAGTTGGGGTGTTGTGCTGACTGACTGCTCTGTTCCCCTATTGGCTGTAATTTGGTGGGTAAGCATTCTAGTCCACCAATCACAGTAAAGTAAGGGATTGCTGGACGTATGCAATACAGTATGTACAACACCACGACCAAGCAAGTTATTTGGCTTAAGGGAAGGGGCGCCCCTGGTAGGGCCCTGGGGGATCCCCTTCTAGGGCCCCTTGGGTCATCACTACCCCTGGGATGGCCTCTGTGGCGCAACCACACCTGCCTATACCCCTGTGGTCGCCGGTGCCTCATGGAGGGCTCTTGGGGCACTGTCCACTGAGTCCCTAGGACGACCACGGTAGGTGCCCGCCCTGCGAGGGTCCCTGAGCGCCATCACCCCAGAGAGGCCCCCTGGGGTCGCCACCGACCCAGAGTGAGCCCCTGATATCGCCGCTGCCCATAGTAGCTTACCTGGTGGACCGCTGCCCCTGGAAAGGTCTCTAGGGGTTCCACCACTCCTGGCAGGGCCCCTGGTGGCGCCGCCGCCCATGCAAGGAACCCTGGATTAACCGAGGTCCCTGGGAGGGCCCATGAGGCCACCACCGCCCATGCGAGGGCCCCTATGTGCGTCGATTCACCTGGGAGGGCCATTGGAGTCGCCGTTGCCACAGGGAGGTCTCCTAGGGGTGTTGCAGCCCCTGGTGCGGCTCCTGAAGTCTTCACCGCCCCTGAGAGAGCCCCTGGGGTCGGTACAGCCGCTGCAGTTGCTATTGCCCTTGACCTGCCCACTGGGGTCCCTGTCTCTGTAGGGCCCTTGAGGCAAATGTTTTTTTTTTTTTCATTATTTAGAACAATGGGAGATATGACGTTAAATAACTCGCTGTCCATCGCATTTCCAGTATCATCGCCTTATGAACAATGTAAAGAGAATAAATATCCAACAGGAAAACATAAGTTGGGGTGTTGTGCTGACTGACTGCTCTGTTCTCCTATTGGCTGTAATATGGTGGGTAAACATTCTAGTCCACCAATCACAGTTAAGCGAGGGATTGCTGGACAGAACAATGGGAGATATGACGTTAAATAACTCACCACCCATCGCATTTCCAGTATCATCGCCTCATGAACAGTAAAGGAGAATAAATATCCAACAGGAAAACATAAGTTGGGGTGTTGTGCTGACTGACTGCTCTGTTCCCCTATTGGCTGTAATTTGGTGGGTAAACATTCTAGTCCACCAATCACAGTTAAGCGAGGGATTGCTGGACAGAACAATGGGAGATATGACGTTAAATAACTCACCACCCATCGCATTTCCAGTATCATCGCCTCATGAACAGTAAAGGAGAATAAATATCCAACAGGAAAACATAAGTTGGGGTGTTGTGCTGACTGACTGCTCTGTTCCCTTATTGGCTGTAATTTGGTGGGTAAACATTCTAGTCCACCAATCACAGTTAAGCGAGGGATTGCTGGACAGAACAATGGGAGATATGACGTTAAATAACTCACCACCCATAGCATTTCCAGTATCATCGCCTCATGAACAGTAAAGGAGAATAAATATCCAACAGGAAAACATAAGTTGGGGTGTTGTGCTGACTGACTGCTCTGTTCCCCTATTGGCTGTAATTTGGTGGGTAAGCATTCTAGTCCACCAATCACAGTAAAGTAAGGGATTGCTGGACAGAACAATGGGAGATATGACGTTAAATAACTCACTGTCCATCGCATTTCCAGTATCATCGCCTCATGAACAGTAAAGGAGAATAAATATCCAACAGGAAAACATAAGTTGGGGTGTTGTGCTGACTGACTGCTCTGTTCCCCTATTGGCTGTAATTTGGTGGGTAAACATTCTAGTCCACCAATCACAGTTAAGCGAGGGATTGCTGGACAGAACAATGGGAGATATGACGTTAAATAACTCACTGTCCATCGCATTTCCAGTATCATCGCCTCATGAACAGTAAAGGAGAATAAATATCCAACAGGAAAACATAAGTTGGGGTGTTGTGCTGACTGACTGCTCTGTTCCCCTATTGGCTGTAATTTGGTGGGTAAGCATTCTAGTCCACCAATTACAGTAAAGTAAGGGATTGCTGGACGTATGCAATACAGTATGTACAACACCACGACCAAGCAAGTTATTTGGCTTAAGGGAAGGGGCGCCCCTGGTAGGGCCCCGGGGGATCCCCTTCTAGGGCCCCTTGGGGCATCACTACCCCTGGGATGGCCCCTGTGGCGCAAACACACCTGCCTATACCCCTGTGGTCGCCAGTGCCTCATGGAGGGCTCTTGGGGGCACTACAACCACTGGGAGGGCCCCTGGGACGACCACGGTAGGTACCCCGCCCCTGCGAGGGTCCCTGGAGTCGCCATCACCCTAGAGAGGGCCCCTGGGGTCGCCACCGACCCAGGGTGAGCCCCTGATATCGCCGCTGCCCATAGTAGCTTACCTGGTGGACCGCTGCCCCTGGAAAGGTCTCTAGGGGTTCCACCACTCCTGGCAGGGCCCCTGGTGGCGCCGCCGCCCATGCAAGGAACCCTGGATTAACCGAGGTCCCTGGGAGGGCCCATGAGGCCACCACCGCCCATGCGAGGGCCCCTATGTGCGTCGATTCACCTGGGAGGGCCATTGGAGTCGCCGTTGCCACAGGGAGGTCTCCTAGGGGTGTTGCAGCCCCTGGTGCGGCTCCTGAAGTCTTCACCGCCCCTGAGAGAGCCCCTGGGGGCGGTACAGCCGCTGCAGTTGCTATTGCCCTTGACCTGCCCACTGGGGTCCCTGTCTCTGTAGGGCCCTTGAGGCAAATTTTTTTTTTTTCATTATTTAGAACAATGGGAGATATGACGTTAAATAACTCGCTGTCCATCGCATTTCCAGTATCATCGCCTTATGAACAATGTAAAGAGAATAAATATCCAACAGGAAAACATAAGTTGGGGTGTTGTGCTGACTGACTGCTTTGTTCTCCTATTGGCTGTAATATGGTGGGTAAACATTCTAGTCCACCAATCACAGTTAAGCGAGGGATTGCTGGACAGAACAATGGGAGATATGACGTTAAATAACTCACTGTCCATCGCATTTCCAGTATCATCGCCTCATGAATAGTAAAGGAGAATAAATATCCAACAGGAAAACATAAGTTGGGGTGTTGTGCTGACTGACTGCTCTGTTCCCCTATTGGCTGTAATTTGGTGGGTAAACATTCTAGTCCACCAATCACAGTTAAGCGAGGGATTGCTGGACAGAACAATGGGAGATATGACGTTAAATAACTCACCACCCATCGCATTTCCAGTATCATCGCCTCATGAACAGTAAAGGAGAATAAATATCCAACAGGAAAACATAAGTTGGGGTGTTGTGCTGACTGACTGCTCTGTTCCCTTATTGGCTGTAATTTGGTGGGTAAACATTCTAGTCCACCAATCACAGTTAAGCGAGGGATTGCTGGACAGAACAATGGGAGATATGACGTTAAATAACTCACCACCCATCGCATTTCCAGTATCATCGCCTCATGAACAGTAAAGGAGAATAAATATCCAACAGGAAAACATAAGTTGGGGTGTTGTGCTGACTGACTGCTCTGTTCCCTTATTGGCTGTAATTTGGTGGGTAAACATTCTAGTCCACCAATCACAGTTAAGCGAGGGATTGCTGGACAGAACAATGGGAGATATGACGTTAAATAACTCACTGTCCATCGCATTTCCAGTATCATCGCCTCATGAACAGTAAAGGAGAATAAATATCCAACAGGAAAACATAAGTTGGGGTGTTGTGCTGACTGACTGCTCTGTTCCCCTATTGGCTGTAATTTGGTGGGTAAGCATTCTAGTCCACCAATCACAGTTAAGTAAGGGATTCCTGGACGAATGCAATACAGTATGTACAACACCACGACCAAGCAAGTTATTTGGCTTAAGGGAAGGGGCGCCCCTAGTAGGTCCCCGGGGGATCACCTTCTAGGGCCCCTTGGGTCATCGCTACCCCTGGGATGGCCCCTGGGGCGCCACCACACCTGCCATTACCCCTGTGGTCGCCGTTGCCTCTTGTAGGGCTCTTCGGGGCACTACAACCACTGGGAGGGCCCCTGGGACGGCCCCGGTTGGCACCCCTGCCCCTGCGAGGGTCCCTGGAGTCGCCATCACCCTAGAGAAGGCCCCTGGGGTCGCCGCCGACCCAGGGTGAGCCCCTGATATCGCCGCCGCCCATAGTAGCTTACCTGGTGGACCGCCGCCACTGGAAAGGTCCCTAGGGTTTCCACCACTCCTGGCAGGGCCCCTGGTGGCGCCGCCGCCCCTGCAAGGAACCCTGGATTAACCGAGGTCCCTGGGAGGGCCCATGAGGCCACCACCGCCCATGCGAGGGCCCCTAGGTGCGTCGCTTCACCTGGGAGGGCCATTGGAGTCGCCGTTGCCACAGGGAGGTCTTCTAGGGGTGTTGCAGCCCCTGGTACGGCTCCTGAAGTCGCCCCCCCCCCCTTGAGAGAGCCCCTGGGGTCGGTACAGCCGCTGCAGTTGCTATTGCCCTTGACCTGCCCACTGGGGTCCCTGTCTCTGCAGGGCCCTTGGGGCAAATGTTTTTTTTTTCATTATTTAGAACAATGGGAGATATGACGTTAAATAACTCGCTGTCCATCGCATTTCCAGTATCATCGCCTTATGAACAATGTTAAAGGAGAATAAATATCCAACAGGAAAACATAAGTTGGGGTGTTGCGCTGACTGACTGCTCTGTTCTTCTATTGGCTGTAATATGGTGGGTAAACATTCTAGTCCACCAATCACAGTTAAGCAAGGGGTTGCTGGACAGAACAATGGGAGATATGACGTTAAATATCTCACTGCCCATCGCATTACCAGCATCATCGCCTCATGAACAATGTTAAAGGAGAATAAATATCCAACAGGAAAACATAAGTTGGGGTGTTGCGCTGACTGACTGCTCTGTTCCCCTATTGGCTGTAATTTGGTGGGTAAGCATTCTAGTCCACCAATCACAGTTAAGGGATTGCTGGACGTATGCAATACAGTATGTACAACACCACGACCAAGCAAGTTAATGGGCTTAAGAAGGGGGCGCCCCTGTTATGGCCCCGGGGGATCCCCTTCTAGGGCCCCTTGGGTCATCGCTGCCCCTGGGATGGCCCCTGGGGTGCCACCACACCTGCCAATGCCCTGAACACATCCCTCCTGCACTACTCACTGCCGAGTATGTTTTCGTCAGGCATGATGGTCACCGCAACCCGCTACAACGCCCCTACGATGGACCCTTCCTGGTTGTTACGTGTTCAGCGAAGTTCCACACGATTATCCGGAATGGCAGACACAACACCGTCAGCATAGACAGAGTCAAGCCGGCCACCTTACCCGTTGGGTCCCCAGCCCAGCAGCACCCCCAACAAACTACGCCTGCACCAGTCTACCCACAGTTACCACCTGCAGCAACACCCCACCCACAACATTTCTGGGCACCCTCTTTCCACCCTCAGGTACCCCTTGCTCCTGTCCTACACCCTGCTGTTGTCGTTGACCCTGTTGGTGTCATGGCCCCTGCCCCTGACCCAGTCTACCCAGCCAGTGACGCATTGTGAGTTTCTATTCTACCTCATTCCTGAGTGAGAGATATCTACAAGTACGTACATTTGTGTGCCCATACAGAGACAATAGACAACTAAAGAGTCCAATTGGGTGCGGTTGGTTGTGATTTGTGGTGGTGTATGGTACTACAGCTGGACCTGGCACAAGCAGCAAGTACACTCATGTGTACAATTCTGCTGTGCCTCGGGTTTTGGGAGCCTTACACGGTACCTGGTAGTCTAACTCGGGTCCTGGTAAACTTACTTGGGCGCTGGCAGCCTTACCCGGTCCCTGGGAGCCTTACACGGTCCCTGGTAGTCTAACTCGGGTCCTGGTAAACTTACTTGGGCGCTGGCAGCCTTACCCGGTCCCTGGGAGCCTTACACGGTCCCTGAGAGCCTTACACGGTTCCTGGGAGCCCTACACAGTCCATAAGAGCCACACACGGTCCCTGGTAATCTAACTCGGGTCCTGGTAAACTTACTTGGGCACTGACAGCCTTACCCGGTCCCTGGGAGCCTTACCCGGTCCCTGGTAGTCTAACTCGGGTCCTGGTAAACTTACTTGGGCGCTGGCAGCCTTACCTGGTCCCTGGGAGCCTTACACGGTCCCTGAGAGCCTTACACAGTTCCTGGGAACCCTAAACTGTCCATAAGAGCCATACACGGTCCCTGGTAATCTAACTCGGGTCCTGGTAAACTTACTTGGGCGCTGGCAGCCTTACCCGGTCCCTGGGAGCCTTACACGGTCCCCGAGAGCCTTACACGGTTCCTGGGAGCCTAACACGGTCCATAAGAGCCATACACGGTCCCTGGTAATCTAACTCGGATCCTGGTAAACTTACTTGGGCGCTGGCAGCCTTACCAGGTCCCTGGGAGCCTTACACGGTCCCTGAGAGCCTTACATGGTTCCTGGGAACCCTACATGGTCCCTGGTAACCTAACTCGTGTCCTGGTAAACTTACTTGGGCGCTGGCAGCCTTATCCGGGCGCTGGCAGCCTTACCCGGGCGATGGCAGCCTTATACAGGATCTTACAGCCTTATACGAACCCTGGCAGCCTTACACTTGCCCTGGAAGCCTTACCCAGGCCTTGGGAGTCTTACTCTGTTCCTGGGAGTGTTAACATGAACTCAGGAATGTAACTCTTACCATGGCCGGGGTCTGACTGTTTATATTATGATATGATACTGAACATTTTATGTTTGGGGTTTTAAAACAACAAGTGCAAGGTTTATATAATATAATTCTCAGAACCTTGTACAGTATTATCTAAAACAGTATCTAGGGACCACATTAATATCAACAATCATTATATCTTAGACATGGATGCATATTTTCACTATAAAAATCTTATACTGTAATAAAATTTAAATTAAGAACATTAAAGCTTTGGTGTCAATTAAACTTATATACAGAGTATATATATATATATATATATAATATATATATATATATATATATATATATATATATATATATATATATATATATATATATATATATATATATATATATATATATATATGTGAGGTAAATAGGAGGGAAAGAATAATATAAGCAAATAAGGAGACGTGGCAGTGACAAAAGCCTCAGACAGAGAACAGATTTGGGTTTGTTCAAGTGATATGGACATACTGTACAGAGAAGAAATGGTTAATCCAGAGGTAGTAGGCAGCTACCAAACAGGGAGGTACTAATGCCTCGGAACATACTGGAAGCATAATGTGTTGTCTAATGGTAGACCCTGCAGCCATATGGCATCACAAAAATTGTGACCAAGTCCCAGGATGCTAATCTGACTGACTCTCTGCCTCATTTACACACAATTGCAGGATCTCAATTGTTTCTCTTACTTTGACAACACAACATACAGTATATTGTTTCTCATTCTTGCTCTGTTTTATTTTCCACTTTTGTACTTATTTATGTTTGTTTTTTTCACCCTCCCTTAGGCCCCGATGTGGACCAGCAACCTATGCCCAGGTGGGGTAATCCTAGTTAAAAAAAAAAAAGGAGTTGGAAGATGAAGATGGAGACATAGATGAAGGTGAAGGAAGCCCTAGAAGTAAAAGAGATGAACATCAAAAAGCCATTAGTGTGTGTGAATGAGTAGAGAGCATTGTACTGAACCATTTTTCACAAGGAATACAATGTTGATGGGTAATGCTGGTTTGTGTGAAGTGGCTGAGTTAAACAAAATGAACATTTACTGTATAGAGCTTTCTGTGGAAGATAATTATCATTACTGAACATATATAACAGTAAGAATAATTGAATGAAAATGAATGAAGAGAGAATAAGGGTGTATTAGCTCTTGCGTCTGGCCACTCGGCATTAAGTGGGAAGAAGCTTAACATCCCAACATGTACATAATAAGAGGCAACCTATAAGTGTTAAACTTATAAAGATTTATGAATTCATGTGGATAACATTCAACTTTAATTGTTCTTGAATATTTATGTACTGTATATAAGTTTAGCTGCCATGTGTAGTTTCAAGTTCAATAAAATTACTGAAATGCAACAAGAAAATTACAACATGATAATCACAGCCAAATAAAATAATTAAAACATTAATACTGACTCTTATTGAAAACATTTAAATAATCAACTTATAATTCAAGGGCCCATTTGTTTCTAGTTCCTTGAACCCTCAATTTAAAATCTCAAAACATTAAGTAACAATCAAGCGTCCCTTCTGTCATCTGTCAGAAAGACAAAAGCAAGCTCGAAGAGGTTCATCCACTGATACTTGATCAAGCTGTGAGCATTCTACGAGAAGCTGCTAAAATATTCAACGATGAGAGAGAGAGATCATCTTCAGCTATACATTGTTATATTGATGAAAGCCTTGAAATAAATTTGCTTTACAGGAGCGGATCCAGGGAAGGGGTCCTGGCGGTCCAACCCTCCCCCCCCCCTTTTCATCTGAAAATTCCAATATTTTCTCTTTAATGCAGGTGTTTTAGTACAGGTATAACAAAAAGTAATTACAGTACCATTAACCTCAGAATATCTCCTAATATGACCTCAAAATGCCCATGGGTGGGCTCGCTGTGCTCACCATCATGTTCCCCCAACCACAACTTCTTGATATTCCTGGATCTGCCTCTTTTTCCATGTGACTTAATGTATAGCCTAGATGTGACTGAATTGTTTTGAACAATTTCATAGCTTCACGGGCTTATGAAACAATAATACAGTTTGTTATTGGTTTGTTCACAAATATATTGTTTATGAATAGAGTTTTATGTCTTTATGATTACAGATAGCAACCTTGACCCCAGGAGTTCTTCTGTATTGGGACATTTTAGTACCTACACAGTATACAGCACAATGCAGTTGGAAAGTTTTTTATTTGATAGTGTTATGAGGTTAAGAAGAAAGTGCCAAACTATACTGAATCAAATAAAGTTTGCTTGATTGAAAAATAAGCTAATTGTTTCTTAAAGATCATGTAAATGTTGTAAGCACTGACCAGGAGAATTGACGGGAGTCACTATTTGAGCCACATGACAAATACAGTACTGTACAATTTTCCTAGAGCTGGAGAAACACCTATTCTTTTTTTAGGCTATTATTATTATTATTATTATTGTTTCTCATAACAGAGAACATGTTTTTGAGCATACAAAGAACTACCCTAATGTGATTTCCAACAAATTTTAATTCAGTGTGTTATACACTGATAAACTGCAAGAAAAATATTGTGTGTATAAATGAAGCGGAATCCTAAATTTATGATTTTCATAGACTAATTTATAGGCAGTTGGATGAATAAACAGATGTTTGTTAACATATTTAGGGTTTTTTATTGTTGCATGATAGTTTACACAAACCACTGTTTTCAGAAAGGACATTTTCAAAATGGCTTAATGTTTTGAATTTTCATTGTAGGGATGCAACCAATTAGAACACAGCAAAAAACTTAGGCTGGACTGTGAGGGCAACAAAAATAAAAATTCCAGCCCAGCTCCAGGACCATAGAATAAGATTTCTTAGGAAATATTATAAGCTGCAAACTACTGGCTTAGAGTTTCTTTATGATTTAACAATTTAAAAAAAAAATCTAGTTTATTTAAAATTCTCCAGATACTGTACAGCAAAAGCCACTGCAGAATTGCTACTAACAACCAGTATCATACTACAACTGGCACTGGACTGTATACTGTAGGGCATTTTCTATTTCTTGAGTAAAAAAATAATCATACAGTATATTAACTGAAATGTCATAATATATAATAACAAATATACAGTGGCTTTTACAGGATAAAATAATAAACTCTATACTAAAAAAATAAAATACATAAATTAAATACAGTACTGTAATGACCGTTTTTAATCTTCTATCACTGTTCACATGGAAATATTAATTCTCCATGTCTCCAGCACTGATGTCAATCTTCATTGGCAAGTGCTGTAAACATTCCAAGCAATATTTTTTTTAAGCTTACTCCCTCTTGTAAATACTATATGTTTTACCTGTAGCAGTAATGTCTGAAGCACACAAGATCACTTTCCTTTGCTTTGTCTGAAAGAAAAAAGTGTTTACTTATGCTTTCAGTTTATCATGAACACTGTACAGTAGCAGCACATATCTTCATTACAATATAAAAACAAGGAGATAATATTTACAGTATTATGAAAGTGGGTACCAAAGGCCTTATAGCCTAGTAATAACAGAGTGGATACAGCCAGCCATTGTGTTTAGGGAAAACGGAATAAAATATCACCTAAAGATCTCTTGAGGAAACACTCTGTGCACAGTACGGACTCAGATATGATGGTGAAAATAGTGCTATGGCTGAGGCAGGGGAGGAGGCTTTGGAAAATTCATCCCTGTCCAGGTCAAAAACTGAATGGTTGCAGCAAACTAGAAAAGTCCAGGACCAACACATGCTCTCTCTCTCTCTTTCTCTTTTGAATGATCAACACTCTCTTTTGCCCAAGAATCAATTAATACTGTATTTTATTCTTAATTTTATATCATGGTCAACTTTGCATCGAAAACCTTTGGGGAAAAATAATAGGGGCAAAATCACAGGTGTTTTAAGATACTGTATTTAAAAATTCCTCCAAAATGCAGATTCAATGATCAAACAGGACATGTTCAGGAAAATAGAGACATTAAGTAACCCTAGTATAAAAATCTAGATAAGGGGGATCAGGTGCATGGAGCAATGTGCTTGTAAATTAATCCATGGCTTTTCCAGGTTTTCCATGTGTAAATTTGGAAAATTCCCGCTGCATTACTTTGGTATTTATTACAACAGAATAAGAAAATTACAGTACGTAGTGGCTTACAATAATATGCATACTGTATACTATTAAGAAATTTAAAGACGATATAAATGATATTAATCAAGAAATTGAAGACTCTTTCGTGACCAACCCCAAGCCTACTAATGATCATCAGAAAAGACCTTGACACCCCCTCCATATTTTTCCCCTCAGATTTGTGTGATTCACATGGGTCGACCTGGACATTCCAAAAAAGCCGAAAATCCGACAAAAACGAAAAATCACACTCCTGATCCACCTAGACTCATGATTAATATGTGGAATAATCCGCTTAAATAAAGTCACTTAACTATAAGAACAATTCATCTCTGACAATACTCATAGCAGAATTAGTAGGTATAACCTGTAATATTTGGTTATTTGATCGCTAACATGAAATATGATATGTACACAAACAGTTCATTTACTGGAGTGGACTATTTACTGGAATTTGTTCCTAAAAGTTTAATTATTTACCTATTATAAAGTACAACATAAATTTATGGTAAGATTGCTGTCAAAATAGCAATACAGTCCATACTTCACTTTAACGACTAATTGGTACCACGAAAAAGGTCGTTAAAGTGAAAACCATTAAAGTGGTGAGTATAGTTTACATGCTGAATGGGTCAACTGGTACCAGCCCTCAGACACTTCACCCCCTATAACCTCTATAAAACCCACAAAGAATTACAACCAATTATTCACACACACATTAAAACTGCATGTAGTTAATAACTACTAATAACTAACTTTTAGACACTCATTGAACTGCTTAAGAGACTGTTTGTTGTCATCTGAGGCAGGGGAGTGGTGTTAGTGCCCCCTGCCCCAACACTGCACTGCTTCCCCAGCATCACCACCAACTGATCCTTCAGTCTCAAAGCCAGTGAAATCTAGTGGTAAATTATCTAACTGATCACACACAGGTAAATCTTGAACATTATCATCAACCGTGCCGTCATCTCCCTCTTGACTGCAACACGTCATCAAGATGGCCGCCCAGAGAAACGAGCAACTTGTACAACTTATCGTTATTGTGTTTAAATGTATCGTTAATGTGTTAAAGTTTTGCATTATATTACTGTCGTTATTGTGATGAATCGTTAATGTGAAACTCGTTAAAGTGAAGTATGTACTGTATTTTGAAGATGTACTGAATTCACATAAAATTCCAGGTTTATTTGTAAAATTCCCAGACTTTTCCAGGTTTTGCAGCCCCAAATAAAATTCCCTGCATTTTCCAGGTTTTCCAGACCAGTATACAGTGAGTTCTGCTATAACACATGTTTTGACAACGCGAATTGGCTCTAATGCGATTTATGAATAGAAGAATGATATTTGTAATACACAAAAGCTTATTTGCTGTAACGCGATTTTTGCTTACTATTTCTCCAATTTTGTGGTATTAGCTGTGAAAATGGAAAAGAAGAATATCTCCAAGAAGCGTTCTGGTGATCGCATACCCGGTGATAATCATAAAAGAAAGGCTATAACACTTGAAGAGAAGCTCGATGTTATCAACCTCAAAATCACCCTTCTCCCCCATCAAGTTATATTCATATTTTTTCAAGGTAAAGTGTTACATTTACTGTATGATTTCATTATTAGATTTGAATGTAACATTTATTTAGACTGTGCTATCCTTTGTGTTAGGCTAACTACTAAATTTTTTTCGATTTCGAGTAATCTGCACCTAACCCTATTTTCTCCATAAGCCCTGTTATTTCTATTGCGCGAATTTCTACAATGCGAGGTTTTACAAGAACACAACTATCGTGTTATAGCAGAACTGACTGTACACCCTGATAATCTACAGAATATTTTCAAGAAAATGTTTATAAAGGTGATTTAAAACTTACTGACACAGCAAAGTTGACTTTTTAAATGTCTATTTTTTTTTACCTCAAGTGCCAAGAACTAAGGTAGATCAGGCATTTTTTTATGTAAATCGATATTTTTGGGGGAAAGTGAAAACTAACGTGTTTATATAGTAAAGAACATTGACATACCTCTGATTGGCTAGAAGAATCATGTTCTGAACAGCTGAGAGTGTAGATTGAGGGTTCTGTCCAGTTACGACTCCAGCATTAACCACAATATGAATACTAGTTGGAGCACCAGTTGAGAATATTCCAGCCCGGTCTAAGATAGCATCTCCAGGTATCAGAGGTAATGATGAGAAGTAGGTAGTTGCTGTGACTTCTGCTAATGATGACTGCAAAATAACAGGTTTTATATGTCATCGTTGTTTTTATATTTAAGAAGCTGAAACAAATAATCTATTGACTAATAGCCTATGGTAGTATTTTACACTGCAGGTATCCCTCAATATATGAAGGGGGTTGAGTTCCTGGAAATCCTTATGTTAGGTGATAAAATGTTTATTGAACACGAGGATACGTAATGCTGAGATAGCACAGCGAACTGGGGTGAGCGAACCCACAATATCACGATGACCAAGAAACAATTTGCATCACTGACCATAAGAGTTAATATTATGATAACCATATTGATACCTAGCCTATATATGCAAGTCACTTAAACTCACAACCACAAATGTCTTGATTTGAAACCTTATTTTGATGTTAAACCAATGCAATTTACATATCAGTAACATGGCAAATCCCATGTAGACTGATATACAGTACAGTATTGCATATTGCTGTAGCTGTTCACTCTAATTTCAAATACTATTTGCTTAGTCACTTTTCATAAATCAAACAAATTGTGAACACCATGAGTAGGCATAGTATTGTGAAACTCAGTGTGAATGAAACTCCATTACTACAACTAAACAACGTAATGGTGAAATGTCCATTTTGGGGTCTGTCTCAGTCTCAGTTATGATGTTCTGAAACATTTCCATTTAATATATACATCAGTGTTAATGTATCCATCAGTCAGTGGCTTGTTTACATATGCCTTGCTTCTACCCAGCACAATACGTACATTAATACTGTACAGTATAGCTTAATGGATTTCTTGTTATATTGAAGTATCTAGTATGCCATACAAGGACAATTTCTTCCCCCAATCCCACCACCACCTTTAGCTGTTGCTGATATGGTGACCAGGCGTACCAACTTATGAAGATTCCCTGGGAATCATATTAAAGCATTTTATCTCACATTTCAAGTTATAGCGACGGCAAATTTAACGATACTTTTGGGGGGACTACATTAAGATTCTATTGTTTTTATGTATACAATATTGTATAAAAGTCAATTATTGTAATTAAACAATCACACAAATAATTGTTAATAAAGAAAATGCAATAGTTCACATGTTAATTTTCCAAAGTTATTCATATTTCACTATAGTACTACAGTGTAATTCATTGGCCACACTATCCAATGGTGGTTTTATGAAATTCACTTTAAACAGAATTAGTTTGGTACCAAGCCACTTTGTAAATATGGGATATTACTATATTAATAAAAATTATTCAGTTAAAACTGCTACAGCAGTCATAGAGAACTTGTAAAAATGTAAGGGCAAGTGTTGGGGAAAAGCTGCATGCCTTGACAACCATACATGAAGGTTAGTGCAATACAGTACAGTATTATGTAAAGGCTCTAACAACAATATATAGAATGGCCTTATGAGAACGATAATGAATTAAATGCTTCTTACCCCTGTTAGTGCAATATCTCTGAATGCCCACTGCTGAGGATCTCCCTTTACTGCTGATAATAAAGCACACACACCAAGGCCAATAGCACATACAGGTTCTGAGGATTAGAGAGATTTATAAGCATCTGAAAGCATAAACTAAACTAGCAATTAAGTTAATTGACACAACGTTAGGTTAAGCAATACAGCATTAGTAGACCTATTACAAGAACAATGATCTTCTATGTTACATTTTATAACTAGAAAGATGTTACATAAATTGGGGTTTCACATGTTTCATGACCATTAAAAAAAAAAACAAAAAAAAAACAAAGAGTAGGTAAACAAATACAATTCACAAAACCCTGAATTCAATTGTTTCATAAGTCACCTCACATCTGAACAACTCTGTAGGCCATAAAGCAATGGTTTGGACTAAAGTGAATTATTATTTTTTAAAGGTGTCATGAAATGATGGAATTAGTGTCGAAGTGGAAAAATGTTGTGTCACAGGAATCTTTGTGTGTATGTTATAGGGCAGCTGCAGTCGAGTACCTAATATACCTGTACTATGAACAATATAACGTGATCTTATATTGTGCAACAATTTTCAGTCCCACTACCATGCTATACTGAGGGTCTACTGTAACTGTAATAACATGAATCAATTCCTTATACAGTCATTTTATCACTGCCTTCATTCAGTGTATTTCAAGTTCCCCCCTTGCAGTGGTTATGTGTACAGTCCCCTTCACTTGTACATTTACAGGGGTTCGTCAGGTTTTGGGCAGTGTGGCAGCCCTATGTTTGTTTACATTCGACAGAAGGAAACTTGCAATAGTAAACACTCTATGGAATCAAAGAAAAACAATATTAAAACCAATATCTCAATATAATGATTTGTGGAATGTTTATATGACAAGCCCCTGTAAATGCACTAGTGAAGGAGACTGTACATTGAAGTTTACTTACTTTTTTCTGCTAAACATTGAGTAAGGATGCTGCCTAATGCTTCACATGTTGCGAGGTCTTCACTTGCACCAGGACTATGGGGTATCACCACACATGAATACTGACTCCCTGAAAATAAAAAAATGAGTAAAGTATTAACAAAATCTAGTACCATTAACTGCTAAAATTATGTAAGACAATAAAACCTATTCTTATAAGTACAGTGGGGTATGCTATAACGAACGGATCCTACTACGAATATTCCTATAACGAACGGTTTTACCTATAAAATTGAGAATGCTATAACGAACGCAACTCCTACAACGAACGCGGATGAATACCGTACTATTTCGCCTGGCGCATGAATATTGTTGTACCGCGACCCACAACAAGAGCGTCAGGCGCCATCTTTGTCTCATTGTGTAGCCAGTGCACCACTGTTATTGTTGAAATTTCGTCTTTTGATGTGGAAATTCGCGTTATTTGTATAACTATTTTGTTATACAAGTATACAATTGTAACAATGAGTCGTCCAAAGCAAGTGAGAAAGCTAATAACCCTTGAAACTAAGAAAGAAATTATAAAGAAACGTGAGAATGGAAGAAGCATTGCGAAACTTAGTGATGAATATGGGATGGCTAAATCGACTATATGTACGATTTTGAAGAATAAAGAGGAGTTAAAAACTGTGCAAGTGGCTAAGGGAATCTTTAGACTTAGCAAAGCAAGGTGTAATGTGATTGAAGAGATGGAAAATTTACTCTTAGTGTGGATAAAGGAGAAAGAAATGGCAGGTGGTAACATTAGTGAAGTTATAATTTGTGAGAAGGCTAAACAATTGTTTGAGGACCTTAAAGCCAAGACTCCCAGTGGAAGTGATAGTGATGTGCCAGTGTTTAGGGGTACCTGCATGCTAAATAACACTAAGGTAAGATAAAGTACCGTATTTTTTACATTTTCCACAGAATTTTTTCAGTGTTAAGCGGTTGTATTTGGGGGCCTGGAACGGATTAATCCTATAACGAACGAATGCTATAACGAACGAGGTTCTGGAACCAATTACGTTCGTTATAGCATACCCCACTGTACAAGAACATAAAGTTAGGCATCACAGGACAATAGTTGGAAGGGGCACCAACATCTCCAAGCTTAAGTCCCATAGATTCTGCTGTTTGGTGGTATTTAAAATCACGAGTTTATCAGGTGAAGTTAACAGACTTGAAACACCTCAAACGATGAATTCAAGATGAAGTCTGCTCCAACTTTAAGTGCAGTACACTTAGCCTTATTCTTAGACACTGATATCCCACTGTGCCTAGTCAGGGTTTTTTTCTTCTTCTTCTCTTGCTTCTTTCTCTGAGCGACTAGCTTGCTCTGTTTACTTGACTGACCACCATATGGTGGGCAGTGAGCTGCCAGTCGAGTGACACCCACCCACCCACACCTGATATACAGTAGTGTTTGGTGAGAGAAGGGATTAAGTAAAGTCTGACTTTACAAGGGTTTACTGTACTGTATTCCTTCATGGCATACATTTTATGTAATTTGTCTTTAAACATTTAAATACATTTTTTTCTGAACCCTGGAGCAGACAGAAGTTGCCTCACCTTGAATATCACTGAGTGACTGAGGTTCCAAGAGTTTCTTCGATGCAATATCACTCAACCATCGACTGCTCTGGTCATCTTTGTCAATAAAAACTGCTGCTGCTGCCTGGAAATAGAAAATTTACAAATAATGCTACAAATAGCATTCAAATGGACATTCAAAGAAAAAAGTAGCGTTAAACTTACCGTGCTTTATGTTCTGAAACCCAAGACCAAGAATTTTGGCAAAGTTCTCTGTTCAGTCTCGATTCTCAAAGGTTCGCTGTCACTTTACCCAAATTTTTTTGTCATAAGTTTTGAAACAACGCTAGAGGTTGTAACACGACTTTTTCTTTGACTGTACATTATGAGCTAAATATGAATCTGTCGCTGGAATAACCTGGCCAAAATGTCAATCTAAAATCCCCATAGGATTTATCTCATTTCCACTTACCGGCACTGTAATTCAGAATCTATGACCATTTTATTCCCCCCCACCCCACAAATAAAGTTAAAACACTTTATGAGTACCTTTCCTTTCCAATATTATGCTGTAACTGGGAGGGAGAGTGTAGTGTAATGGTTCTGCCACTCACGCTGTGACATGTTCAGAAAGTGTGGACTGTACTGTATGGTATTTGAACTTTTCAATGCACTGGTGAAATTTTATTGCATTTTTCAATTGTGTATAGTTGATTTCATGTTACGTGGGGATGTGCTGGGTAGGATTTGAAAGTAATACTGATGATGAGTCAGTGGGGTCTCAAGGCCACCGACATCCTTTAACTAGATGATACACATGGGCAATTTTAAATGTGCAAGAATGTATACTGTACTGTACAGTGTTGGAGTCACTGCAGCTGGAGGCACGGTAAATTCTGTATGGATATATGCGATGCCTAAACTCATGGGGTTAATCCAAAAAAAATTGAATGAAGTAATCAGCATTTGTCTAATAAAGACACAAATACCTGTGAGTTCAACTTAAAATATCTTTGCTTATACTGTACAGAAGTACAAGTTATGTTTCAGACAAACTTTTGAAAATTAACTTTCAGCTGTAATCTTGACTTCTGAGACAGATTTTAAATCTGGCATTCTCCACTTTGCTTAGTGACAGAAGAAATTCCTGTAAAAATTTCATGAAAAATATCTATAATTACAACAAATTATGCTTCAGATGGAGTACAATTTTGCAATTTGACATTCCTTTGACCTTTGGCTTAGATTTTAGTTTTGTGTTCCCCAATAATATTCAACTTAGGTTGACTTTACAAAACATAGCCATGTGAAGATTGGATGATTTTGGGGGAAACAAAGAACAGTACTGTACTGTAGCAACACTATAACATGATTTTTTTTTTCATTTATTTTCATAATTTTAGTCCCCCAAAGCATGCTTGATGGAATGGCATGATAAAACAATCTCGAAAAGATTTTATCTGTGAAGTATGACGGAAATCTATAAATCACTTTCTAAACAAATAACTTGGCCAGAAACTTTTACCAGATGCAGACACAAACAATGGGACCACAACACAAGCTCTTCTCTTATTTGATCAGTAAAGCTAAAACTTGGAAGTTTGAAGCAAAAATTCTCTTTATGGCTAAAAAGATGAGAGATTACCACTACTGCCTCTGGTCAGTATCTACCAATGCCCTGAAATCATGCAATGATTAGACACAATATTAACATTCAAACAGCAAAAGAAGACACAATAGAAACCTTCTCACCAAACTGAATTTGGATTTATTAGCTGTGCCAGAGACCAGTGAGGAATTCTAATCAGGGGTCCCCTACAATGAAGCAAATTTACTTGACAACCCAACCCTGTCAATATAAGACTTCACTCTGAATTGAAGGGAGGGAATTCAAGTTGCTCCTTCATCTCCTCAGCCATGAAAAGTGATTTATGCCTCAATGGTCTTTGGAGTCTCGGGAAGAATCTATAAAACTTACATGCAAATACTTTACAACCATAAACTAAATGCTAACAACATTCATGACAGTAATAAGTTACCTCGGGTGTAGCAATTTCTATGTTAAATGCAGACTGAGTTAGTTTGTAACATTGAAGGAATGATGGAGCAGACACACCTGGAAAATATTTCATATTAGTAGTATAAAGAAATAAAAAAATAATAAAGATATATACTGTACCTAATACAGCACACAAGTCTTCCATCTGAAAATTATACATCAATAAATCTTTTTGTTTAATTTACTGTATCGGCAACTTATAGACAGTATTAACAAAATAAAGTTAACAATGTTTATCAAAACCTACGCGTGGACTCTCTCCCGATAACAAATAATTCTTTTTAGAGAAAAGGATTAGTGTCCCCTTTTTACTTTTTTTTTCATCACATTCGCCACTTATCAGCTTACTAGCCGTTTGGGCGGTTTATCCAGTGTTAGTACAGGAGGAAACCGGGGACTGGGAAACCTATGGTGTTTGGTAGTGAGGGTCACACTGGATAACACCCTTCTCACGTGTGTCCAGGCCGAGGCTCGAACACCTTGACATATTGGTGAGAGTTATGCTCGTTACCGCTGTACCACAACTTGTTAAAAACAGAATCTTTTTCCACTGCAATGGTATGGTGGCACAGCACTGTACTGACAACATTGACAATGAGTCAATACCTTGGTTGTTAGATGTAGATTTACACATTACTGTATAAGGTATAGGGGTCCTCATTATACGTTGTACCATTGATATACTGTACAGTATGTTATATCACATATACTGTACACCGCTAACAAATACAGTATAAGAAGAAATTTTCATTATACGTCATTTGGTTCACATATATGTCGTCTGCATCATCTATGTGTATCCGAATATAATGCATAAATATTGTTAAAAACACCAGAAGCAGTTGTTCGATTTTGTTCATTTTTTCCACAGATGTTCTTTGGATGATCGTAAGTAATAAACACGATACAACACTTTTTATTTTAATTACAAGTATATTTTTTTTTGGCTATTCTCTATCTACAATCATAAATCACCTGTAGTGGGCAGGGTATGAAGGATGAGGGGAATTGAGGGGTAAACACGGTGAAAAAGTGATCATATGACACCAAAATGATGTCTCTATGTGCTTTGTACATGAAGAAATCAATTATTTACCATAAATATTCAGCCCAAAAATTTGTGGTGTTGGTGCATGTTGTTGTCTGCTCTTTGTTTGTTTAAGCTTTGATTGAGCGGGTTGCTTGGTCCGAGCATACTCTCACATCTACAAAAAAACATAAAATCACACCATGTCGCTTCAAGAAAATTGCTTATATTGGTACCAGATATCAAAGTAAGTACTTTCTGTTAGGAAGTTAGGTAAGGTTAGGCTATTTTATTGGTTGGTTAGGTCAAGTTCTGTGAGGTTCTGTGCACTGTCGTATCATACCTATTACTTACTATCTTCCAAAAAACATCTGTGGAAAAAATGAAAAAAATCAAACAATGCATTCTGGTGTTAGCCATCTGCTCCAGGATTACCAAATATTCCAATTTCATTCTGCTCTATCTCCTTATATACAAATGAATATAGAGTACTGTGGATGACCTTTTTTAAACTTAATCAGCAAACACATTGGTAGACACCTCGTTATCACATCTGCAACAGGCAATCATAGATGAATTTATTTTATTCTCACAAAGGTATGTAAACAAGGAATTTGGGGCAGATATGATTCGAGCATAAATAGAAAACAAGTTGGTGACAAGCTTTCCACACATCAATATTGCTTTTAGAATCTATCTGGTTGTCTTCGCAACAAGAGGAGAGGGCAAACATTTACGTATTTTCAAAGCTCATATGTATAAAGGACGGTCTTCAACAGCCATGGGGCAAACACAACAGCCTTTGCTTGTACTATTTTCGGTTGAAAGTGAAATCCTTCATGAAATGAAGGTTGATGACACTATCCATAATTTTACAAACAAAGTCAGTGGCTATTCTTATGGCAGCCAAACAAACCTACCCAAACCTTACCTAACTTCCTAGCCAGAGGGCGGACCCCCTGCCACATTAAACAGAATGCATTGTACTTAATTTGATATCTGGTACCAATTAAAGCAACTTTCTTGAAATGGCAGTGTAATTTTACATTTTTAAGACTCATGTTGTTTACGCATTCTTGATTTCTTATAAATCAAATAAATTACTAAAAGAAAAGCTTTGGTTAATATTAACGACTGACCCACGGACGAGTTATCCGTTTTACTGTTTATTTTCTTACTTTATTTTCATAAGTGAGTTCTGATACGGTAATCATTTCTTGTGCAAATGCTTTGTTTGGTAGATAATTAGGCGCCTAAGGTGAGCACTATTTTGTCTTCCCGGCGGTAATGCAGCGGTGACATCTCATCCCAGGTGGTAAAGAGCCACTCATTTTGACATATTTCAAAACACTCCGCCACCTGGGCTTGATCGACGCTGATGCTCAGTGTATGCTTAAAAACCGTTCGTTATGGACAGCTGCTTTCACGTCCACAAAAAACTAAATTACACCATATCATAGTAAGTTCATTCTGTTTAATATACCGAGGACCCCTGGCTAGGATGTTAGGTAAGGTTAGGTAGGTTTGTTTGGTTAGGTTGGTGAGGTCTTCTAACAATGCTTCTGCTGCTTGGTTTTTTTTATCAACTAAGGTTAGGTTAGGTTTAATTTAGAAATAAACACTTTATAACACATTTGCACAAACTGTAACAGCGTCCACTATAAAACAGTAAAATTAGGGCGTTTTTATAATCGTTTTCTATGAAAAATAGGCCAAGGGTCTGTCGTCAATAATTACCAAGGCTTTTATCTCATTTAATATATCATTTTAAATTTTTACAATATTTTACAGGCCTTAAAATTCCGTAGGCACAAAGCACTGTACCTATTGGACCTAATGGATAATTCGGCCCTACCTTAAATCCTACCAATAACTCATTGAGTCTGATAAGTCAAAGGTTAAAATTACACAAATAAAATTAAACTAGCTACCGTACATAAGGTCATTACACTACCTGGCTCTCACCTGTATTACCTTACCTAGGGAAGATGCTGACAAAACGATGAGACAGTTTTGTTTCGCCATTTTGTAATATTCATATAAAATAAACCAGATTACTATAATAATTAACAGGTGGTTGGTGACGGTAAGGTAAATGTCAGCTGGAGTGTTGAGCTTGAGGTTGTTGATGTCATCCGCCTCCCTCCATTGTGTTATATCTCCTCAAACAATTAATTATCTCTAAAACTATGTGATAAGAGTTCAATTTATTATATTTTTTATCCAATTTATCCTATTTCTTTATATTTTAAAATGCAGATGAATAATATACTATTTTAAGTTTTTTTTATGCCCTAGTGAGGAAATGTGAAACAATACGAGTATGTTCACTATTTAAACTTTGATGAATGAGTTTAATAATGTCGAACTTAACAGAACTTAAATGACTGAATGAGTTTAAGGTTTTACCGTTGCATTAAAGTGCCCAACCGGGTATTATTTTAATTGGACAACAACAACAACAGCAACAATAATAATAATAATAATAATAATAATAATAATAATAATAATATCATCATCATCATCATCATCATCATCATCATTATTATCATTATTATTATTATTATTACTATTATTATTATTATTCAACAACCAAATCTTGAGAATTTTATCTTTGCAATCAATAGTGTGCCACATAAATTCAAGGCAGTTTAGTAAATTTGGGGAAGAAATACAAGTGTTGGATAAATAAACGAGAAACTTAGAACAAATTATAGTAAAAATAAAATAAACTGATTAGGAAAAGTAAACGAGTTATTCCTGCAGTGTCTCTAGGTAAAATTTGTCATGAGTCATGTCAGTTAACTAGTGTTCAGGACGTAACTAAACTTTCATGTCGTTTTGGGTGATATTTGTAACTTCAGTGACCCATAAATTTCCTAGTTAGGTGAGTCATTCCTAATACACCCCGTCCCCTCACCCCGTCGCCCCCTCGTGACGTTGTGGATGTGGGTTTTTATTTGATTGTTTTATTAAGTAAATAATCCGTATGTGGATATAGACAGAGGGAGATATTGCGTTAAATCGTCAAACAAGATCATGATGGAACAGTAATGCATAAATAAAGGAGTGAAAGAAATTAATATTCATTTTTACTCCTACTGGAACAACATACTGTATGCTTGTGGGGTATGAGATGTGTTTGGTTCACACTCAGGATGGGATGGAGAAAGGAAACTCACGATGTGCTCTCTATATACATGTTGTATTGGATGTACAATGCAGCTTGGTGCTGGGAAGGCAGCATGGTTACAAGCGTGATGTAGAGAGAGCTGGTTGGTGAGGACGCTCAGAGAAGGACAGCTTGTGGGTCGCCATGCTCGCCAGCGGGAGAGAGGACCGCCAGGCAGGCGGAGGAGCGAGGACCGCCAGGCAGGCGGAGGTGTTGCTGGCTGGTTGGTGTAGGTAGAAAGAGACAGATCACCACGAGGTCAGGTCTTAAATAGCGGGGGTAGGCGTGGCTTAGCAGTTGACCCCCGCTCCGTGGTGTATGGCGGCGCTGGTTGACCTAGACCACGAGGCATACACTGGGGAATTGGTGGGGTCGGCTAGGCAGCGACAAACAGCGTTTGTAGGGGAGAATTCCACTACAGTGGCTTAGCAGTTGACCCCCGCTCCGTGGTGTATGGCGGCGCTGGTTGACCTAGACCACGAGGCATACACTGGGGAATTGGTGGGGTCGGCTAGGCAGCGACAAACAGCGTTTGTAGGGGAGAATTCCACTACAATACTCCCCCTTCCCTCCAGGCTGTGTAGGAGACTTGTTGTCTGCAGGGTTGCATAGCACATGTGAGGCAGAACGGGCGGTGCGTGCCTCATGTGAGACAACGGCGATGGCGTGATGAGCCGGTCGCTGGATACAACTGTCTAGATACACAATATCTGTGGGAGTAGAGAGGGAGAATAAGGGTGTGTGGAGACGATGAATGTTGTGCTTCCCTCACGGCAGGTACAGAGTCGACAGATGCGCCTGCTGGGGTGTGTGGACCTGGGTCAGGAGCAGGGGCTGCGTCAGCAGCAGCGGATGAGGGCTCGTGACAGCAGCTGGGTCCACGACAGCAGCAGGGTGCAGGACATTAGCAGGGAGTACCTGAGGGAGAAAGAGGGGTGTGTGGGTCCGCACTCAGGAACAGAGGCCGCATCAGTGGCGGCAGGGGTTACTGCTGGGCCGGGGTCGGCGTCTGAGGCAGGACGGGTGTGCTGGGGTCGTAAGAGGAGCGACTGTCTGCTTAGAGTAGCAGAGCTGCTCTAGGGTGTCTGACCTGCGGTGTAGAGACAGTAGCTGTAGAGCCGATGAGAGCTGCTTCTGGGTGGATAAGCCAGTCTTCCATGTTGCTTGAAGACTGGGAGCGTGATCAGTTTCTCCTCCATCCTGTGTGAGTGCGAATCTCCGGGAGTCACCATTTGTGGGGTATGAGATGTTTGGTTCTCACTCAGGATGGGATGGAGAAAGGAAACTCACAATGTGCTCTCTGTATACATGTTGTATTGGATGTACAATGCAGCTTGGTGCTGGGAAGGCAGCATGGTTACAAGCGTGATGTAGAGGAGCTGGTTGGTGAGGACGCTCAGAGAGGACAGCTTGTGGGTCGCCATGCTCGCCAGCGGGAGAGAGGACCGCCAGGCAGGCGGAGGAGGAGGAGGCAGGCGGAGGTGTTGCTGGCTGGGCTGTAGGTAGAAAGAGAGGCAGATCACCACGAGGTCAGGTCTTAAATAGCGGGGGTAGGCGTGGCTTAGCAGTTGACCCCCGCTCCGTGGTGTATGGCGGCGCTGGTTGACCTAGACCACGAGGCATACACTGGGGAATTGGTGGGGTCGGCTAGGCAGCGACAAACAGCGTTTGTAGGGGAGAATTCCACTACAAGATGTACCCACTTTGTTGTTGAACTTGTTAAGTCAAAACTCTGTAGCAGAATAAGTGTTAAAGGTATGAAAACAATCTTATCCATATAATTTGGGCTACGGCGACATGAAACAATGTTGTCATAACTATGTGTTACCTGAGCGTGACATAACAAACATTGACACACTGGAAAGGCGTTGAACTCCATTTCCGTTGTACGTGTTTACCTGTTTGTATTATGTATTATGTATTATTTTGGATACATCAACTGTGGCAATTTCAATTTTGATACGTAATTTCTAAGGTTCATTACTTTTATCCTCTTCACCACTGATCGACTCGTTAGCCGCTTGGGTGATGGGGTGTTCCAGTGGGCCTTTTAATTTGTCCTACACTCGGTAAAAACCCTAAACTACTATGACGTCATCACAGAAACTTCCTACTGGCCTTGACGCAATACAAGACTTCCACATGACGTCACATACGGTTCTCGGATATATATATAAAGAGGTGGATGATATCAGTAGTCAGTTAATTTCCAAACACAATAGAGTAAGTTACAGCTGCAAACTGTTACTTTAAACTGCAACTGTGAAAATATTCCCCTAAAGTGTGAGTATATACTAGTATACCCTGTACAGTGCTCGAATATTGATACTTTTACTTTTATCCTCATCGGCTCGTTAGCCGCTTGGGCGATCGGTCACGTCTCTGTTTTGCACTGTTGACAATTATTAGGCATGCACCTGCTCCAGTGCTTATAAAGTTTGGTCTTGAAACAGCTCACACTTGGTGCTGTCACAACACTCTCTGGCAGTGTTCCAAAAGTTCACACCTCTCACTCCGAAAAAGTTACCCTCACAGTTTTCTGGGCTTGTGGCTTCTTCAATCTTGAGCTGTGACCCCCTTGTGGAGCAAGCATCCGCCAGCTCCAGGTAAGGGCACTCGAGGAGTGCCCTTTGAGATGCATAGGCACCTCAATTAGGTCTCCCCTTACCCGTCTATAGTATAAGCTAGGCAAATTCAGTCGCTCTAATCTCTCAGGGTAGATGAGGTGCCGTAGTGTGTGGTGATTAATGGCACAAAATCATCATCCGTACCTGTCACAAGCGGGGTACCACAGGGCAGTGTATTGGGCCCACTGTTGTTTGTTTCTTTCATAAATGACATGCCGGACATTGTACACTCCTCCATACAAATGTTTGCCGATGATGCCAAGTTATTTCAGGAAATCAAGAACCAAGCGGACTGTAAAGAGCTGCAGAAGGACCTCTGTGGGCTCCAAGAATGATCGAAGAAATGGCTGCTGAGATTCAATGTCACGAAGTTAAGAGGATGCACCTGGGGCGTACCAACGGTAAGGAGGCGTGTCATGTGTCCCAACGGGATGAAGAAATTGCTTTATTTGACACTGAATGTGAGAAGGACCTTGGTGTGTATGTTGACAATGAGATGAGGTTCTCGGGCCATTGCGAGAAGAAGGTAATTCAGGCAAATAAATTATTGGGTCTTATAAGAAGGTCGTTCAGTTGGTTGAAAATGTTCAAAGGAGGGCCACCAGACTGGTGCCTGCCCTTCGGCACCTCAGCTACCCTGAGAGATTGGAGCGCCTGAACTTGCCTAGCTTATACTACAGACAGGCAAGGGGTGACCTAATAAAGGTGTATAAGCATCTCAAGGGGCACTACTCAGTCGAGTGTCCTTATTTGGAGCTGGCGGACGCTCGCCCCACAAGGGGTCATAGCTCAAGATTGAAAAAGCCGCAAGTCCAAAAAACTGTGAGGGCAAACTTTTTCAGAGTGAGAGTTGTGAACTCTTGGAACAATCTACCAGAAAGTGTTGTGACGGCACCGAGAGTGAGCTCTTTCAAGACCAGACTTGACCAACACTGGAGCAGGTTCAGGTACATTCAGGAGCCTGTGCATGCCCAGTACTTGCCAACAGTGCGTAACAAAGACGTGACTGATCGCCCAAGCGGCTAACGAGCCGATCAGTGGTGAAGAGGATAAAATGTAGTGCAGGCACCAGACTGGTGGCCCTCCTTTGAAAATTTTCAATCAACAGACAGTCCCTAGCATATCTCGGGACCAGACGGCCTGACAGTACTTCAGATGGTGGAAGCACTTCACTCTTGAAGATCGTTACGAGGGACGGACTGTCTAGATATCTGAACAACCTTCTTATAAGACCCAATAATTTATTTGCCTGACTTACCTTCTTCTCGCAATGGCCCGAGAACTTCAGCTCATTGTCAACATACACACCTAGGTCCTTCTAACATTGTCTCAAGTAGTGCAGTTTCTTCATCCGTTGGGACATATGGTATGCCTCCTTATCGTTGGTATACTAGGTGCAGGGGCAGATTCAGGAATATCAAAGGATTGGGTGGGGGGGTCCAAGTTGTGGGTGGGGGAACATGGCAAGCACAGAGAGCCCACCCAGCTGGGAGGGAAGGGGGGGGGGGTCATAAGTCCCCCCAGAAATTTTGAAGCCACCTGCACTTGATATTAGAAGATATTCTGAGGTCAATAGTAATTAATTTTTACTATACAAAAATGCCTGAGCATAATACCACGTTAAATAAAAAGTATTGGAATTTTCTGATGAAGAGGGGGGTTTCCGAATCCCCAGGAACCCCCCCTAGTTCCGCCCCTGAATTGGAAGCTCTTGCTAGTGGTTCAGCAGCTGTTGATGCCAATGTATGCATGCATATTCACACACACATACACTATACATTTCATTCGACTCCTTATATTCAAGATTTGTTAAAAGACACCAATTTTATGTGAACACTAATTTTTTCAATAAGTTAGAGGGAGGAGACTTACATACCTCAACTCTTTAACTTTTCTCCAGAAGGGTCATCGTTCTAAGGGCTGAAGGAGCCAATGTGAGAACAATTGTGTGAGATTCACAGCAACATTGTATTGCTAAGTCACCTCGATATTTCTGGTTAGGTTAGGTATGGTGGTGATACACATCAGTCCTCTTAACTGGATATGAACATGTGACTAAACCCTAACAAATTTGTACTGCTGAAAGTGGGTTACATAGGTTTGGTGGCCCATACGGGACAGCGTGCTTAAAACGCATTGAATGCTAAGCCATCTTTAGATACCCAAGAGGCACTACACTCAACACCTTACACTTCCTCAATTCCAAAGTTAAGTACCCATTCACAACATTGTGCATTAGGTGAAAATTTGCTAAGCTTAGGACAGAAGGTGAGCGCTGCACACCATGTTGTCTCACAAAGAAATGTAAGAGGAAAAAAAATTGAATTTAAGCCAGGAACAACAAATTATTTGAAATAAATGTTGAAGAGATATTCTATTCAAGATAAGCTGCAACTATACCTGTTATTAATTGTTTTGTTTTTTCAGGTAAGAATGGGTGACTCTGGAGGTGACTGTGGGGGAGGAGGAGGAGGAGGAGGAGGGGGAGGAGGAGGGGGAGGTGGTTGCAGCTTTGGTGGTGGTGGTGGTGGAGGAGGATATAGCAGCAGTCATGGAGGAGAAAGCTCTTACGTAGGAGGAGGATGGGACAGTTACAGTGGTGGTGGCATCAGTAACTCGGCAAGACATAACAACAGCAGCAGCCACACAAGAAGGAATGTGGGAAATAGTCAAAACCATGGCAGTAAAAAGGAGATGCGACAAACTCACGACCAAGGATGTTGCTGTGTTTGTTGATGGTACAAAACCCACTAAAGCAACATAACAGAAACATGTATTATATTTTTCTAATGCTCCATCTCACTCAGTGTTGGATGATCATGGGTTAACACTAAAGCTTATCCTGGACAACATGACAATTTACTTGGGTATAAATGAACTCCCAATAACCTGCACAAAGTTACCAGTGAAATAAGTAATTTTCTAGACTACGCAAGGTATGGTTTTATTGGAGTTGGTCAATTCATTTTAAAGGAAGTGCATTGACACCTTAGAGGAGCCATCATGATGGAAGAAGGCCGAGTTACTGTCTGTAGATACAAAGAACCGAGCCAACGAGTACGGGTCTCATTATGCATGTTATTTTTGTAATGAAATGGTGGATAGGCTGAGAGTGATGACTGTTGTCGCCCAGATCCTCCCTGGGTATGGGGAATACACACCCACTTGTTAAAGCCAACTAGTAAACTCCCATAATTCTGACTATGAATTAAATTTCCTAAAAACTCCATAAAAATTCTATGATAATTGTTTGAAAGTTGTCAAGTGTGAATCCAGAACATTAAGGACAAAGCCATTTTTTCACACAAGTATTGAATCAATTGAGTCTGTTTCCTAGTACAGGTATGACAAAAATACAAAATTATTTGTTATATCTATCACATTAGAAACATTTAATGAGTTTTTGACTATTATTTTATTGGCCAGCATGTGTCACTAATTTAGTGAACAAGTCATAAATTAATGTTCTGGTGCCATGCAGTTTATTTTCTTCAATAAGTACAAGATGGCTACCGAAATTTCGTTTTTGTAATGTTAAATAATTTTCTCATCAATAATTGTTTTTTTAATCAAAAGATAAAATGTCATTATTTGTTCTTGTGTTGTGTAGTTATTACTGTAAAGTACTAAAATACTTAGGTTCAGTTCATTGTATTTAAGTCATGATGTATGTAGAGGTACTGTATTTTATTAGGTTACTTTTGTCCGTACGGTAATTCAATACGTTTGAAAAACATTTCTTATAATCTTGTTTCAACAGTCCTACAGTACTTTTTGTACTTTACCCTTTCTGCCTGACCTATTTCTCAGTTTACTAGCAGGCCTGGTGATTGGTCAGTTCACTGTACCTCACTGCTGAGTTACTGGCTAAGTATTTGTCTCTTGAATAGGATGAAAAAATATTAATTTATTAAGAAAAAAATTAATCAGCACACTTAGCATTAGTGAACACTTGTGTAGTATTTCTGGTAAAACTGTGTTAAGAAAATGGAGGCAAGGTGTTGCATTAGAATTCTTGTGAGTGTTAAGTCAACAAACTCTTTGACCCCAGACTCATAACCAGCATGCTAAAGAATAATTTTATGAAAACTTTTAGCATAATCAAGATTTTGTAAAAAAAATAAATAAAAATAAAATAAAAATAAATAAATAAAAATTGGTTTGGGAATTTCTTCCCTAGCAGATTGTTTGGCTCCAAAATGACATAAAAACACCAAAATTGACCATGAACCAGACTTACGGTAACCATTATGGGCACATGTTCAAATACCTTTTATGATCAGGAACATGTACAGTACAGTACAATACAGGTATCCCATGGGATACGAATGAGTTAAGTTCTAAAAAAAATACATTCGTAAGGTGAATTTTCATGTCTCGAATAGAAAAACGGGTAAATATGGTTCGGTCCCCCAATGACAAAAATACCTGTACCCCTAAAACATGAAATCAGTTCACAAACAAAAAAAAACCTACCTAACTAATGATAAATAGTACACAACTACTGTAATTTTCTACCTAACAAATTAAAAACATTCATAAAATAATATCTAGATGACATATGCAGCTAAAACTATTAAGGAAAGCCAAATCAAAGTTTAACACAGCCCCCAGCGGCACCACTTGCCGAGATGCTGGATGCCAACTATTAGCAACAAGCTCCCTTTCCCACTCTCACACACAAAGAAATGTTTATTCCCTTTATGTTTTTGACCTTACGATAGTTATTTCTTTTACTTTGTTTGCACATTATGCATGTAGGATTGTGTGTGCATGTAAGCTGAGAAAAGGAAGTGAGGAAAGTTAAGTTTATGTATCCAAAACTACAAGTTGAAAAATAATCATAACATAACCCACCCACCCCCTCCAGCTCATCCTGCTAACTCTCACTGATGCACAAAGAAATATTTATTCCCTTTATGCTTTTGACCTTATGATAATTATATATTTATTGCACATTCTGTAAGGAAGATTGTGTGTTGATGTAACAAAGAAAAAATATGAAGTAAGTTATGTTTATATACCCAAAATTACAAATCGCAAAATAACCATAACTCCCACCTCAGCCTGGTAGTAGAGTGCTAGGGGGATGTGGCCGCCCCAGCTGACTCACGGGGGCATGTGATTTGAATTCTTGCTGGGACCAAAATTCATATAAGCGAGGGAAGCTTTTGTAACGTGAAAAAGAGGCGGTAATTAGGAAATTTGTATAAGCGAAATATCGTATCTCGAACATTCCTGCCTTGAGGGATACCTATACAGTATTGTGTATGTCCAGTACTTGTCAACCGTGTGTAAAAGTAAGAGAAACGACCTCAAAGATAAGAACCTGACAAGAGAGGCTGAAAAAGTCCTACTCTGTTGAAAATTATTCACTGAATTTACATCAGACATACTGTACTCTCATGTGACAATGAAATGCCACAATATATTTGGAAAAATTTGGAATCATGGAAACCTTGATGAGGATTTAACATTTATTGGAGGAGTCTATGATTACAGCATTTTTACAATAATACTTTACAACTAATATAATTTTCAAATATAAAGATAATATGGAATGGCTTTATGTACCACAGCTGGTACATAACAAATCTTTGTTAAAGTCTACTTTACATAGATAAGGTAACACTGAAACAAGTGACAACATAAACCTGTATACTGCAAAAGAAATAAAAGAAGACCTGACCATTGTGCACATTGATTCCGATTCCTACAATTTGAAATTAATTTTGGTTAAAACTTAAAAGTCTGCACCAATGTAGTTGTTATATATTTTATACACCAATGAGTAATTCACATATTTTCAGGACTAATGAACACAGGGGTAATACATAATTATATTAGGAGTGAAGAATGCCATCAAATGCTTCAAAGATTCCTTGAGCAACATCTGTCGCTCTTGATTTCAGGGACAACTGAAAGAAAAGAAGCAATTAAGGACAAAACACATCAATAATTTAATCAAAATCTTAACATCTACAATCACAATGTTACCATAATCAGTCTTCCTATATTGTGTAACCCCTTCAGGAAGTGAGAGGTTTAAGGGGTTGTGTAGAACATGTTTATTGTTTACTATCAGTAGCAAATACCCTTAAGTCTACCAGCTTGAGTTACAACATCTATACAGTGCAGGGGGGCCCCCCAAATTCGCGGGGGTTAGGTTCTCAAAATGGCTGCGAATCGCCAAAATCCGCTAATAACATTTGCTAACCGTGGGGGTACATTTATACTTGTGTACAAAGAAATGTATATTCCCTCTATGTGTTTGCCCTTAGGACAATTATTTCTTTTACCTGTAGTATTGTATATGTGTGTGTGTAGACACACACACATACACAAATAAATAATAATGGAAAAATACTCTCACAAATAATCAGAAACAAATTTATTAAAAAATTGAGTCTACCCTCAAGTCCGTGCTCTATTACAGTACTTTATTAATAGAGCACGGACTTGAGGGTAGACTGTCACATTTTTAATAAATTTGTTTCTGATTATTTGAGAGTATTTTTCCATTATTATTTATTTGTATGTGTTTTGTGTGTGTGTGTCTACACACACACATATTTACGATACAGGTAAAGGAAATTACTGTCTCTAGAACGAATGGCTCCCTGTCCCAGCCGTGAAAATGATGGCAACTTTAAAACTACCCACAGACATTCTTGGGTACATCCAGTGTGTCATCCGCGAATAATCGAGAACCGTGAAGTAAAAATCCGCAAACTTGGGGGGCCCCCTTTACAGTGTTACTCTACTCACTGGACTTTTGTTTCCACAGATAAAAAGTACATACAGTATATTAAACCCACCTGGGCACAACAGTAAAATATAGCAGGTTCTCTATTTTCTTTTACTTATAATTCTCAGTATGTCACTTTAACAGAGCTCTCTTCATTTTGTTACCACAAATGATTAGATGTCAATTATGTTATATCATGTTACTGTACAATATTAACATGGAATTAATAAAAAAAAAATTACACAGGTATTAAAAAACTGATTTGAAAATAGTTAATAATACAGTAATTAAAGAATTATTATGAAAAGTTTAATTTCTAAATAAAACTAAATTACATACCACAATGGTTGTATTGCCTGGCTGCACCTTCAGTTCAGTAAGGACCCAAATGCCATTGGTTAGCTTGATAGATTGGTACAACATGTCCTGACCTTCTACATTACGCTTGGCAATTGTAAAAATGTTTGAACTCTGCAACTTATTAGAGATTCCATCTGCAAAGAAATTAGTGAAGCTTTCAAGCATATTCTTTTTAAGTTTTAAATAAGAACAAGTTTTAATGACAGTGAAAGCTTCTGAAGAATCACATTTTAAATTGGACCAAATAAACTACAATGCTTCAAGTAATACATATTAATACTGTTGACATAAAAATAATCCCACTACAGTATACCCGGTAGTCATCAAAGCAATAAGTTTAAATTACTTTTTCATTACCCGTATGTGGCTTTCACCATATTGTGTTTCCTCACCAAAGAATTCATGTGTTCATTTGTCTCCACTTGGCTACAACATCCTAGCACCACTACTTTACATCCCCAGTACACAAGATACATTCATGAGAAATGTCATACACAAGACAGAATATTGTACAGCAATAAATATAGAAAGGTATAACTAAATTTTGAGATGTCGATATCTAAACTAAGCTGCACAGTGTATCTACAGTGACTAAAGTGTGGTTTCAAACTGATTTGCTTGAGGTGACCTGGCAGCAGTGATGTAGGTCTCGTGACCTTTTTTTCCCAGGTCTCAATCTCGGTCTCAATTCTGGATGGATAAGGTCTCACATTTTTACTCAAGACTTTTTGAGACCACAAATTTATTTACTATTTTTCAGGTGTGTTAGGAGGGAGCAGTCACTGGTCAAGTTTGGATTCCTGTTATAGTTAGGTATCCATTTATAGCTGGGTAGACTGTGGGTGCCCAAGGTTTGAACCAGTAACCCTCAGGACAAGAGGCAAGTGTTGTATCCACTCAGCCACCACGTCCCTAATGTTGAGAAATAATTATTGTTTTATCTTTGGCAAGTCACCAAAAGAAATATGAGGAACTTGAACCAATGAGAAAACAGCACATTGTATCTGCTCTCTTGCCAGAGTCATATTCTACCTCACTACCCCTTCTGGTGAATGCAACTGCGGCAAAAACTAAGTCAATTGTTGACTGACACTAGAGCCATAAAACAATGGATTGAAGTATGAAATCCCAATATACAGTAGAGTTTAATGTCAAGATGAATACTGTACTTCGTAAATATTGTTCCTATACATAATTTAGTTGTGTAATCTTAAAGTTATAAGGGTCATGCTATACATTAATTAATGGAAACCAAGTATTGTATAGTGGATTAACCCTTAAGCCCCGGGTTAGGGTGCTGCTGGCAGTACCCCCCCCCTCCCCGGCTGGGATAAATTTTAAAAAATCAATTAAAAAAAATAATAATAAATAAAAAAATGGCGTGAATAGGAGGACATACTGGAACATCACCCGGGGCCTAAGGGTTAATCCTGATATCCCTGATTACAGCTGAGCACAGATCAAGTGACTCCAGATACAGTCCATCCCAGACCTGGATCCTTCATGTGTGTGTGACTAGTGCTAAATAGATCAATCTATTCAGCTAACTATTCCACCATAATAATCAGTAGATCAGTTAGTCCTTTCTTGTCATAATCCGGAGGCTCAAAGGATATAAATTTGTAGCACAACCATGAGCAGTCCACATCTGTCAAATGTTCAACCATAAACCTGTAACCTAGGATCAGTTTCTTTTAGTTCCACCTTGTTCAAACATCATCCCCAAGGGAGGTCTAAAGTTGTGTGAAATGACCAATTTGTGCTTGGATAAAAACTGGGATTCCAGGATCAATCTCTATTTAAAGCTTAAGCATATCTCAGGTAACTCCAGTTCCCCAAGCCAACTAGAAATGAGCAGGATGGAAGGTACAAAACTTTACACAAAAGAGACGCTCACAGCGCTGATAGAGCTACACTACCTAACCAAATTCATCTTTCGAGAGCCTGCCAGAACACTCTTTTAAGTTCTACTGTATAAGAATTTGCAGCCAAATTCAGAAACCTATGTTTTCCAAATACAAAAATCTCATAACTACAATTGAAATTAAATCAGCTCCAACCATTCTAATATAATGCTGAAGGAGCTTCCTTCCTGATTCATACTACCTGTTGGTGCAACCCCCCTTTAAAAAATCCATTAAGAAATTTGAAACTGTGGCATACTTCCTCAAAACTTCTGGCATATGAAGGAATAGCTTAAAACTTGATGGAAACTGATAAAAAACCTGTCAATTTTTACTGAACTATTCAGGACTCAAGTCAGATTTCCCACTCTGATTTCCTCAGGGCTTTTCTTACATCATTTTACCAAACATAAAAAAATAATAAATTCAGAGAAAGTTTATTTTGTGTAGGCCCATCACACAACAACCAGCCAACACTGATGTTGGAAGTTATTCTGCAGCCCCAAATTGCACTTCCCCTAAATATTAACTACAATAGCCCAAGTCAGACCCACTTGTGGAGTAAAAAACTGTTGAGCTGTGCAATGTGAGACATTAATAAGAGGAAGCATCGCATAGACTGTTTGTCTGCACTACTAACATGATCACAAACCCCCAGACTGACTCAATAACCAATATAAACATTTTACAATGTCACTAACTATAATAATAATAACAACCATGAAATAACTTTACCCCCAAAAAACAAGAGCAAGTGTAACTACAACTGCTGCGTGTTCCTAGCTGCTGCACAGTATAGGGCTCCTAAGCCTTCAACCTTTGGGTAACTTGATGCCTCCAGATGATACTCTTTGCACATTAAGGTTAATTTTGGGAAGCAGTAGAAGCCATTGATTACTTTTCTGAATTAATTGGCTGAAGATACAAAACTATTTATCATCAATTACACCTATCAGAGATCCAGGTCAGAGGTTTTCAACTCCCATGGATTGTGGACTGTAACTGGAGATGCCTGACATGTGACTAGGCTACAAAAAACCTACATATTGTCCATAACACAAAGAAACATGGGTGATAATAGATATGTATAGTAATAATTCAGAGTGGAAGGAACTATATTTACCTGTAGCTGATAAGCCGTCTGTGGAAAGATACAGACTCATATGAGTAAGGGCACACAGCAACACATTATGATCACAATGTTCATACAAGAATAAATGCAAGTTCAAAATAAATGTCTAAACTTGTCACTTCAAGCCTATAGCAAAAAATCATGTTATTAACTGAAATATATCTGCAAAAGTTGTCCCATACAGGCATCTTTAATCAAAATAAATAAGTAAATAAAAATGTCATATTTTTCCCATAAAACCAATTCATATTTTAAATTTATCTTATATTTTTCACTGTAAATATTTATGTTTCTTGCAATACATTGGGATAGGAGTGATTGCCAAAAATGTTTCCAAAAATTCTTAAAATACCTGCATTATAGTATACCAAGTATTTTACACATCAAATTATTAAATACAAGATAAAAAACACATGCTTTCTGTTGCATCCTCTGGTAAAGTTACATAAAAATATACCACAATAAAAAGATATAAAAGTTCCACTCAAATAAGATTAAAACAAAAACTCTTACTACAAGAAATTACAAGGCTGAAGTTTGTATAAAAATGAACCAAATAAAATACAAGAGCATGTGTACACTTAATATATAAACCAAGTAGCTAAAGTAGGTTAAGTGCAGTTTTTTCTTTTACTCTGATGGGACACAGGGTGGCATGTATGAAGGTTCTCCCTCACACCATAACCTATACAGGTACTTTACTCAAGCTCAAATTAGACTTGCATAATCAATCATGGAATTTACTTGCCAATATAGGACATTAGTAACATAGTCCTTGCATCACATATCATAGACAAGTTGATGTAGGATATATATATATAAACCTCTCCAAATTGTCACCATTATAATTTTAAGGCCATTTCCCACGCTTGCATGGATTCCCAGTTATTACCAGACTGTATGGTCCCTTACAGCCTCTCAGCAGGTGCTTATCTCTGAGGTCGTTTCCCACATATGAACTGGATAATTGTCATTCAGTTCAGTTTTAAGAAAAAAACAATATGACTGGGATAAATCTTGTGTAAATGAGGCTGAAGCACAACTTAAAGAGTAGAAGGAACAATTTATGAGTGATTGGTTTATTTATTGTGGTAATAACCCTGGCGACGCAACACCTTAGGTCATATGCCACCGAATTAAACTAAAAGCTTAGAAGACTAAAAACAAATAATGCAAGAAAAAATATAAATAACAAATAGCATATAACTTTAATGAAAACCATTTAAATATTAATAGATAAAAGTCAAAGCTTATGTAAAAGGCCATCATCCTCCAAAAAGATGAGGACATCCCCCCCCCCCAGAGAGACGGTATGACTCATCTTCCTCCCAGAGACCAAGGGGCTTACAACGAAAATCTCAAGACTGGAGCACTCCACCAGGAAGTGTCAGTCACATGTGGCTGGATAATTTATGAGTACTATCTTAAATTCTACAACTGAAGTGTGTGGGTGCAAAAAAAAGAGGAAAGTAAAACAAAAGGTAATGGTGATACTAATCAAGAAGTATTGGGTGAGAAAATCAAGACAAATAGAAATGGCAGTTAACAATGAATTAGCAGATACTGTACAGTGTAGTCAAGAGAATGCAAAAGGAAAAAAATAAAATAAAACACCTACCAGCAGTCAAGTTCACATTTTCAATATTGAACTGAACTTCATTCTGGCTTGGGATGTCCTTCCAGGTAGAGAGGAATACACGTTTGTCCATCGCTCCGTCCTCAGAAAAGAATATATGCATTGGCATCACCGTCGCAAAGTAAAACACGTCCACACTGTTCTTTATGGCTACCTGTTGGCAAAAGTAGATGTGGTTTAGCATTTAATACAAGACAGAAAATAAAAGTACTGCTTATTAAACAAACCCTGACTTTTGACCCCTACATCAACAGAACAACTCCCTGATACAGTTTGGTGAAGATAGCAGGTGCAAAACAAATTTAGTTACAGACATCATCATCAAGTACAATACACAATGAATATTAAATAAATGCATATAGAAACAGAAGTTAACATGCCTCAAGAGACTAGATTCAGATAAACGAATAAATAAATAAAAGAATCATCTAATCCAATGCATTATAACAAATACCAGAGTGGCACAACCTAATGAAGCAATACTAATTAGCATAATCCTGCATTAGGAAATTTGATACAATGAAATATTAAATATTTTCAGTTGAGGATTTTGAAGTAAATGTTAATAGTTAACTCATCACACGTGTAACAGCTTTCTACTTATTTTTTGTATCATTTCACTACTTGTCAACTTACTAGCCATTTGGGTAGTTGTATCCAGTGTTAGTACAGGAGGAAACCAGAATCCAGTTAACTTGTGCTGTTTGATAGCAAGGGTCACACTGGATAACTTAATGTATTGGGAGTGGTGGTGGTACTTAAAGCCAATAATTAAAGAAATCCAGCAATGTTGATAATCTTTCTTCACAGAAGACTAATACAAAATAGTGTCTTACTGTTGCTACTGTACTGTACCTGTAAGTTTGTGAGAGGATCCATGCGCTGGACAGGGCCACTTGTGGTGAGTGCGAGGCTCACATCAATAGACTGATTGGGGGCCAAAGGAGCAGGCACGTTCAGAGGAGAGGCTGGTGTGATGCCAAAGCTGTTCTTATTGAGCTGAATAGCAAATCCTGTTATTGGCTGCATAGCTTTGTTATGTATAGTCATGTCCATAGAAACAGCTCCAGCTCTGAAAATAAAATGCAAAATTGTATCACTGAATGACTATACACACGAATAGCTTTAAAATATGCACTAAAAAACATTCGGATGAAACTGATCACCGACTAAAGTGCATCCATATGTGCCTTAAAAAGGGAAATTTATAATAACACAAAGTTATAAATTAATTGACATATGTTATAATTATTTTGATATCACATTCAGCCATATTAATTTTTGTGAGGGGACAAGAACCATTTACTGTACATGTTTAAGGATCAAATTACTTCTTTGAATGTATCGAACACTTCCTAACGACAGTCTCAAAAAGTATGTATTGTAGTGCATCACAGTTCTTAGGCCACTTGTGAGTGAAACAATTTAAAGAGTACACCACTGTACATTATATTAAAATCCTTACTTGCGAGTAAAGGTGCCAGTAATCTCCATTCCTTTCCCACGATTTGCTGGCAGTAATACTTGTTTGGGGGGAGAATATACTGGTGCAGATGATGATGCAATACCAAAGATATCACCAAGGAGACCTGGACACACAAACAAACCAATTTCAAATCATTGCAAACACTTACAGTATAATAAACATCACAATATATTTAAAAAAATAAATAATAATAATATCTTAATGTGGTACAAAATTTTAAATTCAAAATCACCTTTGAAAATGAAAAATTTGCTAAAAACTTATGAAACACACAACATACATTATTCAGTATACATATTTATTGTTTTTTCTTAAATACACAAAGAATGAGAGACTGATCCTAATATCTTGCTTTATGGTTGATGTCCTGTTTTAACCTAACCTAACCCCATCTTCCTTTACCACAATACTGTTGTTGTTATTGTATCTTTCCATCACCCAGCTGGACTCATTTTACTTATTTAATTTAATTTTATTTTTTAAAGAAAGAGGAAACTTCCAAATGATATGCGTGTTGTCACCCTATAAGAAAGATCTCTTTCTTACACACTCTGAGCTACAGTGTGCTTATTATGAGGCACTTTTAATGTTTCTGAAGGTTAATGGAAAATTTATGGAGCAACAAAATTATCAACACAAAATACACAACCATGTAATTATACTGTACAGTACATTCTTACTTAGAATAAGTTAAAGTAGCTGCATGGCAAACCACAGATTTAAACCCCGGTTCAGGACACCTTATACATCAGGCATTTAAACACTCTGTCCTAAAAATTTAACAAAAACTATATAAATATCAATAAACTTGGAACTAAAAAGAACCATTCTGGTCCAAGATAGAACAGGTGGTTGAATCAAGAATTCTGTCGTGAAAGCAAGAGAGACACTGAGTTTGCTTTTAATGATCGGCCAAAGCAGAGAACAATCAGACGGGAGAAACTATCAGGGTCCAGTGATATATCTGTTTTTAATGACAACATGCATTTTCTACAGGAACCTTTCTCTTGTAGAAATGAGGAATCCAGCTGGGCATTGTAGTGTAATGTTGTAGAGGTGTCCAGCTGGGTGTTGTAGTGTAATGTTGTAGAGGTGTCCAGCTGGGTGTTGTAGTGTAATGTTGTAGAGGTGTCCAGCTGGGTTTTTGTAGTGTAATGTTGTAGAGGTGTCCAGCTGGGCGTTGTAGTGCACTGTTGTTGCATAACACTTATGGTCAAGCAAGATGGGGTATACATCTAGAACCTACTTGTGTTTACATATTAAAGGTCCACTTACAGAGTCCCTATAACAAATCATTATAATATGACCTTACAACACGTAATAACAGGGCAACTATCCAGTATCTTACACAAACGGCTTCAACTTATTCACTACCTGTACAAACAATACTGTGAAAATCTATTAACATCAAATACCAGGATAAAATAAAACTGGGGATGTAAAGTAGCTAAAACAACAATCTGTGCAGGTGGGGGTTGACATGCTCCGAAATTTTACGTGTGACTAGTGACAGCCTCCGTGTGACTAGTGACAGCCCTCATATACCAAAATTTATCGTCCATGGTCTCATAATGTTTCCCACAAAGTATGCACAGATAGTTGTTTTAGCTACTTTACAAATTAGTTTTGCTTGCTGATAAAAATTCTTTGGTTATGATTTAAATACTTCGCATGCTGTACATTTATATTAAGTCCTTTCAGTACCTGTGTCACCTTATCAATAGCATTACATGAAAAGAAGAAAGATATACATAAATATCAAGTAAGACTGTCTTGCCCTACACTATGGCAAGAGCTGTGTTTTATAATTAGTTAATAAAAATGAAGAATTATTCCTGAAATCCTATTACAACTGACTCAGAACTGAGCAATTCCATGTACAGTAGTCAGCAATGTAGCTGTCAAAACCCCAGACCCCAGGACTAAGACTTGTGACCAGGATCACTGAAGAAATTCAACAAATACAGTACAGGACTTTTTTTTAACAGGTCTCTACATTAACCTGGTTTATGTGACAAAAACATGATTACTGATCCCATGGTAAGGTTGTCTCAGGCTCTGAACTGAGTTACCATGAGGCTTTCTTACCTATATAGATAGAATAAAAACAATAACAGTCTTATTTTTGTAGTATTGGTGAGGAATATAGTTATTGAATAATTATACCTGCAGTTGATGAGGCAGCCACTGGAGGAATCCCAGGGGCAGGGGCACCTCCTACCTCAGCTCCACCAACTCCCAGTAAGGAGTCAAGACCCCCACCCAGGAGGTCCAGGGTGCCACCAGAGAATGCTACCAGAGGAACAAAGGATTCAACTAATGGGTTTAAATACAGTACAGTACACAGTGATGTTCCTTTGGTTACAGTTTTAAGTATAAAGCTTTACTTCTGCAGGAAAATCTAGGTACATGATGGTAAGCTAAATGGTAATTAGTATTATTAAAATTAAATTTTATTGTACAGGAATAAATATAAGATATATACTGTACTGTACATTAACATTATATTAGTTAAGCAAACTATCTCTAATTCTATGTTTCCAGGTAATTAGAATAATAATTATACTAATAAAGACAAAATATGAGACAACCTGTTTTACTGCTAACTAAAAGAACTATACAGTAAACAGCTGAAAATGTTATGAAGAACGTCAGAACTTTACTAAATATTGAGCTCCCTGAATCAATGGTTTAAAGAGATGTTTCCCAAGCAGTAACTCCAGCCATAACAGCCTGACAAACAAGTTTAGGTGAATCTACTAAAAGTAAATTATATTTCAATCTTGAGTGTTGAGCAGTCAGGGAGCATCACTTGAGGCATACAGTAGTTCTCCAGGCTGGTCAGTTATACATTTTCACCCAGGATGACACTACCTCACTTAATGTGACCAAGGGTTCATAACTCATTTCTACAAATACTGTGCGAGTCTCACTCAAAAGGACTATCCTACTAATGTGAACAAACTGTTACATAAATTCTATCCAGGATTATGATTTCCCACTTAATGTAAGAAAGTGTTAATACTTGAGAGAGTGAGTGAGATACCTGGCTGTGCTGCAGGTACAACTGGTGGAGCATTGATATCCATGTTGAGGAGGTCTGGGATAAGGGAATCCTGATTTGGAATAACAGTTGGCTGCTGCTGCTGCTGTTGCTGCTGCTGCTCTCCAGCAGTTTCATTGTCACTACCACCTGATGACTAAAATGCACAATGTGTGTGTGAGTTATTTGTTTCAATCTAACCTAACTTAAAACACACTGTACTGCATGTAGTATTACTGCTGTATTCAGTTTGATAAAAAAAAAGGGCTATCAAATAAACCATGCAATAAGCTACACAACCCTTTTTCAGCCAATAAGCAAATCCACAACCCTGGGGTATTGGTGGTACAGCAGTAACCAAAGTATATCTCAGTCCCGTGCCCTGGGTTCAATCCCCAGCCCAGGACAGATGTGAGAAGGGTGTTATCCAGTATGACACCACCAGGTTTTTTCAGTTTACTCCAGTTCTCCCTGCACTAACACTGGACAATGAAGATTATAATAAATCAGATGTCATTAATCTTCCAAATATTTCTTCCACTTATTATTTTTCATGTGTTGGTTACTCCCCACCGTATCTACTATTTTACTTTTATATATCCCTTCCATATCTCTTGTCTCTCTTGTAATATTTTGCCACAATTTTTCACATCGTACAAAATCATGGCTCAACTTTCTTAGCACATACCAATCATTCCTTCACCCTTTTGTTCTCCTCTTTGTGTTGTATTCTTGCTTCCTTCTCTCCCACTTATATATACAGATTTTCCCCTTGCCTCCTCCTCCTTCCCAATGCCACTTTTATTTGTGTTCCATCAAGCATCTCAAACATTCATAGTGTTTCAATAAATCTACCAACCAACATTTTACACTGTCGAGATTTGATTATATTGCTTCTCTCTTGCATAAACTCTGACCATCTTTCAGTGAACCATAAAAGATCATAAAGTATTTCAATCCTCAAAAATGTGGATCTTTACATCCACTATATAATATCATGCTTACACCCATACTGTAATATCTGGTCCTAGTATTTCTTTTTTTTATTCTTTTCACTAAGTTAGGCACATGTACTCTATTAAGTCTAACTAAGTAGACCTTTGGGGTATCATCTTCCTTCCTTCTTGATATAAATGTTTCAAAAGAGCAACTGTCCACATCTACTGCAGGATTTCTTACTGCTTACCATATCAAACACCTTTTAAGATGTTACTTTCTATATGGTTTTTTTCATCTCATGTTCTAATTCTTCAATATACACTAAAGACCTCATCTTTACCAATGCCAATTATTGACAGCCTTAAGCTGGGCAAACCCATTTAGAGAACATCAAACTTCCCTCTTAAGTTCTCTGCATCTACAATTCTAATTTTATCCTCAATGTACTAAAAATATCCCCAACATACTGTATACAGGAGGTTCCAGACTTACAAGCGCCTGCCGATACAAATGGGATTAAACTTGAAATTACAGTATATTATTTACCTGATGACTTATTTTTTTTACTTTCATTTCTGTATTTTGTCATTCTATTTCTTATTTTGTCTTAAATCAAGTGATTTTAGGTGTATATAAGGACTTAGGCTATGATATAGCGGGATTTTAAATTTTTTTTTTAAGTACGGTATGCTCATAGCATGTGTTCCGACTTACGTACAAATCTGAGTTACAAACGTCCTCAGGAACAGAACCTGTTCGTACCCCGGGCCCCCTGTATTTAACTTTACAAAGCCATAAGATCTATGACATTGAAAATATGATGATAAAACACAGCATATTATTTTCTCAAGCAGCAAACAGTATTAGCTATAGCAAATCCTTCATCACCCACCACACACCTTAGGCAGCGCCCTACGAAGGCCTGTACGTCCCTCCACAAACGCAGATGGAGGCTTATGGTAAACAGATGCAAGAGAAGCAATGTGGCAGATGAGCTCATCCAAGAGTGTGGGCTCAATCAAATCAGTTTCCTCTGCTATGAGCGGCTTCTCTGCTAGAACAACCTGAGGAAGATGATTAAGACATTATCACTGGATTGAAAGGAAAATTCTTAGGTACATCTATATTCCTGAATAAAAAATATGAACATCCTCTGACAGTGAAAAAGAATAGAATAATAAATATAGTTTAACCAGAAAAGTCTCCAAATCACCTTTTGCACGGATACAAAGTTTAAGAAGCCATAACTCTGGACAAAACGATGGAAAACTGTGATTATTAACTTCCTCTTAAATCTTTTTACACTGGCAATGTTATGTATCTATAAGCCATAGCAAATTAATATCCACTGATATTATAACATTCATAAAGATGGATGCACACAAAAGGATGCCTGGTATATCTATTTCCCTCTCCAGACAATAGCTGACAGTCATGTGTAGCTAAGTGGTAGAGAAAATCTGCCTCATAAGCCAAGGGTCTTGAATTCAATTCCTGGCTGGAATATAGACTGGGTTTCCACCTTATACACTCAACAATATATTAGTACATACACTAATTGCTTGTTGAAGTTGAATCGACCATTTTTGAAAAATTTGTGGCAAAATGTTTAAATTTTTGTGTGAAGACATAAATGCGGCATTTATGAAGATTTGTTCATTTCTTTTTCATGCATACAAGTCCAATACTACTGTTTCTGCCAGTGTGATCATTGCACAGTGGCTTTAGTAAACTGAAGGGTTAAAGTTCAATAACCAATATTCAAGAAAATTTAAATTCAATAATACAATTCAGTCACAAAATCCTACATTATACTACACAGTCTCTCACCTCCTTGGCAGCTCCTGGGTCAGTGGACAACAACCTCCAGTATATGAAACCTCTGTCTCGCAGGTCAGGGTTGTCAGAGTCCTGTGTGGCCAGGCTCAGCACCTGTCACAGATAAAATTGTTTAGTCTACAACACAATATAATACAGTATTTATAACAAGACTCTTCATCTCTTGACAAACTAAAAAACTCAATGTTGTTAAGAAGCACTCACTGAGGGGGTATAATAACACTTCCTGTTATGCACAAACACACTATAACCTCAAATCTGTTATGTAAAACAATATACAGGTATCCTTCATTTAGCGTTTATTTGCTTTAGCGATAATTTTTTTTACACCCTTTCTCGCTTCATGTTTAGTCAAAATTCAGTTTAGGGATAGTCTCACTCACTGGGAAGGGGAAAACTGGGGATGAGGTGGCCTGTGAGATGGCATGTTACATGTAATGAAACTATAAAAGTTGTGGGAAAATTATTACAATACTTTAAAGTGGCTTAGATATAAGAAAATATAATATGAAAATAAGAAAAATCAAGAGCATGAGTGTGTGTATGTGTGTGGGAAGTGAAGGTATGTGTGGAGAGAGTGGGCTGTAACTTTCTCGCCTGCCCAGCTGCAATACCTCCCCCAATGTGACATCATGGCATACACACAGCAGCCACACACGTCTCTGAGATGGCTGAACTGTGACATGTCACCCAGAGGATGGCGTGAGTGGAAGGAACTATTTTTCATACATAAAATATATGCTATTGTATTTTATGATATACTATGTATCAATTTTATTGTTCATCATCGCAGTTTTAGTTCATTTTGGACCTGCTCACCTGCTCACAAATTTTTTTAACTCTGAACTAAATCATTTAGATAGAAATTTGGTGTTAATAAATCAATCATTTCACTTTAAAACCATTTATAATGAATTTGTTTATTATTATTATTATTATTATTAGCGAGTACTGTACTCAGTGTTTACCGCCCTGCTGTTTAAACATGTTTTTCTCCCCCCGTGCTTCATTGTTTTCACTCATACAGCGATAATTTCACAACATTAATTTTTTTTCACGAATGCAACCCCATCATTAAATGAAGAATACCTGTAAATATCAATACAGTACTGTAACACGAATGAATTGGTGAAAATATCCAGTAAGAAATATTATAGTACTTTGATTTCCAAAACCTAAAAAAATTACTATTAAAGATAAGGAAAAGATAAATAACCCTACCTGCTGAACCAACTCCTGTGTGTCAGTGGGTCTTTTTAGGAAGAGTTTGACAATAGCAGTGAGGAGCTGTAGCTGCACCTGTGTGTTCTCATCATGGAAACCCTCCAAGAAGCTCTCAAGAAGTTCATCTGCATTATCTATACGCTCTGCATATTCTCCAATGATCCAAATCATTGATGCCCTGTAAAAATTGGGGAATTGTTATGCTGTCCCTTATTATCATTACAGTTGAACAGACACTTTATGATATACCCTACACACATTGACTCACATGAGAGAACCTCCACTTTATGCTTCCTGAGCTCATTGGCAATGCTACATTCACAGCCATCTTCCCAAACATGCTTGGATCTATCAAATCCACAAGGGAAAAAGATACGTCTGATATGGATGTTGCTAATAAACGGCCAGAACAACTAAAGTTTCTCTTCATCTGACCATGTTGCCTCCAATGAAAAGCAGTACCTCAGAGGGATCCAGGGTAGGAAGCTGAGCTATCTATTCACTCTTGATCATAAAAAGAAATTTTAAGATCAATCCAAATTCAAGATTTTACAAGGTGAGGGAAGATGAGGAAGGTGATTAGCCATATGGTGTACCCAAAGAGACTAAGGAATCACAAGTACTGCAAAGTTTAAAACAATGAAAACCAGGAGAGGATACCACAGACCTCCAAGTAGAACGTGACAGAAATAAAGCCGAGATGGTCTTACAAAACTGATCATAAATTACCTGGCCTCGGGTTCATCAAGTGTGTCAAGATTCTCACACAGCGTAGAGATGATGCTTTCATATTTATTGGGATACTTGCGGAAGATGTCCTTAATTACCACTATGGCTTCCTGCACCACGTAATTCACCTGGAAATATATAGATAACTTAATGTCAAGTCCAAAAAAATTAATAATAAAAAGTAACGATTTTTTCCTTCCTAGGCTCATCAAGAGAGACTGGTGGAGATATCACAGGTCATTAATTTCCTCTATACAGTGCTGTAAAGCAAAAAAGTGATATTTCACAAGTAATCTTCCATTCTGAATTTAATAACAAAGTTTCCCTCTGATCACACAAAGCACGAGAAAATATTACTGCTGGTACGCACTTTGGTTTGGATCAGATCCAGTAGCGTGGAGACACATCTCTCAGCAGATGTCTCAACCTTGATGGCACAGCGTCCAATTGCTCTTACAGCTTTTCGTACAAAGTCAACATCAACTTCAGTAGCGTACCTGTAGACACATAATTTTCTCATTAAATATTCCAAGACTTGATTTACTTATATTCATCTCAAAGATCTATGACCTGTCTCTTGAGAGGTTTAGTAAGGACCATTCCCCATGTATTATTATTACGAACTGACACACACATGCACACGCACAATATCTTTTTCAGCCTTACACTTCCTCTCCCACTATACAGTACTACAGAATGGCCAGAACTAAGAGCAAACACAGACTTCCTCTTTGTTTGCCATCACTGTCCACATTTGCTGTTATAAATGTTACCATATGCCATTCAACACAGTAAACTCCTATACTGTACTGCACCTTGCTGCTTCCTGAATATCAATCCCAGGGCTCTTACATCTCCTGTATCCATCACCTCATCCTTTCACCTCCTACAAGATCTTCCGGTTCCCTCCAATTAATTTCTGACTTACAGCTACATTCTTTTTACCAATATCTAACATCCCAGTCTCAGCAAATCCCTGTATTAGCTCCCATTCACAAAGCTAGAATTGTATTACATATATGAAGTTGCCTATTTTCCATTTTCTTCTTCTCCAAGAGGACCAATGCACTTAGCTTGAGATCCAAGAGAGGACAAGAAGACTGTTTTAACCAGGCCAATGGTAAAGAAAACAACTTACTCCTTCAGTTCAGACAAGACTTGAACAATATTGGCCTCAGAAGCTAAACGAATCATGATGTCCAGCTTCTCCAGTTTCACATAGATGGGATCATTATATTTGACAAAGAAAACTTTCATCTCATGCTTCAGCAGTTCAGGCCGCTTCTGGACAATCAGGTTGATGTTCCTCAGAGCAACGTACTGAACCTGAATAAAATGGAAGACAAAACTTATGAGAGAAATCACCTAACTCTGAACAATGAATCATCTGCATTATTTCTAAGTAAGGAGCCATCTGCAAGAGGAAAGAAAAACTAACTTAAAATGGTTGATATGCACCTTAAACTGATAAAGTCATATGGAATAAATTTTTAACTTTAACAAGACTACAGATATATAATTGTGGACAGTTGGAACAAAAATTCCAGAGCAAACGTAAAATATCACTTGCAAATAATAATAAAAAATATCTTCCTTTAATTTTTTGAAGTCTTATCCTACCTAATACTGTCTATGGTTGCCTGATATAAGGGTACCCACCTACCCCACCACCCAGCCACACTCACAGAGCTTCCCTTCATCGTTGGCGCTCACTCCTTCTTACCAAGTTGTACATTATGTTCTGCCATGATATTCCCCTTTTACAACAAGGTTCCACATCTGGTTTACCCATTGAGGCCTCACACAAGCTACCATCACAAGCCAGCAACACATCCTTCCCCATTAAGCACTCAACAACTTGCTCTCTGTTCATTGTTGCTTCCTTCACAGACACTTCAGGTGCCTCCCTTCATAGTACAATCACATCAATCAACTTATATTTTATTCTTCTAATCAACACAATTTCTATATGTTTGTTTTCTCTATTATTTTACTTTCATGAACACTTATAATTTTCTTTCTCTGTCTCCATTCACTCTGAGCACTCCACATTTTCCCACAATCCCCTCCATTTCCCTATCACTAATTCTTATATTTAAATCCCTCATCACTCTTAACTCACACTAAACCTTCAATGCAGTTATTATTGTCTTACCAGAGGTTCTCCCTCCTTCTTGCTTGTCTCAATCCCTGGTGCACTTGTATATAAGAACATAAGAAAATAAGGAGTCTGCAATAGGCTGGTTGGCCTGTGCATGGCAGCGCCTGTTGAGATTTACAACCACTCTCTTTCGTCCATGAATCTATCTAGCCTCCTTTTAAAACTTTCCAGCATCCCAGCACTTACTACAAAGTTGCTAAGCTTGTTCCACTCATCTACCACCCTATTTGTGAACCAGTTTCTTCCTATCTCCCTCCTAAACCTACACTTATCCAACTTAAATCCATTGCTACAAGTCCTATCCTACTCGGATATTATAAGAACTTTATCTATATCTCCTTTATTGATTCCTTTCACCCAATTAAATACTTCTATCATATCTCCCTCCACTCTTCGTCTTTCTAGGGAATGCAAGTTTAGTTTCTTTAATCAATCTTGATATGGAAGTTTTCTAAGTCCCGGAATCATTTTCGTCATTCTTCGCTGCACCGACTCTAGTGAACTGATATCCATTCTATAATAGGGGCACCAGAACTGAACCGCATAATCGAGGTGCGGCCTGACTAGCGCAAGATATAATTGCAATATGACCTCCGCACTCTTGTTACTTGCACTTCTAGATATAAAACCTAATACTCTGTTTGTCTTATTTCAAACATTAAAGCATTGTTTTCTAGGCCGAAGGTCCAAGCTTACAAGTAACCCTAAGTCTCTCACAAGTCGACTTTTCTAAGTTGATGTTGTTAAGGCTGTATACATTGACAGTATTTGTTCTTTCAATATTAAGTACGCTGCACTTGCTGGTGTTGAATATCACTTGCCATTTTTCTGACCAGTATATTTAAATCCTCCTGTAGCGCATTTGCATCATGCCCTGAATTAATCTGCCGCCCTATTTTGGTGTCATCCGCAAACTTGCTTATGTCACTGCTGATCCAAGTATCTAGATCGTTTATGTCGATTATGAACAAGAGTGGGCCCAGTACTGACCCTGGACAACCCCACTAGTTACACAGCCCCACTCAGATTTAAAATCATCTACACTGACCCTCTGTGTTCTAACGGTGAGCCATGATTTTATCCAATTTAAAACTTTCCCCTCGATACCATGACCCTTAACTTTTCTCAGAAGCCTCTGATGCGGTACTCTGTCAAATGCTTTGCTCAGGTCTAAGTATATAACACATTGTAATTTTCGTCATTCCCTTTGTAAATCCATGTCGAGTCGTAGATTAATTTGTTTTTCTCTAAATGCGATTGGACGCTATTTGCTATAATTGATTCAAGAAACTGATTCAAGAAATTTCCACTATACAATACTGTAACCATCTTCCTCACTACTTTTAATCTGATTCATAATATTCTAAAACTGACTCCCTCATGTTCTATCTCACAACTCCATGTGTCATCACTCAACAATAACAACTTGCTCTCCCAAACTAACCTCAGGTTCAGATGACAGTAGAGTTACCAAGGGTGGAGCTAGCTTCTTGGTGAGATTCTTGACAAATTCAGAATCACTGACCATCAACTCCATAAATTTCATGAGGCATTTCACTGCAGACAAAACAACAGCAGCGTTGGCATGAGCCAAGCGTGGTGTGATGCGCTCACAGATACTGGTAGAAAAACAAATATCAATTAAAGACTCATGGTAGTCTTATGACTGCAAAATAACATTCTTAATACATAAATTTATAATGGTCAATGATAACTTATGAAAGGTGATTGGATACTGTAATTTACTTTCTCTCACTAAATTCAAAGCAATTACTTTTTCTGAGACAAAATGCAAATTTCTTATAACCAAACACATTTCCAGCAATTTTATTTCCAGAAAGCAAACTTATTCTATAAACACAAGTATAAAAACTGAATAAGCAGAACTAACCTTTGTGCCTCTCGCTCATCTTTGGGACTAAACTGAGAAAGAGCATCAAGGATAAACACCTGGCCCCACTCAGTACACTCATTGAGAGCTGTGAGGAGTTTGTTCATAGTGGCAGCATTAAGCTCCATTAGAGGCTGGCCTGAGCTGCTGGCTTCATTGATTTCAGTCAGGGAGGCCACAGCATTTGCTACAACCTGTGGAACATCATAGCTTACAAATAATATCTATGGTTTGAAAGAGTCGTCTCGTTACCCGGAGCTCTCTCATCCCTGGAAGAGCTCTGCACCAATTGTTAAGGCTAACAGGGATACTGTATCGCTGTACCCTGTTTTCCATCCCCCATATCTTTCAAGCAAAGCTTAAAACCTTAGTACAGTACAGTAGTACATCTCATTACTTGACACCTGCACGTCCAGCACATCATTAACTGGAGATGAGATTTTCCTCTCATTATGTTCCAATCACAGTTAGATGGGAAAAAACAACAATGGGGCAAACAAACCATACTGTACACCCTGTAGTTAGGACACTGTCTCAAGAGATGTAATGGTATGTCAACTTACAGAATTGTTTTTTAGGGATTGTAAATGTTCAATTTAGTGTGGCACAACTACTAAGCAGAATTTTCATACACATATTACATATGAGAATGATTTTGCAAAAGTGTAGAGGTAGACAACAAGAAACTAATGTTAAGTTAGGTAAAATCACTTCATATGCCTATTTTCATCTTATTTAGGCACTGTATTTTTAGAGCACAGAACAATATAGCCAAGTTTTGCACTAATTCACCTCAGGGACTGTAACTATCTGTAAAATGTTTTGCCACTGGGGATGGGGAGTAAGATGGAAGCAAAGGGGTTAACTGCAAACACTTCTAATCAATCATATGGCAAAATCTCACTCGTCAAAACTTGATGGTCATTTTACTTCACATACGATATTTATGCAAGCTAAGTAGAAATGCATTTTTAACACTACACTCTTATAGAATGTCTAAACCAATTCCAATGACCAAAACTTTGTTATTCAGATGTGATACAAATGTTACACATCAAATACTAAAGGCAAAGCAGAATAAAATTTCCAATACCATTGGGTTGGAATCAGAGAGAAGCTCCTTCAGCTGATCAAGGAATCCTTGGTCTTCTACCATAGAGGCATTAATGTCGTGCAATTTAGCGACACAGATGGCTGCAGTTTTCCGCACATATGGATCTTCATCCTTCAAGCATTTGCGCAGTGGTTCACAGAGATATTCTGTAATCTTGTCAACGCGGATGCATCCCATGGTCCGCACAGCCAGAGCTCGAATGAGAGGGTTTGGATCTTCACAATCCTAAAAATAAAAATTAATTTTGTTAAAACATTAATAAAAACATATTCAAACAAATCTGATATATTGACAAACAATTTTCACCAGTAACGAAGATTCAACTTATTAATATCCAAATCTCAGTTAATATTCATCATCACTTGTCTTATGGTCACTTTTTCACATCTATGTCTGTTAGTCTATTATGAGACTTAACAATTATATTAGGTATTCTTTTGTGAAATCAATCATAATGTTGACCACAACCTCAAGGATATTGTATAGTCTCACAAATATACTTCTGAACAATCTAGTTAATGACATCACATTTTTAGAAATATATCCCTAGAGTTTATCAACAAAATGTGAACAGTGGCATAAGTCATCAGTCACTCATCATTACCTTAACAAATGTATTAACAGCCATGATTGCCATGTCTGGCTGGGACTTGGCATAGTTCATAAGGTAGAGGTACACAAGCTTCTTTAATTCCAGGTTATCTGTCTGCATGCAGTTGACCACATCAGGGAAGAGCGCTGAGACATCTTTACCTGTACAGCACATGGAAACATTAAGATACAGTAATGAATGGATGTAACACAGTAACTGGGTCTAGTGCATGTTGCATTATATTTTTACATAGACAACACATTACATTACAGTTTGTCTGAAACATATCCCTTAGCCCTCCCTTCCAGGAATCTGTATTTGGTTCATTGTGGTGCTTCATTAAATAGTTTCTAAAGTTGTGTTTGTTCCTCCCTGAGTTTCCACAAGAGCAAAGTTTGTGACAGCCATAACACATAGACAAAGACTGATTGGACTGTCACTTACCAACAGTCATAGAAGCAATGACTTTCTTCACAGCTTCCTTCTTCTTCTCCTTCTTGTCACTATTTAACTCAGACTTCAACTCAAATATTTCACCTTTCTTGGTGGTCGTGAAGTACTTGGAGTCCGTCATCGTCCTGGTTTATGTTCACTTATACCTGAAAAAATATATTACAAAATAACACAACTACTGACCACCAAAATGGGCAAAAATTAAATGGATATCAAACAAACTGATCAAAACTGAACAGATATAACAAGGAAGTTCACCACCTGACAATGTTCCATAATAAGCAACGTGCAAAAGAGAATAAATGTAAAAGCCGTAACCAACCACATCCTCACACAGACAATATTTCAGCAAATCAACTCCTAAGCAAAATTTTGGGGCTAATTACTACTGATCCACAAAGAAAATTAACCTTTTCTTGGTCTTTCAGCGCAAATTGTGTCACTAAGCGCTCCCTTGCTGGCGACCCCTCCCGCTCAGCCGTGCACCCCTCCCACAACCAGAAATACAGGAACAGCGGACCGGCCCTAACAACCACTTAAGTCCCTTCCAATAGCCTCGGGTGATGGCATAAGTTTCTCTGAGGTAACATTTGTTTAGATGATAAATGTTTTCTTAATTAATAAAAAGTCCCAAAAATGTAAAACATTAAATTTTCATATTAGTGCATTATTTTTAGGATATATTTTTATCCATCCCAAACACTATTTTATGACCATGCAGATAAAATTAATAAACTTAACATACCTAACATAGACTAGGTCAGGTAGATTAGGTTAGGTTGGGTTAGGTCGGGTAAGATAGGTTTATATATTTTATGTCTGGTAAGTCATAGTAGGCAGCAGTGCACAAGTTTGGGACGGAATTTTTTTTAGAAATATTCTTAAAAAAATTTATTCCGTTCCACCTCTCATGTTTGGTTGTCATAGGTGAGGTTAGGTTAAGTTAGTTCAGGTTAGTCAAAAAGGTCATCCTAGAAACTATCATTGTATAGTGTGCCCACCAAACATGGCCATTTACCTGCCATACCAATATACATCGACGTTTCGCATACAGCTGCCATCCCTGCATCCTGTGCCAAATTAAAACACCACGGAGGCCACAACATACTTGTAAATTTATCTTAAGTTAATTTGAAGTAATATTTCTGATGCTCCACCTTCATACTTTCTTTCTTTCCATTAAAAAAAAAAGTAATTCAATTCTCAGAAAAATAAAATGACACTACTTTTAATTTCTTTTCCTTGGTATTTTTGCATTTACACACCTCACATTCCTACCACTAATCTATTATCATATTCGAATAAGACATCTAATTATAGGATAACTTTCATCTATTACATTACCTGCGGAAATGTATAATAACGGAGAAGGTGAATCCAAAAGGCCAATAAGGTAATAAATAGGTGATTCCATATATTATTGACTTTCTAACAGTGGGAGGTGGAAGTACAAATTTACCTTTTCCTTCACTACACTAACTCTTAAATACGTTAGCTACAGTCATAAAATAATTACCAAATAACGAATAACATTGTGTTAGTTACAGTTTAATGTATACATAATGATCAAAATAATCACCTGGGTAAATACTGTCAAAAAACAACACCATTTACTATATTACCTTCATTAACGAGACAAATCATCCTAGACTCAGAGAAATAGGATTAAATTATAGATAATGTGTGTATTTACCGTGAGAGGTGAGGATATAAGGATAAAATGTAATAAATGTGAGGTGTTCTGCTGCTGCTGGCCTGATCCTCCCATCGACCTCCTGGTGTAGCCGCCTCCCAACAGATGGCGCTCACTCTTCTCAATATTTTTCGCTTTATTTGGGAAAGATCAAGAGTATATTTAAGTTTAAATTCAGTTTATTTTACTTTAATATATTCTCTTCGTCTCTTAGTCTTTATATGATTTTTTGTTTTACTTATGTGGATTTTTCAGGTATTTAAATTATTTTAACCCATTTCCTCAGCTGTCAAATTATAAAGATATATTAAACTGTAATTCCTATCGTCCTCTTTTATTTTATTATATTACAATATGAGTTAGTTGTAAAGTAATGCCTTTTAGGATAATATAATATAAGTAAATAAATAGTTAATACGAACCTAATTTTTTCTTTTATCCTCTTCGCCACTGATCGGCTTGTTAGCCGCTTGGGTGATCGGTCACGTCTCTGTTACGCACTGCTGGCAAATACTGGGCATGCACCGGCTCCTGAATGTACCTGAACCTGCTCCAGTGTTGGTCAAGTCTTCTCTTGAAAGAGCTCACACTCGGTGCCGTCACAACACTCTCTGGTAGATTGTTCCAAGAGTTCACAACTCTCACTCCGAAAAGGTTTGCCCTCACAGTTTTCTGGACTTGCGGCTTCTTCAATCTTGAGCTGTGACCCATTGTGGGGCGAGCGTCCGCCAGCTCCAAGTAAGGACACTCGACTGAGTAGTGCAAACTTTTTCGGAGTGAGGGTTGTAAACTCTTGGAACAATCTACCAGAGTGTGTTGTGACGGCACCGAGTGTGAGCTCTTTCCAGACAAGACTTCACCAACACTGGAGCGGGTTCAGGTACATTCAGGAGCCGGTGCATGCCCAGTATTTGCCAGCAGTGCGTAACAGAGACGTGACCGATCGCCCAAGCGGCTAACAAGCCGATCAGTGGCGAAGAGGATAAAAGTAAGAAGTAAAAGTAAAAGTTATACACCTCAATTAGGTCGCCCCTTGCCCGTCTGTAGTATAAGCAAGGCAAGTTCAGGCGCTCCAATCTCTCAGGGTAGTTGAGGTGCCGAAGTGCAGGCACCAATCTGGTGACACTCCTTTGAACATTTTCAACCAACTGACAGTCCCTAGCATGTTCCAGCATGTGAGAGACCCGACACATTACAGAGGGGAGCAAACACCCAAGCCACTTGACTTCATCATAACAAACGAGGAGGGTATGGTGGCCAAACTGGAACACCTTGCCCCAGTTGGCACCAGTCACCATACAGTGTTGTCATTCAGATTTAACTGTTACCTAGTTCAAGATAAGGCCAGGCCAAGGTGCAAATATTACAAGGGAAATTACAATGGGATGAGGGAAGAGATGAGGGGTATCAACTGGCCTGACTTATTAAGGTACAAGAACGCAGACACTACGCTGAATATCATAACTAGTAAAATGACCCATTTGATCGATAAATATATACCCAAGACCAAACCCAGTGCTTCTAGGAATACGAGGGGATCCCTACACATGAACCATGCGGCGGTCGACAAAATTAAGAAGAAAACCCAGAAATTCAAGACGTGGGTTGGGTCAAACGATGAGCAAGACAGGAGGATGTATGCAAGAGCCAGAAACCAAGCAAAGATAGAGTGTAGGAGGGCTGAAAAGGAGTTCCAAAGGCTGGTTGCACGCGAGGTCAAGTCAAACCCAAAGGCGTTTTACCGCTATGCAAAGTCGAAATTGAAAACGCGAGTAGGAGTATCAGACCTGAGGCTTGAAGATGGTAGTTACGCAGACTCTGACCAGGATAAAGCTGAGGCATTGAACAGCTTCTTTTCCTCAGTGTTCACAAGAGAGGATGCAACTAACCTTCCTGCGTTTGAGGACAGACGGTTCGACACAGCACTGACCCACATTGTGTTCACAGAAGAGGGTATTAGAAATAAACTGTCCAGGCTAAAGGTCCATAAGAGTCCTGGACCTGACATGGTGCATCCTAGAGTGCTAAGGGAGCTGTGCAACGAGCTTGCAGAGCCCCTGAAGATTCTGTTTTGTAAATGCCTGGATGAACAAATGGTCCCCAGTGAATGGAAAGTGGCTTATGTGAGTCCTATCTTCAAGAAGGGCGATAGGCACTCCACGAACAACTATAGACCGGTGAGCCTGACCAGCATAATATGTAAAGTACTTGAGAGTATTATCAGAGATGCAGCGATGCTCGCCCCACAAGGGGTCACAGCTCAAGATTGAGAAGCCGCAAGTCCAGAAAACCGTGAGGGCAAACTTTTTCGGAGTGAGGGTTGTAAACTCTTGGAACAATCTACCAGAGAGTGTTGTGACGGCACCGAGTGTGAGCTCTTTCAAGAGAAGACTTGACCAACACTGGAGCGGGTTCAGGTACATTCAGGAGCCGGTGCATGCCCAGTATTTGCCAACAGTGCGTGACAGAGACGTGACCGATCGCCCGGGCGGCGAGCGAGCCGACCTTTTGGTGAAGAATATAAAGGAAAAGAGACGTGACCGATCGCCCAAGCGGCTAACGAGCCGATCAGTGGCGAAGAGGATAAAAAAAAAAAAAAAGACGGCCTATCGATGACGTCATCAAGGAAACAGAAAACGGGGGACGTTTCCACTGGGGGACTCGGAAGGTTTTGTGGACGTTTGAGCGTAATATGAATACTTAAGGTTTTCAGGTTAGCCGTCATCACGATCATGACATTGGGTATCTCTAATGACAGATTGGTTGTTAAGATATTAGACACACAGATGGTTAATACACTATTTGTACGTCAGACAGCGAGGGTTCGTGTGTATCAACAATTACATTACTTTTTACCTTTATCCTCTTCACCATTGATCGGCTCGTTAGCCGCTTGGGCGATCGGTCAATTATGAGTTGCCTTAAGAAAATTTATTTCATACAATAGCTTTATATGTTGTTCTCCTTTATATCATGTAGTCTAACTATACATTCGTATTTTTTACTCTCTGTAAATTCATATTGGCCAAAGCACGTGTTAATTTTATTGGTATAATTTCATCAGTTACCATAATTGTCCTTTGGTGATCTTCACCTGTCGTGTTTGTCGACGACAGGGAACCAGTTTTGGATCACCACAGGCGAATTATCACAAATTTCACACAGGCACTACCGTACAATAACTATTCCTCACGCCCAGGATGGCACTCCACACTACCCAAGAGTGTCAGACAGTGCCGCAGTTGTGTCAAGAGTATGCAGGGCACACACTCTTGTCTGGGATACGTGCGGCGTGGCCTCGCAGTTTGGCGCCCAAGATGCGTACTGCCCACACGAGCCCTCAGGAGTGCATCTACCCAGAGCAAATCTCACGACTCCTACGATGGTAAATATGAGATATAATTTACTAATACTGTACACCAAAAATTTTAAGAAAATTATTTTATAGGTACAGGCACTGTACAGTATTGTGAAACTAAGAAAGCTTCAACCGTGCTGACCTTGTAGGGTAGACTAGGTAAACACTCGGCAGATCAAAAAGACCTGAGTATATATAGTAGCACCATCAGCCAGATTCACTACCGATTAATGTCACATTACTGTATGGTTAGAATTAATTGTAGTGGTGTCTTCGTCCAGAATAGAGGTAAGTACTTCAAGTACTGTACCTCCACTTTTTGTCTCTTAAGAAACGACCACAGCACATCCCTTTATTGCTGTCAGTATTTGTAAACCCAGTGTAAATGATATTTAATGGACTGACTGAACGAACGAACTCAGGCATTTTTGTACAGTGAAAATTAATTACTATTGACCTCAGAATATCTCCTACTATCAAGTGCACATGGCTTCAAAATGCCAATGATCTTGGTCAGATTTGAAGAAAAAAAAATCTGGGGGGCTTACAGCGCCCCACCAATACCCAAAGCTGGGTGGGCTCGCTTTGCTCGCCAGGTTCCCCCACCGAAAACTCCTTGGACACCCCCTCCTTTTGATATTCCTGGATCCGCCCCTGATCATGTAACACACTTTTGGTGGCAGGGTGGCCGGAGAGATGCGACGTGCTGGTGGTGGGCGGCGGAGCTGTCGGGTCATCGACAGCGTACCACCTGAAACAGCGAGCTGGAAGAGACCTTAATGTGGTGGTGGTGGAGCGAGATTCTACTGTAAGTGTCCCCACTCCTCAGACTATATATATCGTTTTTAATGAAGACATCTTCACAGGCCTCTGAAGATGATATAATATACGTAGCAAGGTGGATAACCCACCTGCTATCAAATCTCCCACTTTATTTCACACTTCCTAACTTTAGCTTCCTCCTACACCTGCTTTCATCTTCAGAGCAAACGGCTCTCTTCTCTCCATCTCATCATCATCATCCTCTGAAGATATCTTGAATAAAGACGAAAGCTAAGGCGCTCCAGTGTTTCCCCTTTCCTTCGTGGTTTTATCTAGATTTATCTTGTCCCCGTTTCGATTTTGGATATATATATATATAAATAAATAAATAAATAAATAAATATATATATATATATATATATATATATATATATATATATATATATATATATATATATATATATATATATATATATATATATATATATATGCTGATAACCACAAGGAAAGAAGAAAACACGAAGTTCCCAAGCGCTTTCGTGTAATTCACATCTTCAGGGGTGAGTACAGACTAAAGAGAAGTACAAAACAAGGTGTATATATACAGAGGAGGGTGAGACCAGATCCACAATGGTCAGGTATTAGGTAATGACCCTACTAATCTTTAAATAGCACGGCAACGGTCGGTAGTCAGGTCAGAGGGTAAGGTGACCCAACCTTCTCACCTGGTTACAAATCTTCTTAATTACAAAATTGTCCAGTTTGTACATGCCATTGCTCAAATTCATGTTGAATGCTTCTGTATGTTTAATAAGACTAGATTCTATGATGTTCCTACTATCAATTGAATTACAAGGTAATATTGAGGAGGCATTATCCCAGTCAATGCAATGCTTGTTATCCCTCAAATGAACAAACAGAGCATTGGATTCCTGGCCTGTCCTAACACTATTTTTATGTTGTTTAAGTCTAGTTACAAGATCTTTACCTATCTGGCCTAAGTAAAACATATTACATTCCTTGCAAGGAACTTTATAAATGTAACCAATTGTGTTGTTGTGGGCATTTAAAAACTCATGCATACAGTATATATATCGGTGGTGAAGGAATACCTCAATACCTTTGCTGTAGAAATATCTGCCCATCTACTTGGACAACTTTACAGAAAACCTCACTTACGCCAACTACCTCAACGTACCCTATTGCATAAATTTCAACCTTCAAGTACAGAATTATGTTGTGGGTAATCAGATACATCAAAACTAACTGTCCATGTTGCTATGTAGCCTTTGTGATGACAACCACTTAATATTGACTTCTTTTTTTTTCAAATACTGCATTGCTTTTCTTATAAATTATTCCTTGGCAGTTATAAAACCAGTGTAATTATTATTCAGCGATAGACATAAATTAAATGTTACTTAAGAAAAATTTACTTTAAATATTTTATACGTGGTGAAGGTCGAGACGTTGTGTGGATGAGCTTGATGCACTCAACAAGGTCAAACACTACTTGATGCTCAAAGTCTCTCACTTGTTTGTCTTTCTCTTCTCTATGTCTTATTTGGCAGCCATAAGATGAATTTAGTCTTACACTATTATAAAACGCTTTCTGTAAGTCTCATACTCTTCGTACTTCCAAGTAAAAAAAATATCTTCCTATCCTATCTTATATACTTAACCAATAATATTTAACATAACCACGTCTCCATGGGCTTGGGTACATACCTATCACAGCTTCTCTGTAGCCATGTGAGTAAAAAACCTTTCTGTCCTTGTACAGTACTTCAAATGCTAACAAGTTCTATGCCACGTTATTGTCAACTGTCGCGCTCATCTCCAAGTTTGTAACAGTGATGTTGCGAAGGGTACATTTAAGTTCCTGTGACACACACGTGTTTACACACCCCAAACAATTCCTTCTAGTGACGTCACTGGTCTATGGGAGCACAGTAGTTATAATATGCAAGGATAAAATACTGTTTGTCGTCCTTGATAATACGCATTTGATTTTTTGCAAATATAATGAACCTGTTTTAGCTTGTGGGGTTCAGGTGGTTTGGTTCTCACTCAGGATGGGATGGAGAAAGGAAACTCAGAATGTGCTCTCTATATACATGTTGTATTGGATGTACAATGCAGCTTGGTGCTGGAAAGGCAGCATGGTTACAAGCCTGATGTAGAGAGAGCTGGTTGGTGAGGGTGCTCAGAGGAGGACCAGCTTGTGGGTCGCCATGCTCGCCGGCGGGAGCGAGGACCGCCAGGCAGCGGCGAAGGAGGAGGTGTTGCTGGTTGGTTGGTGTAGGTAGAAAGAGACAGGTCACCACGAGGTCAGGTCTTAAATAGCGGGGGGTAGGCGTGGCTTAGTAGTTGACCCCCGCTCCGTGATGTATGGCGGCGCTGGTTGACCTAGACCACGAGGCACACACTGTGGAATTCGTGGGGTCGGCTACGCAGCGACAAACAGCGTTTGTAGGGGAGAAATCCACTACAAGCTCCTTGCTTTCTAAACCATAAAAGTGACGCTCATGCGGTTTTACCCTCAATTTATTTAAGATCCATCTTGGGACTAATGTTTAATAGTGAGTGTTTTGTGTCACACCCTCGGCTACACTAACCTTTGCTATCTCTAATTCCTTTCAGTTTTTCACTTTGATTTATTGTAACTACAATTTTTATCGGAAGGAGTTATTTTTATCATCGTTCCACTTATCTGCCCCTCACCAGTTCCTTTAAATTTCAACTGAGGGATGACAATTCCCTTCCAATATCTTCATTAGGAACCTTGAGTATAGAGACAGGTTAAAGCATCTTAATTTGCACTCCCTTGAGAGACGTAGAGTGAGGGGCGACCTGATAGAGGTGTATAAGTGGAAGGCAGGGCTAAACAAAGGGGACATTACAAAGGTACTCAAATTATCCAACCAGGAGCGAACTCGTAACAATGGTTTTAAATTAGACAAATTTAGATTTAGGCGTGAAATAGGTAAACACTGGTTTGGAAACAGAGTAGTGGATGAATGGAACAAGTTACCAAATATCATCATTAACTCGAATACGCTGAATTGCTTCAAACATAGGTTGGATGCTCATATGAGCAATAGGGGTTGGGTGTAAACGGGACTGCCCAGTATGGGCCAATAGGCCCGCTGCAGTTTCCTCCATTCTTATGTTCTTATTACAGTACAAGCGGGCTTCGACAGCGCTCTCCTTAGGTAACATCCGTCAGCAGTTCAGTGTCCCGGAGAACGTGCATCTGTCCATGTACAGCGTGAGGTTTCTGCAGCGAGCAGCCGAATTGTTGGCTGTTGAGGGTTATGACCCCCCCGACCTTCAGTTTACCCCCAGAGGTTACCTCTTCCTCGCCCTCCAGGCCGGGGTAGACCAGATGATGGAGAACTACAAAATGCAGACGTAAATCTTACCCCAACCATCTTTTAATGTTTGGCAGTCTTTAGATAAATTAGACCGGTGAAAGAATATTAGAAGCTTCTGTTTGATTTTGCACTTCATCAGTTATAGTGATTTAATGTGTTGTCAACCTCATCTTACCCAAATGCTCCATTCAGTGATTCCACAATAATACGTTACAGGGAGCTGGGCGCCGACGTGCAGTGTCTGTGGCCTAAGCAACTACAGAAGAAGTTTCCCTGGATGCGGGTAGGCGATGTGGCCGCCGCTGTACTAGGCGTCAACAATGAAGGATGGTTTGTAGAGTTTGATATTACAATGACTCTTTTCGGAAAGAAATAACCGGTTAGTTATTTAATGCTAGTAGTATTGCACAATGCTGCATTAATGTAAATATATTTAAAAAAAATACTTTTACTTTTATGCTCTTCACCACTTGGGTGATCGGTCACGTCTCTGTTACACACTGTTGGCAAGTACTGGGCATGCACCGGCTCCTGAATGTGCCTGAACCTGCTCCAGTGTTGGTCAAGTCTTGTCTTGAAAGAGCTCACACTCGGTGCCGTTGTGGGGTATGGGATGTTTGGTTCACACTCAGGATGGGATGGAGAAAGGAAACTCACAATGTGCTCTCTGTATACATATTGTATTGGATGTACAATGCAGCTTGGTGCTGGGAAGGCAGCATGGTACAAGCCTGATGTAGAGAGAGCTGGTTGGTGAGGGTGCTCAGAGGACAGCTTGTGGGTCGCCATGCTCGCCGGCGGGAGAGAGGACCGCCAGGCAGGCGGAGGAGGAGGAGGTGTTGCTGGCTGGTTGGTGTAGGTAGAAAGAGAGAGATCACCACGAGGTCAGGTCTTAAATAGCGGGGGTAGGCGTGGCTTAGTAGTTGACCTCCGTGATGTATGGCGGCGCTGGTTGACCCAGACCACGAGGCATACACTGTGGAATTCGCGGGGTCAGCTACTCAGCGACAAACAGCGTTTGTAGGGGAGAAATCCACTACACCGTCACAACACTTTCTGGTAGATTGTTTCCAAGAGTTCACAACCTTACCAAACATCACAGAAACTCGGGTTTCCTCCTGTATTAACTCTGGGCAAAAGAGTTCACAACAAAGAACAGACCAAATGGTCGAATAAATAGTAGCGGATAAGTAGGCAAACAAGGAATTAATAGTATGTGCGGGTGAATTTTGTTACTAATTCTTGACAAAGGCTGCAGGGCGGTGTATCCTAGGTCTTCATTTTCATGTTTATATACTGTACAGTATATATATATATATATATATATATATATATATATATATATATATATATATATATATATATATATATATATATATATATATATATATATATATATATATATATATATATATATATATATATATATATATATATATATATATATATATATATATATATATATATATATATATATATATATATATATATATATATATATACTGTACAATATATGGCAGGGATCCATTTCTTTATCTTTCAATTTTGAATGTAATACAGTACTTGGGACAAGATCATTAAGCTTGTCTAAAAATTCCAGTGGGTCACTGTTTCTAGGCCAAAGACAAAGAACACAGGTCACCCTGTGTACTTAAGCCTCTCTCGGTCCTTGTAATTCAGTTGCCTTTTCCTTTGTGATTTTATCAAGATTTATTTTATCCACGTTTTCAATGTGTATGTAAGTTTCACCATGTTTTTCACTACAACGGTACAGCAAAGTATATTTTTTAGCATTAAACTGTTATTATTTTATTGTCTAATCATCACTATATATAACACCACCCATCATCACTACATATAACATCATCCATCATCACTACATATAACACCATCCATCATCACTACATATAACATCACTACATATAACAACATCCATCATCACTACATATAACACCACCCATCATCACTACATATAACACCACCCATCATCACTACATATAACACCACCCATCATCACTACATATAACACCACCCATCATCACTACACAAGTACATATAACACCACCCATCATCACTACAGATCGGTAAAGTAGTTTCCGAGATTCTCGTGCAGACACACACACAAACAGACATACTTCTTTGTATATATATATATATATATATATATATATATATATATATATGTGATGTGATTAGGTTTGATCCTTGGAGTCTTTTAACGGCGCTGAGGCGAAAAGCTTTGTCCCTGGGAGCCACTTATGTGTCTGGCACAGTGACAGGTCTACACAACTACGAGCAACCTACTACTGACAACCTCCATCACCCACCTGCCAGCACACTCACCACTGCCACGGTAACTGATAAATTGTAGTTATTTCACTCCTTCATGATGAGTTGTGCAGTCAGTAATTTTATATTATACTGACTCATAGCTATATAGTTTGTTGTGCCTTCACTGAGGTGACACACATACACTAATTGTTTAATGGTGAGCAGGTGAGGCTGGAAAGCGGGGAGACCCGAGAGATGAGGTTTTCCTCTTTGGTGGTGGCAGCAGGAGCGTGGTCAGGTGCCCTGGGGAATCTGGCAGGTTTGGGTGGTGGGCCGGGTGCTCTGGCCACAGCCATACCTGTAGAGCCGAGGTAAGTGGCTTAACAGCCTCTACATCACTTGCTGGTTTACACACCCAATCTTCCCTTTTTCTATACTGTGACCACCTCCTACACATGCAGTCTTAATTATTTTTTTAATTACAATTATTGTCAGGTGTATATTTTTGTCTTCTAGTAAATCTTTTCCTGTCAGTTATTATGTCTGGATGCACGGTACTGTATTCCTATTGAGTTATTTCACCCAGTTTTGTTTAAAAAAAAATATGAACTAATCTCTACTTTACGTGTATGGGTATACAATGCAATTTAAAGTTTCACAATGTAGCACACCATGTACAGTACAATTACTGAATGAACTTACATTAAAATCTGGAATTTTGGCTAATGAAACTTTATTAATTAATTTATCATGAATCATACAATCAAGTGTATCAACCCACTATCTTGATTCAGAAAACGGTATGTATACTGTGTGCATGTTCCGGATGGCCCCTGGCATGACTGCCCCATATTCAACGACTACACTGGGGTGTATTTCCGGCCTGAATTTAATAGCAACCAACTCTACATGTGTGGCATGTCCCCTGCTGAGGAGGATGAGCCACCTACAGAGGATCTGGAAGTTGACCACCAGTTCTTTGAGACACATATTTGGCCTGTACTGGCTCAGAGGGTTCCTGCCTTTGAAAATTTAAAGGTACAGTACAGCTTTGTGTATAAAGTACAGTAGACCCTTGCCATTCGTGAGATTGCAATTCGCAATTTCGACGATTCCGGTAAGCAGATGGTGGCTATGGCGGCTAGCTTGCAAGCCTTTTCCAGCAGCACAACGAGTAACTCCATGCAGCATCTTGTGTTGTACTCTAAAAACTTTTAATGTTTGTGTGAAATGACCCCTAAAAGACTGCCTAGTGTCAGTGCTAATCCTGACAAAGTAAGTTTTATTATTAGATAAGTTAAAAGAGAGGATGAGTGCTGCTGCTGCGGCTGGTCAGTTGTTTGGTATAGGTATACAGTAGAGCACTAAGGTAGTATAAGTCTCTATTCACGGTTTTGCCAATTCGCGCCATTTCTTGGAACCTATCCTTCACAAATGGCAAGGGTCTACTGTATAGACAGCCAGATATGAATTATACAGTACTGTATAAGAAATGTAATGATTTACAAAGTTATAAAAATTCTTATGTACAGTACCTATTATTGAAACAAATTATAGTAATACCCCTGTAATAATATTAAAGTTATGGATCTCATGAAGATTAGGAACCCCTGCTTATTTAACTTGATGATTAAACACCTTATTGCTAACCTAATCCCCATTTATCTAAGTGTTTAATTAAGGGAAATAAGTGAGGGTTTCCAATCATACGATAAAATTCTTTTAATTTTAAATCCTACCACCTAAAAACATTAATCATCAGTCAGTGCTTGTATCGTTCATGGCTGGTTACATCACTCATTGTAAAACATAATGCTATGCTGTGTAATCTTATGATTGTTTCATGGTTTCCCTGCAGGTATGCAGTGCCTATGCTGGTTATTATGATTACAACACATTCGACCAGAACCTAATTATTGGCTTCCACCCAGTGTACAAGAACATGTGCCTTGCTACTGGCCTCAGTGGCCATGGTGAGTGTCATTTCAGTGACGGCAGCAGCTTGAATTATAAAGTAACCTTTCTTGTAAAGACCAGAAGTGAAGAATAAGTGTCACATCAGAGTATAGGTTATGTTTACTCAATATCATCACAGGATCTGTAATGCTGTATTGAATTAAATCCCAGGATAGGTAATATTTACGAAATATGATCACAGCACAAGTAATACAGTACTGAACTTTATCATAAAGGCATTAAGGAAATATTTGTAGAAATTCAGCTTACAGTACAAGTATATAGCATACTATAAAGTCACAAATGATACTTCAAGTTACTGAGTAGGCTGGAAGAAGGCATCAAGAAATGAAACTTTTTAGATTGGAAGAGACAGAGGGCTTGTTCTTTCAGTTTATCAGATACTGTATGAACTTTTATAATACCCCCTCAAACTGCTTAATTCTGTCATTATTCAACCATTTTCCCTCAGGTATCCAGCAATCTGTGGCAGTAGGTCGGGCTGTGACTGAGTGTATTCTGGATGGCAAGTGTCACTTCATTAACTTGGAAAGGTTTGGCTTTCAAAGGATTCTCACCAACCAACCTCTCAAGGAGAAGATGGTTATGTAGTGCTCCACACAAGAGTTTCTTGTGTGGAGCCCCTTTCAACTTGAACTATTGTTACAGTTATGACATGACTTTTTGTAGTGAATTTCCTGTACAATCTTTTTTTTTCTGATTGAATGATTATATTGGAGAAATGTATCAGTTAAGACAATTGGTCTCACTAAGGCCTAATGATGGTCATCCTCTGTGGGTCCAATGTTAGTACAGGAGGAAATTTTTGTACCTGGAAAAAACCTAACACATTCAGAATACTGAACAACACTTTCCTCATATCCAGCCAAAGTCAGTGGTGAAAGGCAAGTGCAATACCTTCCCAAGACCTCATTTGACTTTTGGAGTTGGGGCATGAAGTAATTAATCATGAATCAGCACACTCCAGAAAGTTCCAATGAATCTGGTGCTTCTATTGTTAACTAACTCATCTCTTGTTTGCATGGCAGGTCTATAACCCTATAATAGTTTAGTACATTATTGTCATTTAATGTAACGATACATGTGATTAAGCAGCTGTGCATTTCATACTGATGTCAGTACTTATAGGCAGGGTATAAGAGAGCACGTTATGCTGTCCAACATTTGCCAGCTTTTAGATATAGTTCATTACTTCTCATTGTTAAGTGAATGCCATAATATAACCCACATTTTTGTATTGTAGCATGTGCTATACTGTGTGACCCACTTCTGGTTGGTCATATAAAGAATTATAATAAACTAGATTTAAATTTTTCTATACTGTACCTTTGAAACAAGCAGTGAAAAGGTGGCTTTCTTTCAAAAACAAAGAGCAGAGGGTTTCAAGCAGGAGTTCAGGTTAATAGTAGTGTACTGTACTGTATTTTGGTCAATGTTAGCTAAACTTGTCAGGAATCCCATCTCAACCAAAGAGTACAGTATAGTTACTCTAATGTGTATCTGGGTGGGACAAGTTTTTAATGACATTTAAAATTCAAAACTTGACATAACTTAACAAATAATGGGCAAGTATTACCAACAAAATAATTCGGTGAAAAAAACTTGTGAAATAAATTTCAGTAATTAATGTGGAGATACAGTGAACAGAAGAATAAGCAAAGGACACTTTCATACTTTATGCTGCCTCCAAAGACAGAACAAACACCTCATTGACTGATAAAATCATTTGATATTTAAAATAGAAATTCTCAATCTAGTTTGAAAAATCTTCTTACAATTCAGCAGTTAACAATATTCCATATATTATGTAATGCTTTGCATGTCAGTTATATAATGTTGAGCATAAAGATCATAAGACATTGCTTTTTCTTCTATTCACACTTTAAATTAAATAGTAAAAATACCAGTTAATACTTGTCAGTTGCTAACTCCTGTACTGTGGCCTCAACTAAGTCAGTGTGATAAATATGTTAAGTCATTGGTGGCTGTCATAATACCTACTCTCTAATCTCCAGTTAATGAAATACTTTAGTAGAAATCTACATTTCTGTAACCATCTTTTCCCATATATAGATTTGTCAAAATTTTGAACAGCTCGCCAAAATATGCAACTCTTCACATAAGCTGTCAATGTCAAAATACAGTATAAGGTTTCTCTGCTTTAAATAATTTACCATATTCATCAGTACTTCAAAAACTTTATTTTCATTTGTAACAAATGAAGATGGTGTCCTGGTGTATTTTTCGTGCCGTGCAAGACATCTTCAGCGTGTAACAGATGACATATGCACTTAGCAGCTATGATGGTTATTCCCTGGAAAAAGAAAAGAAAAATATGCTTATCATACCACAACTGTATCTACTATGGATTTTACTCTAATTTATTAAGGTTCAGATTACTTCAATGTAAATCAACCTGGCCTTAGCATATGTTTGCAATCAAAGCATTTTAAGATTTCTGTATTTCTATTACCCAACGCATCAACAACTAATATTTACTCTGTTGAAACAGGTGCTGGTGCAGGGGCAGCAACAGCAGCAGCTGCAGGCTTCTCCATCTTATTTTCAGAGTGGGGTTCGGCAGGCATTACTTCATCCTTTGGCTCCACAATGTTGATGTGATCAGGAAGTGGAGTGCGTGGGCCGTTCTTCCCAGTAGGATCCCACGGCAACATAATCTTCACCTTGATACCCAACACACCTGAAAAGTTGAAAATTACCTTAACCTCTGACAAATCTATGAGCCAATTGAATCGTACAATGGAATATGAGGAAGCCATGCAAACTCATTCCTTCTATGGCATGAAACCATGAAACAGGAGAAATACCCAAAATACTCTACCCACAAACATGTAGATATAAGTGAGTTAAGCATAATGTGATACACATCTCCGAGTTATACATGATGTAACCTAAAACACAAAAAAGTAAACACATGCAAAAGCCCAACACACACACTAATGTTGATATGAATACATAATGTAATAAATCTTTGTGACACTTCTGAAGTATTCACCAAAAATTTTTAATTTATGGAGGAGACAGAATAACGGTAACCCAGATTTTACCAGTCAATTCATTTGCAATTTGACACAATCAATGGGGTTAGATCACATGCGCAGTTTAGGCAGGATCTAAACATGATTAGACTTGTAGTGCTGAAAAGTAGGACAGTATGGCATCTAGTACAAAGGCATACTCCCACTTCCCAAATTTTTACTACAGGTACAGTAGCTAAAAAAAAGTATCTGTGCATACTTTGTGTGAAACAATACGAGACCATGGATGATAGGTATTTGGATATGCGTGTTGTCTCCTTATACTATGTGACAGTAATCACTTAACTGTTTATTTTATTCCAATATGTCAAGTCACCCCGTGTTGGATACCGAGTGGCGGTGCGTGAAGACATGCATACCAACCTTCCCGAGACACCACGAGTTGGTATGTATAATTTCTGATGTCATCGGACCCACCCTGTCAGATAATTTTTTTTGCTACTGTACCTGTATACTCCTAAACATGCATTTTTTTAAATGAGTTCTCTATCATCAGCATCCATACAGTCTATCATACCAGACCACTATTGTAACGGTGTCAGGTCTAGATGACAGAAAAAACATTCTGAGCAGCCTACAATGACAACTGGTTATGACCAATAGCTGGATCTCATCAATAATACTGTATACTGTACCAATAACTTACTCCAGACCAAAATTTTTTATCATTACTGGTAAATCTCTCCATAAAAGGATGTCCACATGCGTTTCTTTAGTGAATATACAACACTAACCTTGACGTAAGTGTACGTGACGAACTGCAGTGTCAACGTAGTGTCGTCTGGGTTCACCAGAATGGATCATAAGACCATCTGTGAATTTCATGCTCTTGGCTCGCTGTCCTCTCAGCTTACCAGACACCACAACTTCACAACCCTTTGCACCAGACTCCATGATGAAGCGCAGTACACCATAACAGGCTCTGAAATTTATTAATAATTCTCATGTACAACATGTCAGTTATGTCTTAAGAAGAACTATACAATATGCCTCAATACCTGTACCAGCTTCCTTCTTAGGGAGAGGAAGGCTCCCCTGCACCCCATAAGGACATTGCACCACCGTAAATTCAGAAAAGTCAAAATGTGTCCACCTTAATATGCTACTGGGTACATCAATGAAAACTTAACGTAGACACAATATTTAAATAACATTCTTCACGGTACAGTACATATACATATAAAATTGCAGTAAGTCCTCGCTTAACGTCGCCCCCCGACAATGTTGCTTCACTATAAAATCGCTACTATTTAGATACCCATGATTGAGACAACGTTGTTTTACGACCCGACCGATTCGTTATAACACTGTCACCCAACACGGACTACTTTGTGTACGTGCCACCCTCTCTCATCTTGGCGCTCTACTCTCTCCCGCGGAGCATCACAGCGTTGTCTCCCCAGTCTTTGTTAAGCTTCCACAGCGTACGTGAGTGCTTAAGTGTTCTTGCAATAAATACTGTACTGTAACCATTCAAAATGGTTACCAAATGCCAATCAAGTGTTAGTGATGCTAGTGTTGTGAAGAAGCAATACAAGACCATTCGCCTTGCTCCGAGATGTAGATCTTAACCGGTTTGAGAAAGGTGAACGTGCTGTGGACATTGGTATAGCGTTAGGCCTAACCCCCACAACAGTGCGTACTATCCGGACCAGTAACTCGCCACCCTCCTCCTCTCCACCTCCGCCCATCAGCGAGTACAATACAAAATGATTGTTAATTAAACATTAATTTAGTTAATATATCTTTATGGATGTATAATAGTATATATTTTCTCTAAAAATTCCATTGAATTTATGTGTATGTAATGTATTTTATGGGGCAAAGAGAGGCTGCGGGATATAACTAGCGTATTTTACCTATTTCTTTCGGGGAAAATTTATTCTGTTAATGTTATGGTTTACAGGAACATAACCACGACGTTAAGCAAGGACTTCCTGTAATACCAGAGGAGGGAAAAAGATGGGCGAGCCATAGGTTTTGTGTCTGTCCAATGAACACACTTTGCACCTAACCTATACTTCTCCCATCTTTGATCCAGGTCAACTTCCCACTGGTTAAACCACAAACCCAAAGAATGAGAAAGCATAACATAACTGGTTTTAAGGAATCTACCACAAAATACATACCTCCTGACAGCTAGACCTCCTACAAGCTTGTATCGGAGGGACTCGGCTTGGGCAATAGCACACAGACCACGCTGCGCCACCTTCTCAGCATAGAGCTCAACAGAACCCTCAGCAAACCCAAATCGTTTCTGTACAAGTGACGTCAACTCCCTGATACGACGCCCTTTCTCACCTGGGATAAAAGTCACAAGTTCACATTATTATTATGTCTTCTTGAAACTATGTATATTCAGTTTTTCCTACACTGGACTTAAGAGATTTTATTTTTTATTTGTATTTTTTTATTTATTTTTTATATAGGACTCATTTTTTTCTACATCTATAAAGGGCAGAAGAAAAAAGTATGAATGACTTAAAAAAAGACTGGGAATTATCTTACCCAGGACATTCTGTGTACGGGTAGCAAGGATGATGATCTCCGTCCTCGCTGGAGTGTGGCGAACCTGCACCCCAGAGTAACCATCCTCTGCTAGTTCATTGGTGAGGAACCGATTAAGTTCAGCCTTGAACACACCATCCTTGACGAACTGTAAACAAAATATATACAATATAAGCATTCACGCACATAATTCATAGGTGTTTTTAGCGAACCTATCAAAGAAGCAGAATCCAAGGCCCATTTACCGTTTGAAAGTACGCTACCACATGGCACTGTGTTTCACTGTTTTTGGCCCAAACACATCCAGTATGTAAGAAATATTCTACCATACAATTTCAAAGGGGAAAGCAGATTTTAGCAAGTCATCTCAGATATGAATGCAGAGTGGTTTGTTCCTATATACTGTTACTAGATATCAATGAAACCAATGAGATGAAGGACACTTGGTGGTGACATGGAGAAAGACAGTTCTTTGACCTTTTCATTTACTGAAACCAAATGTCTACAGTGAATAACAAATCAGGTGCTCAAAGCTTTTGTTCACGGGAACTCTTTTAAGGTCGAGACAACTACTGATATGGATCAAATCAGTCCTCTTTTGATATATGAAAGTGGAAATTACAGCCAAACTTGAGAATGTATCAAACAGTGGTGCATTCCTGCTGAAATCAGAGTTCAGTCATGGAATGTGACAATTTGGTGCAGCAGCCAAGGTCAAAACCTACCTACCATTTTCCTAACCAAACTCAAAGTCACTGTTTCTTTGTTCCCCTGCTAAGTTTGGATCCATTGCATGAAAATGACAATTTTTTTTAAATCCCAAAGAAGTTGACCATTATCACATCTACAATCACTGAAAATACTTGGTCATTCTCTCAGCAATAAACTTGTACACCAAGTAATAATTGCTTGAGAATTGTTTATCATCCATGCCCACCTACCCCAGTCATCTTAGGTCTAGAAACTGAATAAAAAAACAAGTTAAATTCCTTATGGACTGGATTATGGGAGGTTCATCCATGCTGAAGTTCCTGCAAAAATTTTCTGTATGTGGCACACTCTTCAACATAAAACAGAAGGAACAAAAGCATTACAGTATTTGAATAACCTCACAACAAGTTTTTAAAGTAAAGCAGTTATGGTAAGCATGTACTGTATATACAGTATCTATTTATAAAAAGCCTACTGAGCAATTGTGGTCTGCTCCTTGTAAAATATGACACAAAGTTGTCTCTTTCCTAACTCATTAATCTCTCGTGTCTGGGGTCACCTCTGAGTTGAATAAAATTGTCTGGTGAATGTGGCACATAACCTACTTGCTGTTTTTTAAAGTAAATTATGAGAACTGCACAATTAAATTATAATACTGTATACAGAAAAAAAAGAGTAAAATGGCTGGCAACCCATCAAAGATCTGTATTCAGTAAAATCATTATAGCTCACACTTGTTCAGCATGACTACAGAATACAGTGCTGATATACTTGGCTGCCTCACATAACTGTATCGCAAGTTTTTTCTCTGGATTTGAGAAGGTTGTTACTCAGTCCAATGTGATACTATCAAACATCTCTAGTTTCCTCTGGGTGTTCCAGCTAAATGTACCAACACAGGACACATGAAAGAGAAACAAAAATACAGTACTTGGGAGCAGCATCACAGGTTAACCATAAACATTTGATATTTTTTCTATAAAATGCAAAATCTTTCTTACCTCAGGAATATATCATATTATGAGGATATGAAACTTTCAAAATACTGTACTGTAATATATTTTGTCCTGAACACTAATCTATATCCATCTCTTCAGTTTAGACAAAACCATTTTCACTGTTTACATGATACACAGGAAAGTTTCTCAGCCACCATTCCATACAAAGATACAACCAATAATGTTTGTATGTACTTGAACAATTATTATTTATTATATACATAAACGACATAGATATCGGCATAGACATCAACACAAGTAAATTTGCTGATGACACTAAAATAGGACGTGTAATTAAATCTGACAAGAACATAAGAACATAAGAATGGAGGAATCTGCAGCGGGCCTATTGGCCCATACTGGGCAGTCCCGTTTACACCCAACCCCTATTGCTCATATAAGCATCCAACCTAAGTTTGAAGCTATTCAGCGTATTCGAGTTAATGATATTTGGTAACTTGTTCCATTCATCGACTACTCTGTTTCCAAACCAGTGTTTACCTATTTCCCGCCTAAATCTAAATTTGTCTAATTTAAAACCATTGTTACGAGTTCGCTCCTGGTTGGATACTTTGAGTACCTTTGTAATGTCCCCTTTGTTTAGCCCTGCCTTCCACTTATACACCTCTATCAGGTCGCCCCTCGCTCTACGTCTCTCGAGGGAGTGCAAATTAAGATGCTTTAACCTGTCTCTATACTCAAGGTTCCTAATGCCTGGGATTAGTCTTGTCATTCTCCTCTGAATTCTTTCCAAGGATTCTATATCCATTCTGTAATACGGTGACCAGAACTGAACTGCGTAATCCAGGTGTGGTCTCACAAGAGCAAGATACAGTTTTAGGATGACCTCGCTAGTCTTGTAACTAACACTCCTTTGTATGAACCCAAGTACTTTATTAGCCTTGTTACGAGCAAAAACACATTGTTTACTTGGCTTAAGGTTCCTACTTATCATTACTCCTAAATCTCTCTCGCAGTCGGATTTCTCTATGGCATCGTTGTTCATCTGGTATCTGGTTTCCCTGTTTACATCTCCTATACTGAGTACTTTACATTTGTCCACGTTGAATTTCATCTGCCATTTTTCAGACCATTCGAAAAATTTGTTTAGATCTTCCTGTAGTTTTGCTGAGTCCTCGTCAGATTTAATAACACGTCCTATTTTAGTGTCATCAGCAAATTTACTTATGTTGCTGTCTATGCCGATATCTATGTCGTTTATGTATATAATAAATAATAATGGTCCAAGTACTGAGCCTTGGGGAACTCCACTTGTGACGTTGCTCCAATGGGACTTAGTGCCATTAATGCTCACTCGCTGTTTCCTGTCCTGTAACCAAGCCCTAATCCATTTAAGGATGTTACCTTTGATGCCATGAGCTTCTACCTTTCTAATTAGTCTTTCGTGGGGGACTCTGTCGAAGGCTTTGCTAAAGTCGAGATATACCACATCATAATTGTGCCCCTCGTCCACCGATTCGAAAACTGATGAAAAGAATGTTAATAGATTAGTTAGACAAGAACGTCCGCTTGTGAAGCCATGCTGGGAATCATTGATCAATCGGTGCTTCTCCAAGTGATTTCGAATAGAGTTTGAAATGATTGCTTCCAGTAATTTGCCTACTATTGATGTTAGACTGATTGGGCGGTAGTTAGAGGATAGTGATCTATCCACCTTCTTGAAAATCGGTATTACATTCGCTATCCTCCAGGATTCCGCAAAACTACAGGAAGATCTAAAAAATTTTTTGGGATGGTCTGAAAAATGGCGGATGAAATTCAATGTGGGCAAATGTTAAGTACTCAGTAAAGGAGATGTAAACAGGGAAACCAGTTACCAGATGAACAACGATGCCATTGAGAAATCCGACTGCAAGAGAGATTTAGGAGTAATGATAAGTAAGAATCTTAAGCCAAGTAAACAATGTGTTTTTGCTCATAACAAGGCTAATAAAGTACTTGGGTTCATGCAAAGGAGTGTTAGTTACAAGACTAGCGAGGTCATCTTAAAATTATATCTTGCGCTTGTGAGACCTCACCTGGATTACGCAGTTCAGTTCTGGTCACCGTATTACAGAATGGATATAGAATCCATGGAAAGAATCCAGAGGAGAATGAAAAGACTAATCCCGGGCATTAGGAACCTCGAGTACAGAGACAGGTTAAAGCATCTTAATTTGCACTCCCTCGAGAGACGTAGAGCGAGGGGCGACATGATGGAGATGTATAAATGGAAGTCAGGGCTAAACAATGGGGACATTACAAAGGTACTCAAACTGTCCAACCAGGAGCGAACTCGTAACAATGGTTTTAAATTAGACAAATTTAGATTTAGGCCCGAAATAGATAAACACTGGTTTGGAAACAGAGTAGTGGATGAATGGAAAAAGTTACCAAACACCAACATTAACTCGAATATGCTGGATAGCTTCAAACAGAGGTTGGATGCTTATATGAGCAATAGGGGTTGGGTGTAAATGGGACTGCCCAGTATGGGCCAATAGGCCCACTGCAGTTTCCTCCATTCTTATGTTAACTCTTCCCCCCCACCCCCCAAATGACAAAATTTACAATGCTAGCAATATTAGACAATGGTAGATAAATAAGTTTCATGTGTACACAGACTAATCAATAAATGTTATTTTGGAGATTTTTTCCAGAAGTGTTTCATGTGCATTTACTAATTCCTATTACACCGTAAAGCACAGTACAGGTATATGATTTACTGGAGACATGATGAACCAACTAATCCTTGGTAGGTTTGTTTGGTTCACCTTAGCTTCGACAAATCATATAATACTGTAGAAGCTGTTATGTTCCTCCTCTATGGAACAGCTGCTGGGAAGTGTTCCTATGTATAAAAGTCATGTCAACACTGAAAATCATGTAACCAGATGTATGTAGATAAGTTCAGGAAAGATAAAATGTAATGAAAAAAAATTCGAACCATCATCATTCTGTGACTTATATGAAGTAGAAACTAATTCATCTTTCATAGGAAACCTTTCTGAAGTTCCTGGCTAACCTCTGACACTGACCCAGAATATTACAGTACCAGACATATTCATATAAAAGTGAGACAATAAACAAGGCACATCTTTATACTTACTGCAAACATTAACCATAAATTTATTAAAACGTTTAGTATAATGTTGAAGTTATAGATGATTCTACCATTTTCAGAATAATACTCTACACCACCAACTTTATCTATGACTAGAATCTTGCCCACTGTAATGCGAGGCCTCATCTGACATCTCTACTGTACTTTATTAAATCAATTGTAATACTTTATGGTTTAGGGAATACGTAATGTGCTGAAGTCAGATACATGAGTGTGGCACCCCTGGTCTATGTCAACTTCTATAACAATTAAACTTTAATAAATCTATCTGTTGCTGTCTATGTAAATATTGAAACAACAAATACTGGTATATATCACTAATGAAACGTACAAGAAACATATTCATCTATCAGTCTATGTACACATGAAACATTTATGGATTAGTATATGTACACATGAAACATTTATGGATTAGTCTATGTACACATGAAACATAGTTATCTACCATTGTCTAAGTACACGATGAAAAAATATGAATTTTAAACACGTATGACATCTTACAGAACACCCTCCTCTCTCTGGGGTTGTTGAGACTCCACTTTCACCTAATTCACAATACTTAAAAAATAAAAAATCTTACATATCACACAACACAAGCTTATAGAATTTCTCACCACTGAATCTTCCGGTGATTTACTAAGGAATAGGTAGAGTAATTCCAAAATAAGTGCCGCAACATGTCTTAAACACGCGGGCCATCACAACATGCTGAACGCGTGCGGTAAACCATCACTAACTTCATTACATCATTACCACTTAATTAATACTTCCAAAACACTCAAAGTCAGTACAGTGAAGCTCGAATGCCTCATTGATATATAAAACTAAGATATAGGGCTAAAAGTTAGATGAAGAGATAGAAATAAGATATTTAACACCACCTTTTTCTTCTTGCTGATCGGGGCAGCCATCTTGACGGAAAGACCAAACACTTGTAACTGGACACATAAACTGAGGCTGGTAAATATATCACCACTCACTCTAATGGTCACTAACGCTACTTAGACAAAAATTAATACTACAATTATTATTATATAGCTTTTTGCTTTTGATTTAATATATTGTTGACATTGATATACAGTATGTAGGCCCCCAAGGTCTATGCATAGATAATACCTATATTATTTATTATATTGCTAAACTGTCTACCTATATAATCTATACATATATTTCTATCCAACTGAAGACCTGCATGATAAATTCAGTGAATGAATATTATTATTAATATTATTACAATACGCCAGGCGACCGTCACCTGCTAACACTGGTTGGTGAGGTAAACTTGTATTTACCTCAACAATTGTGAGTTATGGATTCTCTTAACACTGAGAGGATGTCGTCATCACAGCGAGAAGTGCTCATGGACCAAGTTAAACAACAGATTGTTATTGCCAACACACAAGAACTGCTGACGGTGAGCAGAGTTGTGGCCAGATGACCCCGGCCCTGGTGCAGACGAAACACTTGTTCTACACATTTACAGGGATATTTATGACCTTAGATTGTCTTACAGCTCACATTGATTCACCATATAGATGGACAGTCACAGATAAGTAGTTGATTATAGTAATGTATATACCGGATAGCTCGAGATCAGTTACATCATTAATTTCCCAGAGGTCCAGTGAGGGCCACCCTTCTTGGGTCCAGTGAGGGCCATCCTTCTTGGGTCCAGTGAGGGCCACCCTTCTTGGGTCCAGTGAGGGCCATGCCTAATGGATCCAGTGAGGGCCACCCTTCTTGGGTCCAGTGAGGGCCATCCTTCTTGGGTCCAGTGAGGGCCACCCTTCTTGGGTCCAGAGGGCCCCCTTCCAGTTGGGTCCAGTGGGTCCATTGAGGCCAAGTGAGGGCCACCCTTCTTGGGTCCAGTGAGGGCCAACCCTCTCATTTTCTTGTCATTTGAAGATGTGTAAAGGTATCATCCAATGGGTGACTTACGATTTATCTTTAATTGTTAATGAAAGGCATAACTACAGTTCTGTAATTTTATTTATATTTTTTACAGAAAATGGGTGAAAAATGCTTTTCAAAGTGTATCTCAAAGCCGGGATCATCGTTAGATAGTTCTGAACAGGTAAATATGTTGGGGTAAAACTGCAGTTTTGGACAATATGCCCGAGTAGTTGACTGAATTACTCATAATAGGCAAACTGTACTACAAGCTTTGCCAATAAATTTGTTAAACTTAAAAAAAAAAGTAGTGAGCAATGTGTTTTTCTGATGTTTGAGACAATTTTAAGACAATTTAATTCTATGGCGTTTCCCTCAAATGACCGAAAATTACCTAACCTAATCTAACTGGGGGTCTGGCCCCCTGGAGCCCCCGGTATAATTAAGTACAGTATTCTGCGAAGGAAATGTCATAGAAGAAAAGTGTCTAAAAGTTATCTAAACCATCGGAAAAACGCATTGCTCAACTACCAAGCCATATTGTCCAAAACTGCAGCTACATCTAAGTTAGTTTTTACTACTTCATTGATTATGTTCTGTAATGTGAAACATAACATAGTACTGTAACTAATTTAAAAATTTTCCTGAAGCTGTTAGTCTTTTCAAGTACAATACATATATTTGGCCTTAACTATTATGTTTGAAGTTTGTTATTGTGAGTTTACAGTTTGTACAGTATTTACTTTGTTACCTTATGTTGTTAATGTTGGTGGGTTTGTGCAAACATTATTCATTTAGACAAAGTAAACAGTGAGTCCTTAGTATATTTTTGAAGATTTTTAGTAGGGTTTACAGAATACTGTATGTTGTTTTGTTTCTTTTTTCAGAAATGTTTGGCAATGTGTATGGACAGATACATGGACTCCTGGAACCTTGTTTCGCGAACATATACGAGTCGTCTCCAACGAGAGAAGAACTTCCAATAGTGACATAATTATTTGATTTTTCATAGTTTATATAGGCGAAAAACTTAAATCAATTAATACTATATTTATGATAATTCATAGTCTGGATGGTTTTCATTTAAAGTAAGAATTTTTACTTCAAAGACTTAAGACATTATTGTTACTCCTGTAGGTCCTTTTGAATTCTTCCATAAGAGCTTCAATTACTGTACTGTTGTGATGGCTTGCCTGCCACAAGGTTTTCATATTGTGGTTCATGGGGACACATTGGTGAATTAAGAAGTGTTCAATTTATTAATTATTTACAGTATTTATGTCCATCTAAGGAAAGTTTTGTATAAGTAACATTGATGTAAATATTCAGTAACTGCTTATGTATATGATATTTTTTATCTTGACTTTTTCCTTTTAAAAATGTTAGGTTAAAGGTATTAAACTGTGGCAGTTATATAAGAGCTCTACCTCCATTGTGTTGGTGACAAATATACTGTAATGCTACTGTATTCAAATAGGGACATTTTGAAGATTATTCATGGCAAATTTACTAGTGTACAGTATATACTGTAATACACAACGTCATGTTTTATATATTTGCCGAGTCTCAGGTTTATTTTGTAAAGCATGTTAGTAGAATTAGTTTGACTTTCAAACAATGACATAACTAGAAATACTGAATTTCTAGGTAAGATTGGAGAGCCAATGTGGCCATACAGAGACTTAAACAACAAAGGTTATACTATACAGTAGTTATCAAGTTTCTTGATGATATTATTGATATAAAGTAACTCAAACATTAATCTAAGCAGGAAGGGTGCCACTAAAAACTATCTGCTGACTTGTTTTTTATAAATAAACACTTAAGGATTATAATTTCACAACTGTGTAGGTTGTTCAGATGATGTAAATAAACTGATGTATTTTGATCCATATCTTATATATTGATCCTCTTTTGTTCTAAACCAGGAGAGAGTCTACCAACCGTCACAAGTGAGAATATCAATATTGAACTGTATCATTTATGTAATAACATGATGTTTTCTAAGAGTATCAAATGAATATTTCCACCAAGCTTTGGAACCTCAGAAATTTGTAGACTAATGGCTTGGGCATCTGCATCCATATCTAGAAGTTGCAGATTTGTAGAACTTGGAATTTTTGTCTTTATATAATATAAATATTGTACTGTATTTATACAATATATATTTTATCACGCACATCAAAGTGACACCTGGAAAACAACACTTGTGGCTCTTAAGGCTACTGGGACCATATTTCAGCATTGATAATCTATGTATGTCTTCCCGTTGTCTATTTGACCTAGTCTTCCACCCTGGTTTCCAACTTTACAATTTTGGGAACCAATTACAGAAAAAATATCAGTAGGCCTACACATTTTTTTTACGGTGATTAGCCCACCCAGGCACAGGTCACTGACCCACATCGAGGCCTAGGGGGTGGAAATGTAATAATAATAATAATAAAAAAGAACCATAAAGAAATACAAAATGAAAAAAAATCAAGTGAGAAACAATACACTACTGTATGTATGTTGTGTTAATATTAAGAGAAACAATTGAGACACGAAGAACATAGACAATAATTAGATACTTGTAGGCCCAAACTTCTTTGTATTGCCTTTTAGTGTAAAGTAGAACTGTAAATGTTAAGGATGATGGAAAATATCATTAGTTACCCAGAGCAATAATCTTCCAATACCTGTAAAGATCCAGTCAGTGGTGGATTAACAAAGGCAAAAGAGATAATTGTCCCAGGGCCCCCAAGATGTGTGTGGAAGGAGGCAGGTGAGTGGGAAAGTGGTTCAATAAATGAAAAGTGTGGGGGATGAAGATGATTGGTAACAAGCTCGACTACAGTATATATGCAATTGAAGAATTATGTTTTGAGTGGAACTGAAAAGAAGGGGGATAATAAATTGATACAATAACCATGGAAATAACATTGAATGTGGTTATCAGTATATATATAATATAGAATAATATTTTAGCTCAAAATCTTCGGTCCTATTCTGAAAGCCCCCCCACTCCGTAAAACTCGTTTATTGGACGGCTGTAAAGGTGTCTTGGGAGGACAGCTGGTAGGTTACTTTTTTCGGAAAAGATTCTGAAGAAATTAAATATAAAGCTAAAGAAAGAGAAGAAGATAAATTATCTTCATAAACAAATTTATCCTTTCATTAATGCTTAACAACAGAGTTATCAACATGAAAAAAAAATGAGTTAAATTAAAATTTTCTATTAAAATTACAAAACAAAAAATAATTATATCAAGTTAACTGACAATATTATTATACTTAAATACAAGTAAATATTTTCCAGGCAGGACATGAAGTAATCCCCAGGAAGGTTAGTCCTCTCACACGCTGAACCTTGTGGTGTAAACATGGACAAGCCAGTCAAACTAGCTCGCGTGAGTGTTTTTACCATTATTATTACCCTTAAAAACCTCAAAAATACCATAATAGTTAGGATTACTGCTAGTGTTTAATATAAAAATTAAATTAATACGATAAATGTGATAATTGTTAAAGTATGGACGGCGTGTCTCGGGTGTAAGCGATGTCCACTTCTAAATATTTCTTAGACCAAGTTCCCATAGTTCAAACCTTAACACACACTGAAAACATACAAATAATGTTAAACAATAGTTCTAATTAATCAGGTATAGCTCAAGGTAATGTTTAAAGGTATTTTACACTGGTAACCACTGACAATATTCTTGAGACGATCTGCTGGTCAAATTTTTACGAGAAAGGATTTTTTTTATATGATGTGGTCAATTTATGGTAAATTTGCAGTGTCACACCGTTCTCTGTTAGGGAAGTACAAAATATATTTTTCTAGTGTATTTGTGTGTTTAGACCGAATATGACCTTCATTTCTGGCGGAAATTAGCCGTTTTTTTTCAAATTTTTTTCGTTGGACGTTTTCCGAAAAAAAAATCACGGCAAAATACACCAAAAAAAAAAACACTAGAAAAACCAAAACCAAACCTAACCTAACCTGACTCTCGCCATATGATGGAATCACCTATTTCTTACCTTATTGGCCTGGTTCTTGTTCGTCGTTGGATTCTGAGATTCTTACACAACGTCACATATGTTGGTCTTCTGCGATATTTACATTCAGTCTTGCTCTTAGTACACTTCACTGAGGTTGGAAGAACACCATGCGATCGAAAATAATGCTACAGTTTCTTCGTCTTTTTCCCCAAAACACGCATCAACTCCATATAATTGAAGTGACTCCAATCACAGACTGCCATGGTCGGAACTGAAGTTACTGAACTTGAAGAATATAGAGAAAATTTTGGATAAGCTGTCTCCGTTATTATACATTTCCCCCGGTAATGTAATAGATGAAAATTATCTTATAATTAGACGTCTTATTCGAACATGACAATAGATTAGTGGTAGGAATGAGCGGTGTGTAAATACAATAATACCCAATTTATAGTTGTGCACCATTCTTTTGGTCTTTTTATGTTAGTGCACCGTTATACCTCGGTGTTAGAAATGTTGGTGAATTTATAGTAATACACCGGTCTTTTTTCTCTTGCTGCTTTTAATATGTATTTCGTAATGTTTGGACAAGTCTAAGACATTTTTCTTCTATGATATTTCCTCCGGGAATTAAAGATAACCGAGATATTAATTTGTCAATATTATTAGATTTGCTCAGTCACGTGTCGCTCCTTACCTTCGTCTTCACTTCTTAAGCGTCTACAGCGCATGTGTTGGGGTGGTGTGGGAGTTTCTTATCGGCTATAGCGAGAGGAGACTTATTATTGGGCAAGTTTTTTATCTTGGCCAATGAACAATGCGTGGGTGCGGAGATTTGAATTTTCAGTACCAGATATGGCTGAACAGGTGGAAGAGCTGTGCCGACATAGTCAAAAAGATTAGTTTACGTCAATTACCGAGTTTCATCAGAAAAATAGCGAGGCAATTTTTTTTTATACAGTAAAAAACACGGTGTATTAGCGAACAACGTTACTTGTCCAAGATGTGGGGGGCATGAACAAAGGGAGGTTTGATTTGGTTAGGTTAGGTTGGTTGTTTGGTATTTTATTATGCAATTTACTCAAAAAAATTCAACTTTTTCTGTAAAGATTGTTGGGGGCGGGGGGTCTAAAAAAATTTATTTCCGGCGGAAATAAATATCAAATTCATTCGAAACTCATCAAATACCATAGGAAAAACATATTTCTAATATCAAAAGAAAGACTGGTGTCAGATGTAAACAAATCATGGCGACACTTGTGACTGAGGAAATCTAATAATATTGACAAATTAATATCTCGGCTATCATTAATTTCCGGCGGAAATTAATGTTCAGGATGAAAAAAATCATAAATATTACCGGTATATTAAAAAACATTTTCCTTGTACCGTACATTAGTCGCCAGAATAATTAGGTTCGAGAGATTTCCGTGTATTGATACAAATTTTTCTGGGTACCGGGGAAAGGTTCCCGAGTCTAAACTACGCATATCGCAGACACAGAGCTGTATTTATTTATTCAAACACAATTGTACATGTACTGCAATATATTGAAAATAAATAAAATATACTACTGTATACTGTACTCATCAGCAGATGCTGACATCATGAGTGTGTGATGCAGGCAGGCAAAATGGTGATATGATGATACAGGATGGCCTGCCTTTGTCCTGTACCATCTCCTGTAGCAGGTGTTACAGGTCACTCTCCTCTCCCTCCTTGAAGGAGGGATTGTACATACACTGTACACACACCCTCTACACACTAGCCTACAGTAGGCATACACTGTCCACTCTGCTAGGTACAGTGCTGTACAGATGGTACTTTTATACTTAATGAATGTACAGTACATGTAACTAATCACTTAACGTCTTAATACTGCTTTAACAGTAATCTTGGCTGATTATATGCGGGTACAGTTCTGCACAACACATCGTATGCAAATTCAGCAATGAGCGAGCAAACAAGCTTGTACAATGGCATTAAACGATGAAATAAATCCACGGCCACATGAACGCTTTTATGAGCAATTTCTGAACTAAATTTGTCATTTTAAATTTTAATACCAATATCAACAACTCATTACAGGTGACGAAGGTGCTGGGTCGCACAGGCTCCCAAGGTCAGTGTACCCAGGTTCGTGTTGAGTTCCTGGATGAATCTCACCGCTCCATCATCCGCAACGTGAAGGGTCCAGTGCGTGAAGGGGATATCCTTACACTGCTGGAATCTGAGCGTGAGGCCAGAAGATTGAGGTGATCATGTCCAAATTATCCTCTTCAACTATCAGGTGAGTTTTAAGTCATACTATACTATAGAACTTAACTTACTTTACTCTGCAGAATTAAGTTTCAAGTTTGACTGGGCATTTTTAATTTAAATTTTCCTCAATTTCCTTAGGCGATATACAGGTATACTGCCACAAAACTTGCTCAAGCTAGAAACAATAGTATAGTCTCTAACCAGCTCTTCTATTGGTGTTTATAGTGATCATGGTGTTAATCCAAGAAGACTTGCTTTAATGATATGTTCATTATAAATAGTTATTAGTTTTGTTAATTTTCATACTACAGTACTGTATATGGACATTTTTCTTTTTTCAGGTGACCTGACACGATGTTTTTCCTAAAACGCAAAAAAATAAAGTGCTAAGGAAATAATTGTTTTTTTTTAACCACATTAAAAAGTAATGAGGACAGGCTTCATCTTAACTGGCTTTGTTTTGATTGTGCAGAAACCTGCCAAATAAGCTTGGATATGGTTGAATTAACCAGAATTTCATTGTCCTTTAACACCTTCCACCATACTATTTAGATCTCTGTCTCTGGAGGGAATGTGCTTTCTGAAATATACACTGCATTTAAAACTCCCAGTAAACATGTCAGGAGTAGCACAGTTGCCACTAAACATCAGCCTTGAAAGCAGGGATGTGGAGGTAGATTTGTTCTGGTACCATATCATGGTCCAAGTTGCTGTGGACACCAGATGTATAGATGGATCCAGAGATCCACCTGTTGCTGGTACACAGTATTGCCCCATCCCTGCTTGAAAGACCCCCTCTATCATTCACTCATTTGTGCTTTGATGGTATTGTGAGAAGGTTGTAAGTTATGGCATGAAGGAGCTGTAACCCCATAAAAACCACATTAAACTTTGTACTGGTATCCCCCTGTTTATGATGGGGTTACGTTCCCCAAAAAACAATCGCAGGTTGAAATATCGTCAATCAGAATCATTATAATATGGAGTTCAATGGGATATGTTCTCAGCCAGTCTTATACCCACATGTATCACCCCAAATGAAATTCCTACAATACTACTGTACCTACAACATAAATTAAACAACACTCACCACATCATTAAGAACAAGCCTGGTTGTAATTACATGTTCCCTTTGAAGTTCAGGGGACTCTTTTAGGTGGAGTGTTCGGACTCCCACACAGCTTCACAATAACAGCCAACATTGGTCGCAACAATGCTGTACAGGCAAAGCAGTTCACAGTCACTAAAACCAGTAAAAATCAGAGAAAATAAAAGTAACATCGATATTATACTGAACAATAATCATCGAGCTACACAACCACCACGGAACAAAGCTTGGGACTGTGGTGCACCGGGTGGGCATGCAGGTAGACCGCAGCTGACAAGTGCACTGAAAGATGTCTTCCATATTCCACATTACCGGACGATGATCATCATTCGTGCAAAAAATTTTTTTATTGTAAATATGGAGTGGTCTTAATACATTACCATCATTCATACGAAATATCATAGATAAGGAGACCATAAATTGGGAGATACCTGTACTCATGGGTGGTGAGTGTTAAGTGAAGAGTACCAGGTAACTGGCAACTGTTAAGCCCTGGTTGTGATGACAAACGATGTGGTTTTTGTGATGCAAGGTGGATGGTGAGCAGGCTGTGGCATCATAGGTGTGTGTGATAGCAAGTTGATTTGAGGCTCCACCAGCCTTGTGTCTTACTCAAGTGTACCAACCATCAACTTTTCATTTAGTATGATTTTTGGTGCACAGCTTTAAATTCATGACACCCAATGCAAATTGTCTTAAGATGACGGTAGTTTGATTTGGTAAATCGGCTAGACAATGATAGCAGTTAAAGCAATAAAGAAATTAAAATAATCTTTTCCTGAAAGTGAGATCAAGAGAATGACTACTGTTGATGAATGATTTGAGTTGCATGGTAGAGTACCAGGTCAGTCCCAGAGTACTGTGGGTCAGACTGAGTTGTATGAGACAATGGGTTATGATGTACTGTATGTGCATTAGGGAGTGAAAGTAAAAAAAATTGGAGTCATTTCACTGAAAATTTTATTACAGGAAAGTTTGATGTAGACAGGTTTAAATATATGTGAGTGGTTGAAATGTCAGGAATGAATGGAAATGTGGACTGGTCAAATTGGAGGCTGAGAGAGGCTTTCCAAAAGGGAATAATGTACAGTGTCTAGTTCAAAATTTAAGTACAATAGGAAGCATAACAATGGAGTAGATAACATTGTTAGACTTGATCACGGAGGGGACAGATTAAAATATGAGATGAGGTAAGTGAAAGGGGCAGCTCAGGAAGTATGTTATCAGTATTTGGTAGAAGCAAGAATAATAGTAAATGGAAAGTTGAGGAAAATAATAAAAATAAAGAAGCACGATAAATGGAAGCAGTATATACATTTGAGTGATCTGATGCCTCCTGTTACTATGGCTGAAGGTCTTACTCTGATCTGGCACCATTTTATGAAATGCTCTTTAATTGAACACATTTATTTATAGGAATATACAAAATAAAGCTATATTACACTGAAAAATGTGAAGAGGCCATTTCATCATACTGATCCATAGTGTACAGTACCAAAGATTTTGATTTGGTCTTTTACAACTGCCCAGGATCTCAGTGTACAGTTAATAGGCTTTAAAACTATCAATGGCCTCTTTACATTAACCAAACCATACCATACAGTACAATAAACAATTTCCAAATAAGCAGTAAAGACGTCAGAATAAGTTGCTCAGTATTTTGCTTTGAGACGAGAATTTTCTTGGCGTAGCCGTTCGTTCTCCACGAGCAAGTCCTCATTTAAAGAATACTGGCGGTGAAGTCGTTCCATCATCTCCTGTAACAGCATGAAGTTTTGTGGATTAGTGACCAATTTACATGTATTGGTGTACTTTATTTAATTAATTATATATTTTTTTAATTCAAGTTGAATGTACAGTACAGTAAATATGTATTAGACCCAGTCCTCGTTTAACGTTGTTTCGTTACAACTTTGCTACTCTTTAGATACCCATGATTTAGACAACGTTGTTTTATGACCCAACCAATTTGTTATAACGTTGCCACCCAACACGGGCTACTTTGTATGGAGCGCCACCCTCTCTCATCTTTCATCTTGGCGCGCTATGCTCTCGCGGAGCATCCCTAAGCGTTTTTTCCCAGTCACAACGTAAGTGCGTGCTTAAGTGTTCTTGCTATAAATTCTGTACTGTAACCATTCAAAATGGCTCCCAAGTGCCCATCAAGTGTTAAGAAGCAACGCAAGACCATTAGCCTTGCTAAGAAAATGGAGGTTTTAAACCGTTTTGAGAAAGGTGAACGTGCTTTGGACATTGGTGTAATGTATTTTATGGGTCAAAGGGAGGCTGGGGAATGTAACTAGTGTATTTTTATCTAATACTTATGGGGAAATTTTATTATGTTAATGTTGTGGTTTACAGGAGCGTAACCACGACGTTAAGCGAGGACTGGGTGCAAATGTGTAACACTTCCCCACCATAACGGAGAAGCATTACTTTGGGTCTTGAAATTTTTGGATGTTGAAGGTAGATACTAGTGGCTGAGCTTTGTCTGGCTCATGTAGTTTAGAGTAATGCAAAGGAATTATTTTATGATAATGTTTGTGATTCGTTTTTTTGCAAAATCCAAATCTGGTGTATTTGAGTGATGGAAAAATATTGAAGTTGGGTGTGACTTTGGCATTTACTTCTACAGTATGTCTTGTGTAAAGGTCATGTGTGAGTCTTAAGATTTTTGACTAGTGTTCTAAAATGTGGTATGCAGGTAAACTTCAGACATGTCTATCTGCAGTGAAGAATATTGTGGTAGATATAGACAATGATGCTGAGTTAATTAACCATTTTTTTATAGTTTGGTGCACTGTTGTGTTCATAATTTTGCTGAGGAACTTAGGGTATGTCTATTGTTGCACTAAGGTAAAGCTGCATTATAAGAGAACTTGGGAGAGGTGTTGGTTGATCCTGGAGTGTGCCCATAGTAGAGAAAGAGGTCAGTATGGAGACTTATTTTAGGGATTTATGTGGTTTTAGGATGTGTAGAATGATAGTTTTCCTCCACTTTGCTGGCACAGTATTTGGTTATATCCTTTACTGATGTTAAACATTACCTGCTGCTCAAGAAACTTCTTGGTCATCACATACTGCAGGTGCATCAGACGACGATTCACATCATCCTGGAACTCTTCCATAACTTCTGCCATGCAACTGCGTATCAACTCTACTTGCAACTGAGGTACTCCATTGTCACATGGTTTTACTCTGTCTGAGGAAAAAATATTTGATTATAATAGTGCTACCATGTATTATATCTTCCCTACAATTTCTTGCAAAGGGGTGGCCACATGAGAGGAGCCTTCAGGGTACCCTACACATCTCCTTTGTCCTCTCTCTTACTCTTATCCCATGTGAATTGTTCCATCTTTCCCACAATACATGCAGACTCCCACTAACACACACACATTACTCCTGTACACCCCCGTCTTCTCTGCCATTCCAAACATCACTTCCATCCTGGTAACCTGTCATAACCCCAGATGCAGTCTTCACCTATTTCGTATCTCTAGCTTGAATTTTAGAGCATTCTTATCCCTACAATTCCACTTTTCACAACTATAAATTAACCCCTTCACTACTGACACAGCATTTTTATTTTGGCTAATGACACTATTTTATTCAACACAGAGGGGATCCCAGACACAAGTGGTTAAAAAAAAAAAAATTCTAGTGAACCTGAGAATGTCTTTTCAAGGATCGACCAGTATAATCCTGTGGTCTTTCTGCTTTGAATTAGTATCATCCTTATCACTTGGAGTTCCTTTAACTTACCTGATGGATCCAGGTAAATGTTGGGAAGGTAACTCTACAACAGCTAAGATTACACTAACTATACAGTACAGTACATCTGCCTGATGTACATTTAAGCCATCTACAAGTTAGATAAAATGACCCTTTCAGTTGATAAATATAATGAATAACTCATAAGTTCTATTTAATTTTTTTTTTTTTTTTTTTTTTTACTTGGCGTTTACCCACCGAGTCTCTCCTAATATTCCTCTACAGTGCACTTTGTAAGATGAGGTGGGTGGGTAGGTCAAGTGATGCATAGTACCATGGGTGTGACAGGTCATGCACTAACTGGTAAATAATAGGCTGAACACTGACATCATACACACATCCTTTGTTCCCCAATTACACAATCACTTAAGAACTTTTACTCCCTATATCCCAAATTAATAACATAAATTACGAGAGAAAACAGGGTGATGTCTCTTTTTTTCTCAAGTTGATTGTTGTTCAATGGAAATGGTAGACCTACAACCTACTGTACAGTATATATTTTCAAGCTTACAAATTCCTAAAAAACAAAATTGCTTATGCCTCATTAAGGTTTTATGAATAGTAGTTTTATATGTAGTTATTTAATAAGAGCAAATAAAATTCCACATTACTTTACCTGATAAGTTTGCTGCTGGTAATGAATGACAGCTTTCGTCAGTAGACTTCACTTCACCTACACCTTCTGGCACTAGATCACTAGCTTGTACGGACCTCAATAATTGTCTCTTTTTGGGCGGTGATGTTCTTGTATACGACACTTTGCTGGATGTAACAGTTAGTGGTGTAGTTCTTGAGGTACTCAAGTCACTTGTTAATGTTCCACTCACCCCAGGAAAACTTGTGGGGATTTTATCAGGACTTGCCATACACTTATTAGTGAGTTCATTATCTGTTTTTAAATTGTTAACTGAAGACTCACTCATTTTAAAGTCATCAAAATTATTTGTCTCTGGTTTAGACATAACTGATGTTTTGTGTGCAGCCTTTCCAAGTTTTTTACAAGGTGTTTGACTCGCATATGAAGCAGCATTTACTTCAGAGTCAGTAACTTCATGCAATGGAGATGGAGCCTCATCTTTTTTGGATTTCACAACAGGAATCTGTTTATAATCTGGAATGCCCTCCTCCATCTCCACATCATCACTCTCCCCCAAGGCACCAGTGGGTTCCATATTCTCTTTATTTTGAGCAATACAAGAGCCAGTTTCCTCAGAAATTTTTTTTATCTGAGGTATGTTGGACTTCTGATTCAATAAGCTGGGAGCACCATCTGTATAAGGTGACAACAAGTCATCTGGAAAGAAAAGTGTTTACAGTTGCATCTTGTGTCCAACTATGATTGAACATGCATGTGATGGCAGCCAACAAGAAAAATCAACATGGTCAATATAAACATTAAAGAGAGATTCAGTGACTTTTTCTCTCAATAAATTAAAGGATAATACTGTACAGTATTTATTCAAGTGTAAATCTAAGGAAAAAATTTACATTCAACAAAATATGTGCCACAAAAGGAAATTGCTTCTGGCAACAGTGGAATTCCAGCTGATTGTATCATTTGTGTGTGATGTCACAACTGTATCTTGTCATTTTAGAAATATCTGTCCAAACCATAACAGTATACAGTATCATATTGACTGATTTCCACCAGTGAAACATCAATTTGTGAACAGTGAAGTGAAGGACCATTTTGATGCAATACATAAACTCTATACAGCAGGTCTTAATTGTTGACTTACCTAAAGAGATTCTAGTTTATTATATAACTGTCACTCTTCACGCACCTATATCAATGTTATGGGTCGGCAACTTGTGAGTCAACGGTGAGAAGCTTCTTTTCCCGTCAGTAGATCTTATTGGCGAGAACACATCGTGGATGCCTAATGACTCTGTTGAGCTACAGCCATAGACATTAAACTTTGGTGGATTCTTTAAAATCTCTTCCATGTTTACCTGTTAGAATAAGAGACACATACCATGATACTTTCTTCAAAAGCCATTGGTTTTATTTATATTTGCTTTTACTATCTGCCAGGGTTGTAAATAAGAGCTGATTGATATGTTAAGTAAAATTTATATTGGATCATATGTTTCATTTCTAACCACAAAACTAAATTAAAATTCAAAGCATTAACTTCACACTGATCAAAGGAGCTGACTTCATTCTCAAAAATGTTAAATTCCAGGAGTTATTCAAGGACTTTGTTCCTTTGAAACTCATACCATAATATTGACCTGGATAAACCAAGGTTATGATCTTTTGTGAAATTCTGACAACTCTTATCAATACAGCTAGAGAAATGAAAGAATGAGGAGCCACTAAGGTAAAAGATGTATGTAGAGTGTAATGCTGGTTAGAAAGATGTGACAGTATGGTTGATGGCTTGAGAGTAAGAAAACCAAGAAAGATTAACACACTAAATAGATGAATTAGCGAGGAAGAGTGGTACAGTAATATCTCCGTTAGCTGGAATCCCTCAAACCCGCAACTCCGATAGCTGGAATTGAAATTTTCTCAGAAAATTGTTCCCAAACCCTGATTTTTCCAGATAGCCGGAAAATTCTGGGGATGGGGGAGTTTTTTCCGGGTTTGAGAGATGAAAATAAGGCGTATTTTCTGGAAATTCTGGGGATGAGGGATATTTTTCCGGGTTCGAGAGATGATGTAATGGGCAATTTCTGGAACTCCCGAGAAAATTTTTCTGTTACAGTAGAACGTCAATTTAACGCGAATCGATTTAAGAATATTGAATTAAAGCGACACCCACAATTAAGGACAATGTTTCAATTTAAAGCGAATCTTTCCTATTTTGCGCGAGTTAATCTGGCGCAGCATATTTAAAATTTTGCGCCTAATGTTTTTCTGGGCACGCTATACTGTCCTAAGGGCAAAGGTGTACTGTACATGTACTCAATATAATGTACTAAATGATTACTAAATTTTTTGTCTAGTGCAAACTATAGCATGTTTATATTCAAATTAATCACTATCTTATAAGAATTCCAGCAATGTAAATTATATTCTCCCTGGTCACTTCTGTGACATTTTATAAGCAAAAAAACATAAACTCAAGCTAAAGGACATAAATAAACAAATAAATACTTCACTAGACCTTTGGCGCCAACTGTCAAACATGTCACTGTCCCCCCCCATCTTCCCAGCCAGTAAATAGACCATTTTGCATCCCTTAATTTTAGCTATGTTGATTTATGAGTGTTTGTTTTAACACAATACTACAAAAAACAATGTTTTGTTTATTCTAGGAGAAGGGCTGAGGTGCATCTGGGTAAACTCAAAGTCTTTTTAGTATTTTGTGTTTCTCTCAAGTACCAAACTAAGCTATTCCATTGAAACAACACTTCGATTTAGCGCAAATTCTGTTTAAAGCGTCCTTTCTTGGACCGTATCTCGCGTTAAATCGACGTTCTACTGTACCCGGAAAATTCTAGGGATGAGGTATTTTTTTTTCTGGCTTTGAGAGTCGCCGTCTCGTTACCCTGAAATCTCTCATTCCCGGAAGTGCTCTGTACCAATTGTTCTGGCTAACTGAGATATCACTGTATCTCATATGTATGCAAGTTGTGGATATGAGCAAGTATATTAGCATATTTCTAATTGTTATTCCAACTCTTTCCGGGCATTTTTTATTGTGGTCTGGCTCCACTCTCCCTATTGCTCCCCCTTCTTTGCTTTTACATACTCGTTGACCCAAACTACAAATAAATGAAAGTGGGTTCAATAGGTATGAGTGCTCTTTAGAGAAAGTGTAGATACAGCACACTGTATACTAGCCATTTGCTAAGTAGGAAAGCAGTACGCCTGGTTTGGCACTTGAACACCTTCACTTTCCAACTTGCCAACTCTGTACCCACTTATCTGCAGCACCCCACAAAAAAATCAGGTGAGGACTAAAGATTATGGAAAGGCAGAATGAGACACACTACTAAGGTGGGATATAAATTTACATTAATGGTTGCCCCTCGTGTAATGAGGATGGCCGGTCCTAGTGCCACCTAGTTGTGAATTTGTTTAAGGTGTAGAAGCTGTCACCAACACAACAACCACACCTTAAGTTAACGAGCTGCATGAACCCAGTGTCAAGGAAAAGTCCGAGAAGAGCGGACAACTCGCCAACTGCATTGGCTAACCATTACCCCGGAACACGATCCAAGTCCCCAATTACATTATGATCCACAAGAAATGGGTTACCGGTAATTTCTGTGATGTTGCTGTTCCTATAATTATTAAAAGATGAGGTCAACACTACTGTAGTACTCAAGATTCCAACGGTTCATATCTTTATATACAGTGATGGATCTAGATCAGATCCTTCAAGATATGACTCCCTGGAATCCCTGTTATGAGGATAGTCCAAAAACATCAAAATTTCAAGAGCCAAGTCAGGCACATTACCAACTGTTCTTACCTTGATCTGCAGTGATAAATCTAAAGCATGATTTTGCAACTGTCCTTATAAATGAGAATATGTGCACAAAATATTCAGCAAACAATACATCAGTCAAATAGTTAGCTACTGTACCTCTGCTGTGGGATCTGTGGACCTTATAGGAGAGAAAACATCTAGTAAATGTGAATTTTCTGTAGGAGGCGTATAATTCAATGGCTTTAGACTTGGGGGCCTTTCATCAGATGTACCTGAGCAGGACCTAGTGAGTGAGAGAAGGAACAATTACAAATTCAATGCTACAGTACTTAGATTTCTTGTAAGCTGATGTAAGATTTTATTTTGTGTAACTGGCTAACTTATCGGTACAGTTCTACAAACCACTTCTACACCAGATCCAGTGTACTTAATGTTCAGTACTTATCCACAATAATATCTCCAACACACACACACATAGTTCTCCCAGCCCAAAAATACTCTTCTGCCAGCCTGTCTTTTCAACTTTTACCATACAAGAGTACATTTTGACCGAATCACAAACTCTGGTTTTAATGGTTCAGAGTGACAGGAGTTGAGAAGGATGGGATGGGAAAATCAGAAAGAAATTGAAGGAAAATGTGTTGTACGGTTTTGAGACTCCAACAACCTCTATGGAATGGAGACAATAGCTATGATGGAGCAATAGCAGCATAGACTAGTGCAGGGGTGTATAGTCACACACACATAAAGAAAGGTTCAACTGATTATAAATTGACTGAGATATACCTATTAAGAGGTCTGGGCAGGTACCAGACTATGAATATCATAAAAGGTTAGATAACTTTGCCAGATGCAATTTGAGCACATAAAGCCCCAGAAAAGCCACCAAAAGCTCATATCTAATTCATCAGATTCTTTATCTTTCTTAAAGGGGCACAACCCAAGTCTCTTAAATGTGAGAATTATCAAAATTAAACCTGCCTGTGAGTGTAAGTGGGAACCATCCTACAGATTAAAAAGAATTGGCCAGCATTTAAAGCTAGACACAAAAACACTGCACACATGGACTTACCTGCTACTGATAGTACAGATTGCTACAGGGCAAAACATTGCTGGTATTAATGTATTTTGTTAATTATTAAGACAAAAGCTATGGGTAAATATATTCTGGGTACTGTCTAGCTACACTTCTACCAAACTACTGTAATATTTTTAGCACATTATTTTGCTAACAATTAAACTACATTGTCTGTTTCTTTGTTTTTCACTATGAACACATATTTTTGAAGATAAAGAGGCCTCAGTACCAGCCCTAACAATACCATCTGTCTCTAGCTATATATATCAGGCTGGTTGATGAAGAGGGGCCACACTAGACATATTATAGCACCAGCTCTGAGACTGACCTTATATCTAGATGTAAAGAAACAAGGTGTGCATGAGTCTCTGTGTACAGCTAACACATGGGAGGCTGACAGTGACACCTTACGGCAGTTATTAGTCTCATCCACCATGTCACGGCTTCCCAGGAAAGGTGAGCTTATCCAACCGGGTAATATTCTTTATTCATACTTTGATTTTTACTTACTTGGATGGTTGGGTCACTCCAAGGCTTACTTCAAGGCTCTGTTTCACATTCTTCATGTGACTGCCCGCACTGTTCTCAGACTGTAACATCAATAAATATCATTAAGGATTGGATAATACAAATAATAAATGGACATTTGATTCTTAATATTATTTTTTTCCCAATTTTCATCTTTATGTTTCCCCTAAAGTTGTGTAATTTGCCAGAATCACTTCTCTACAACCCTGTGCTTATTGGTTGTTGTGTTTTACAGCCATTTTTTACCTTAAATGTTAAACAACTTGTGGAATAAAATTACAGTCGAGCACACTGAACCTACGCTACTTTGATATTGTTGGAGCTCTGGGTTGATTTAACTAGCCTGAAGTATGGAATTATTCCAACACTGAAATTACCTCACAGTACCATCATCACACTGTTGTATATTTTGATAGGGTATTGGTGTGAGTGAGTTATATACAGTACTGTAGTGAACTATCATGGTGTGGAGTCAAGGAAGAATCTCACGGGTCAGTTACCTCAGCTCTTGGCCATCGTATGGGATTTTACTTTTCATTGTATTGATATTTCTTTCATATCTTAAGAAAAAATATGATAGAACTCAACTTAAAGATAAAAAGTTACTCATAATGTGATGCTGATTACAGAATGTCTTACTATATGGTCACTTGTTGAAATAATCTAATGCTGTACTGATTTAAACAACTCACAGATGCATGTACAACTTCAAAAAGAATTAGTGATACAATATCTCTATTTAAGGGAGTATAAGGAGAGGAAAGTTCATACTATATATTGAGGGCCTGTTAGATGTGGAACTTCTATATAATGAACTAAATAGAGAAGAAAGTTTGTTATATTGAGGGTCTGTTATATTTAAAAGTCCATCGAATGGATTACCGTATATAGAGAAAAATCCATTATATGGAGGTTTCACTGTAATTCCTTTGCTTAAGTGTAGTCATGTTAAATACATTATATACCAATATCCATATAAAATATATACCCATTATTTATATACATCAAAATGAGATTGTAAATAATTATGGAATTTAAAACGGTTAGTAAAGTACCTACAACATACCCTAGATCGAGAGGGAGGCTGAAGAAGCACATTTGTTACAGCTGTATTATATGCTGGAATCTCGGCCACTGGTGGGTGGAGCATACGGAGATCATGTATAAACACCTGCCCGGTCATAGTACCAAGAGCCACCTGCTGGCCGCCAGCTAAAAAGGTTGCACTGGTGAGGGGGGCTGAGCATCGGCGAGTTATTAATGGCCTGAAAATATTATATAGTCAAAACTTTATATAATGGAGTACAGTACAGTACTGTATATGTGAGAGGCTAGTCCGTTAAATCAAAGGTCCGTTAAATATGAAACTTCCTTCTAATGGACTACAGTAGTACAGTATATTATGAGAGACCTATACATGTAGCAGTTTAAATAGCTAATACTGTACAATAGTTTGTTTAAATTACTTCATGTTTTAAGTGCCACAGGAACTTAGTTATGAAAAGGACCTTTTTTGCTTGTTTCAGAGTACAGTATCTTCAACATGGACAAAAAAATCAAATAAAGCAGATATATCAAACAAAGTTCATTTATATATAAAAATTCTGATTATAAAAAAAAAAAAAAAAAAGAATGCTTGAAGCAGAGTGTAAATATTACTCTACCTAAAATCAAAGAGGTTTTGCTGATGGTACTTGCAACAAAAAATCACCCCTTAGTATACAGTGACAATGGTAAAATATGATGTTAGGCTGTATAAAATATTTTCAAACATAAACAAATGAAATCAGTGAATATTATGCCACAATGGTACCTATGTAGAGTCACTTACTGTTTTGTTTGAATGTTATAACAAGCAAATTGTTTGTCATATCCGGCAGACACCATCAACAGCTCATTGACGGGGGAGAATAATATGGCAGAGACCGGAGAACTGTGAGCTGTGGGGAAGGAATGAACGATCTTGTTGACATGAGAATCAAACAAAGCGATGGATCCTCTGTCAGAACAACACCCTAACAAGGGCTTCTTCACACTGCTGTAAGTCAAATCAGTCACTACCTGTAAAGGATTATAATGAATGTAAATGACAGGATTCACAAGTTTTAGGATAGCTACTGTACATTTCTATCTATACAGTAAGTCTTCACATAACGTCGGCCCGTTTAACGTTGTTTCGGTACTACAGCGCTAATCTTCAGATACCAAAAATTCATTTAACGTCCCAATGACTCGGTACAAAATCGATTTGCGTCGTCACACACTACTTTTTACTGCGCATCACCCTCTCTCGTCTGGCCGAGCTACGCTCTCTTGGCTCGGCAGTCTCAGTGACTCACCGCCCTCCTCCTCTGCCTAACTACCCACCACACACTCGCTCTACTACCTCCGCCCATCGGTGAGTACCAATACAAACTTAGTAGTATACTGTATGTATGCACTATTTTCTATAGAAATGGCAAAGATTTTCTGTATATGTAATGTATTTCATGGGGCAAAGGGAGGCTCAGGAACATAACTCCTGTATTTGATCTACAAGTATTTCTTATGGGGAAAATTGATCCACTTAACGTTGTTTCGTATAACGTCGCATTTTTAGGAACGTAACCCTGATGTTAAGCGAAGACTTACTGTATCTATGTTCAGGCACAAATTGTATGATCAAACAAAACCTTTATGTTTCTTCAGTTCAAACAGATATACAGTATTATCTCCGTTAGCTGGAATCCCTCAAACCCAGAACTCTCCGATAGCTGGAATTGAAATTTTCTCGGAAAATTGTTCTCAAAGCCAGAATTTTCCGGCAAATTCCGGCTTTGGGAACGATTTTCAGAGGGGCACATTTTCCGGAAAAAACCGGGGATGGGGGAGTTTTTTCCGGGTTTGAGAGATGATGTAATGGGCAATTTCTGGAACTTCCGAGAACATTTTTCTATTACCGGAAAATTCCGGGATGTGGGATATTTTTCCGGGTTCGAGAGATGATATAATGGTCAATTTCTGGAACTTCTGAGAAAATTTTTCCATTACCCGGAAAATTCCGGGGATGAGGGACCCTTTTCTGGCTTTGAGAGAGTCGCCTCGTTACCCGGAATTCTCTCATTCCCGGAAGTGCTCTGCACAAATTGTTCCGGCTAACGGAGATATCACTGTACTGTACTGTACTGTAAAAATTATCTTTATCAATAGGTGTTAGGTGTGTAACAGAAGAATGGTGTTAAGTGTGTATAGAACAATTACTGTATACATACCTCATCATCAAATATCTTAAAAGGTCCGGCTATGGAGTTATTAACAACAGAAAGCAAATAGATTGATCCTTTCTCTGTAGCTGCCGTTATGTGAGAGTCATTGTGACTGAAGCTGATTCGTGCTATGGTGCCATCTGTAACCTGCAAATATGGACAAATATATATACAAGGAGTTAATGTGGTGTAAAACATAAAATCATGGTTCTTAGAAAAACATGAAAAACAATTAAAAAACTAAAAACAAAGTATGAAATCCCATTTTATGGTTGACAAGAAGGGACAACCAAGGAGCAAGATATTACCACCAGAACATTCAATGGAAGAGTTTACCTTGGTGAAGGCAGCGTGGAGGCAGACACTCACCAACCAGTTTAGTACAATTACCAGTACCATACTTCATTAATGGCCACTATTTATCCAAACAAGTGTTATGAAACAACCCCACTCTCATGGTAAACTCAAAATTAAGTGAGTTAGAAAAATCCTCTGAATGGACTCTCGAGATGTTACAAGCTTCTTTCCTTACATTTTTCTGCAAAAAAGAAAGTCCACCTCGGCAAGAATGAAGGATTCCAGGTCACCTCTCATCCTTTTATCCAATAAAGTGGAATGTCATACTTAAATCCTTTGTTTTATCATCTATAGTCCATTTGACACGTGACTGAAAATATTCCACAGAGTTTAGCAATAAGCAGGACAACTAAACAGTGAATACCAGCTCACTATACCTGTGTTTTCTCCATCCAGAATATGGGAGAAGGCATGTCTTAAAAGCAGGTGGTGACAGTACTAAAAATACACACAGTAAATTTAAAACCCACTAAATGATTTCCTTTGTATTTCAGACTTACTGAAAAGACTTTCTTCTGCATCTGTGACTTTACATTCCAGATAGTGACAGCACCATTTCTGTTCCCAATGCCTAGGTAATGAGGGGAGCGGCTGGCAAATTTGACGCAACTTGGTGTTTTCTGGAAAGAGATACTTCACATGAATACAGAAGGAGCGAGAGATACATTGTTAACATTTCAACACCAAAGAATTTATTATAAAACTACTATACAGTATATAAGATTAAAAATGGGAAAAAATATATCCTTAACATAGACTAATATATTATGGTACTATTATTTCAGTAGTATTGTTGCAATGGTATTATATAAAAAGAAAAAAGAAAATGTACAACTCAATAAGGACTCTACATAGATTGTATCCAAAGCATGTTAAGTCCTTTAACACACACATACACTTACAATTCCATTCACAGCTCCTATATTTGCAGCTGATTTGGCATTAACAGCTGTCAGAGAAATCTTGTCTCCTGTTTTTCCTAAGCTTGCCAGGCACTGGCCATCCTGATTCCATGTCAGTCCCTGTATACGACCTGGAAAATCAGAGCAAAAATACTTTAACAATTTTAGTTTAGTTTTATTAATCTTTTCATTATTATAATAAAATGTAACATTTTGAAACTTACTCCTTCCATGTTCACTTCATTAAGAGTTTGCCTCCAGGTACAGTACAGTATAATACAGGCAGGTCCTGCTGAACGAGTAACTAATCAACAAGAATTCAGTTCAACGAGCGTAGTGTTTTAGGGAATAATATTTCAATGAATGAGTTTGTATTTATGGTAAGTCAATATTAAAATTCCTAGTGAACTAACTTGCATTATAATTTGTGGAGTCAGTGGCCTGTCTGAGCCTAAAGAAGACAGCAGCACCATGCCGCTGTATTACTGCATGGTATCTATAGAGCTCTGGAGTTAATGTCATAAGTATGATTTCAGTGACTCTAGTTGATGCTAAAACAATATTGAACCTAATTGGGTTAGGTTTTAAGGTAAAATTCTTTGGGTTGGAATGCATCTAAATTTATATCATGGTGGTCCGGGTAATTTTTTTTTTGGGGGGGAGAACATCTCAGCTTTTAACATAGAGGGAAAATTGGCCCCACTGAACGAGAACTCACCACCCAATGAGCACTTATTCAGGAAGGCACATTGATTGTGAAGTGGGACCTTCCTGTATTGTAATAATGCTGTAAGAAGTTTTCCCTTACATGAACTTACCATTTTCTGAAGGAATTTCTTGCTGGAGGGAGTAGTCTTGTAGGTCCCAGAGTTTAATTGAACTTCCAGCCGTAGCAAGTAATGTGCTGCCCATTTTATTTTCTGAAAATAATTAATATCAACACTGAAACTTTAATCATGTATGAATGAAATAAATGCTCTGCTATCTAAAGAATTCTTAAGGTTGAATAACATGTACGAGTGAGCACATGTTTACTCCAACGATTATGTCTGCACCGAGTCCCATAATAGACATAGCTGTTTACATGTAATTAACCAAATTCAATTAATGGAGAAAAGTGTAAAATCAATTTATCTGGATGAGGAACTCTACACTGAGAGAGCTTCGGTCATACACTGCCTGAGTATATGAGTGGGCAAAAGAACAAGTGTGATAGCCATACCTGAGGTCCACTAAAGGAGCCACTGTTCAGGTGATGAAGTGTTTCACCCAATCAGTGATCCAAAATAATGCAGCTTGATGGCAATTAAATAAAACCCTCACCAAGTAGGTATCTTAAACAAAACCCTCACTAAGTTGGTAAAAACAGAATTTCATATAGGTTGAGAGACAGAAATGTCGATGAATCAAATCATAATTCTGTACAGTTAACCCCTTCACTTTAGAGACACCACTTTTAATATCTTATTTGACTAATGCCTGACAGATTTATTCAGCTCAGAGGGGAACACATAAACAAGTTATTAAACTAGACCCTGGCCACCCACCATAAGACATTTCATCAAAATAATGTAATGATATAATGTAATAATCTCCTATAGCCAATACATATTAGTATAAACTCAAACTAAGACATATTTATTACCATATTAAGGAAAATATGAAGTTTTATTATAATATAGAGAACAAGTCTTGGCTCGAGAACCTATCAACCTGTGGAGTCTGGTTAATTAATACCTACCTGGGTGAGTAATTAACATGAGGATAATTTTAGGATGATAGTTAAGTGATGTGAAGGTGTGTGGTGAGTTTGGTTAGTGAGTTATCAATGTATTAATGACAAGATAAAGGATAGACTCACTTGGCGGGTTTGAATGGCGGCCAGCTGACGGGTACTGGCTGTGACTCCTCTTAATTATGTTATATTTCTTATTACTCATGTATATTTACTTAATTTACTATTTTATATAATATATTATTGTTGTGTGAATTAAATTAAATCATCTGCGTTTTATCAGATTTATTCATAAGTAAAATTCGTCCTTCAGTAATTATAGAAAATTTTTATTTGTTTAAGATATATATTTTGAGTTATTTTATATATATTAGTAATGTAATTATATTTAGTAATTAATAAATGGAACAAATTAGGATTGGGTTGTTATGTTGTGTTAATGTCAAGAGGTTAAAGGTAAACAAACATTACCAGGCTCGGTGAGTTAATTTATTAGTTTTATCCTCCTATTGTCACCTTATTTTAATGTTATTTTATATTTTAGAAGTGAAAATAGATTGTGTACGTTGTTGTGAGATATTAAATGTATGTGTTAATAATTGCCATAGTGTTATCGTGTAGATCTGACCAGGTGATGAACTTGGTGGTTTAAATTATAAAAAGTAAACCACATTAAACAATCATTGTTCAGTAAAAAACTATGAACTTTAATGATTCCCCATATTTGGAAAGTAAAGAGTTGAAAGAAAGTCATCAGAGTTTGTTATATTTTGTCAGAGTTTTGGGTCAGTTTATAGTTTCAGCCAACCAGGGCTCTCTAGTTGATCAATGTGTTTACTGATGGTTTAGACAAGTTTAAGGCTTAAATATACCGGGGGATCTAGGGTCTGGAGTCCTCCCAGTTAAGAGGTTATGGTAAGTAGTTAAGAGGTTATGGTAAGTAGTTTTGGGTCATTTGCGAGGGAACCGCCATAGAAGATAAGTGTCTTAAAATTGTATACACCATCAGAAAAAACACATTGCTCAACTGTGATTGGTCGAAGCTATAAATTGACTGAATTTGGTAAAGGTTAGTTTATAATCATGGTATTAAGTATTTCCTTGGTAATTATTCAGCAGTACTGCCTGCTCAATTTTGACTAAAAAACATATTTTGGTGTGTTTTCTTAGATTATCGCCTTCATTTCCTTGGGAAACTTAAAAAAAAAATTGAAATGAAGAAATGATAACTTTTCCAAAAAAATGAAAGTGAGAATCGAAGAAAACACCAATATACACCAGTTTTGGGGGAAGGAAAACACGTACCAACCTAACTTAACCTGCCGAACCTATCTTAGACTTGGCACCAAGTTTCCGGACTCCTGTGAATGTATTTTATGACCTACCTTATGCAGGAGTGTTGGGGTGATGGTACACATTGAAGACGGGAAGTGATATGAACATTAGCCACTGGTCAGTTCCTACTTACTGTATGATGATTGGTCAACAGGCAGGGGAATTGGTATTTTTATATTTTTCATAAATTTATATTTTTGTCATTTACTCCAAAATAATGGCTTTCCATGAATGTTAAAGTTTAGTCTAAAGCATCACAGCTGAAAACAGCTGAAAAAATGCCTATTTCTATCTGAAACAAGTGTACAGTAATAATGAAGAATAACCAGTATCTATCATTGGGAATTTCAATTTTTTTTTTTTTATGAAAGTCCTTTTTCTGTCCTCATGAAAAGCATTGTCACTAACACCATATTTCCTGTGTTTAAATCTGGGATGTTTTGTTTCATCCATATTAACAGTTCAGGGATGCTTCGTTGGTTTGTTTCTTAACAGGATTTTATTTTGGGTTACATTTTTTATTTATTTTTGGCGGTTTAGCCCACTGACCCACATCGGGGCCTGGGGGGCGAAAATGTAATAATAATACTAATTAATAATAATAATAATAATAATAATTCATATAAGTAAAATTAATACTAAAAATACAAAAATATAAATAATATAATAACAATGATAACAATAATAATAATAATCATAACACAGCAATAATAATAATAATAATAATAATAATAATAATAATAATAATAATAAACCATAAAGAAATAAAAAAATAAAAAAAGATCAAGATTGAGAAACAATATACTGTATGTTGTGTTGTCAATGGTAAGAGAAACAATTGAGACCCTGTAATTTTGTGTAAATGAGGCAGAAAGTCAGATCAGCAGCCTGGGACTTGATCACAATTTTCATGATGCCATATGGCAGCAGGGTCTACCATTAGACAATACATTATGTTTCCAATATCTTCCCAGGCTGTAGTACCTCACTGTTTGGTAGCTGCCTACTACCTTCAAGGTTAGGTTAGGATGTCAATATTTTCTTGGTAATATTTTAGGACAGTTACTTGTTTTATACAGCCACTTTGGAAAAAAATAATATGCAGTATACAATACTTCATACACTTTTTCTATTTGGGTTTTTGTCGCTATTTTTTTAAAATAAATACTAAGCTGCTGGTGCTTGCTGCTTTCATCTTTGTTTATCTGAGCATCAGTATGTGCCGTCGTTGTCATTCAAATTTTATAGAATTTTTCAGTAGACCATCATGATCAATTTATACTTTCTTATGTTAATAATAATAATCATAATAATAATAATAATAATAATAATAATAATAATAATAATAATAATAATAATAATACCCAAGCAGTGATGATAATTCTTATTATTGATAGCTATTACTGTACAGTATACTGTAGTAGGTAAAGAGGATTTATTCATGAAGTAGGACATCATTTGGCATACTGTACTACAGTGCAGTATACTGTACTTCATTGTATGTCAATAAAGTCAGAACCAACGATGAATACTTAGGCATTGGTTTCCTTTATTTCAGAATACTGTATATAAGAATGGATACACAAAGAGATGAACATGAGAAAACATTTGGATTGTCAGAGGGTAAAGCAACAGCCAATAAAGATGATACTCTGGCGAAAGAACGGGTACGGAAACCTAAGAAGCCAGAAATTCAGATATATCGACCTGGAGCCCTTCGACACAAGCGATCCAATCAGTCAAATAACCAGCCAGCTCAAGAAACTCGGGACCAAGTTATAACGAAGTCAGTTGACACCAAGGAAAATGCCAAGGAGGATGTGCATAGGCCAGAGAGTGAGAAGAAAACACTTATTCAGCCTAAACAGGGATCATCACAAGAGAAGAAAATTGTTAAAGGATTGAGAGATGGAGAGAAAGTGTCATTACTGGAAAGGAAGTCCAGTATGGGAGATAGAGGTGAAGATAAGAAGACAAAGGAAACTGATAAAAAATCTTCACGAGAGGGAAGAGAAGTGATCTCTGAAGTCAATGTTGGCAAAAATAAGAAGAACATCATAGAAAAGGAGCATTTTTGGGAGGAGCCACAGGCAAGTGAATATCTTTCTAAAGAGAAGCAAAAATCTGGGTATAAAACTTGTGAGGAACGAGCTGTCACCACAGGCAAGAACACCAGCCCTACTGACCACCAGAAAGGAACAAGTAAAACTATTTCAACCTTGAAAAATGTGGGAAATAATAGTCGGAAAGATGTGAAAGGTGTGTACGATAAAACAGTCAAAAAACAAGAAGAAAGGTTACCTTCTCCAGAAAAAAGTATCTCTACCTTACCTGGCACTGAACATGTTGAGAAAGGAAACTCCACTGTTATTGACACCATTAATGCTGAGTATTGTGAAAGACATCCTTACTGGAAATGGTTGAAGGAACAAAATACCACATCTGCATCAGGCAGGAAGACCAACAAACATGCCTCCGAAAAAAGTCCCCTAAAAAAGTATGGAGAAGGGTTTTGGGATGTGCCGAGTGATGTGAAAAGTGGTGTGTCTGGCCACGAGGAGTCAGTGATAGGTAGAGTCCAGCCTGATGTGTCAAGTAGTCAGTTAAAAAAGAGAAGTGTCCCTCTCCACCATGAAAGGTTAAGGTCAGATAAAATTGGTAAGGATTATAATGACTGGAAAAGAGTGCACAATGACTCAAAGGGTGAAGATGGCATCCCTGTGAAGAGAAATGAAAAAAATGAAAAATACAATTATGACAAACCACTAAGCAGAAGAGGCAGCGGTATGACTGAACTTAATAAATCAACAGGAGTGATTGGTAATGTGGATGATAAAATATCTTTAAAATCAACTGGAGCTACTAAACAACATAAAAAAAGTAGAAGTTATGGGGGAACTGCTAAGAGTGACAGCAATTATAAAGGAAACTATGACCCACAGAGTCTGAGAAAAGAAATCCCCAAAGGCAAAAGAAACAGTTATTATAACAGTGAATTCCTCAGTTCCAAGTCTCCAGTAATGAAGTTGGACTCGGGGTCTGGTCAGCCTGGGGAATGTCACAACAATAAAGAGGAGAACCAGATAACTGTAAGTGAATTAGCTGCTAAAGTTGATGAATTAGCAGTTGGTAATTTATCCAGAAAAGCAGGAAATTTAAGAAGGAAAGGTAAAGGGTGGCATGATGGTTTAAGTGATGTGAAGGTAGAGCATAAGGGAGGCCTCAGTAAAGGCGAAGATCTTACAAAAGATGTTAATAAAGGTGTAAAGCTTAAAGAAAGTTTGAATAAAAGTAAAGATCTTAAAGGAGGTGTCAGTAAAGACCTTCATATGGAGGAGAGACATTCTGATGGTCATTTACAGCCCTCAGATAACACTAACCCAGTGGAGAGAATAGACTCCAAGTGCTGTGGACCTAACAGTGTCCCACCAGAGTACGGTGAGAAGTCCTCCAGGGCAAAGAGCTACACTAGTGTTAGAGAGAACAGAAGAAACAGGGCAGGAAATAAATCCCTCAGCCAGGGGGCCATTCCGTGCAACCAACGGGGAGACCTTAAGATAGAAGTTACGGTTGACAAAAATAGTCACGAAAGAACTGCACATCTACGACAGGTCAGTGGATCAGACGCCGAAGAATCAGAAAATCGATCACAAACAGGACAAGGGGTATTTAATAGAAGTAAAAGTGAAACATTCTCTCAATCAAGTCCAAAGATCAAGTCATTGAGGCGTGGGAAGGCTGACATTATTAATTTACAAGAGGACAGATACAGTTCAGGAGGGAATGAGAGTGAGCAGGAGGTAGTAGATCCTATGATATTTATTGATGTGCCAGAGGATGACTGGGTAGAGGAAGTTGACAGAGACACAAC